GGGTTTCAATTTTTAACCTGGGGGGGGGGGGGGGTGACGGACAGCTAGGCTTTAATCTTCTTCCCAAAATTGATTATGTCTGTATAGTGATCATTTTTTCAATTCATTTACTATCAAAGTACTAACCAGCGTATGACCCAGGGTCTATAATAAATCTCGTACACAACTTGTGTAAGCTATCTGTCAATACCTACTAATCCACATAATACTCTATTTCGCTCCATCTTAATATCACGTTTATATTACGTGTTAATGTCGTCATTTATGCATCACTATTGGACACTGTAATGTATGTCTGATTGAATGATACGATGACGAGTAGACACAATAACAGATGCACACATTATAGGCGTATATTGGTTTTAAGCACGTTATTTACTACAAGTTTATTAGTATTATCCATTTCGAGGTTGCACTGTGGTACTTTAGTTCATAAATTAGGGTTGGAGTTCGAATGCCAGGAGACACTTTCTACCATTTATGTCGATAGTCTTATGTCATGCGCCTTGTTGACGTAACTGGCCAAAATTGGTTTTTAGCAGTAAAATTCATGTTGTACATTGCGATCGAGATACAACGTATCTCTTCTCCAACTTATCATGCAGCAGCTGCACTATACTCTCCATTTAAAATTATTCAGCCATGGCAGAATGGCAGTAGAGTATCGATTCTTTGCTTACCGTTCTCCATGATTTAGTCATACTCTACGAACGTTGCCTGACCTACCAACACCATGGATACCGAGCTGGTGTCACTCTACACATCATGGAGTGACCTGTTCTCCAGAATACAGTACAATACGGTGTGGAAAATGTCCAAGGAGTCCAATCGCATCGCCACTATACTGTACTGTAGTACTTGTAGACGTAATATGGTATATTGAAAGGCACATGATTGATGTTAAAGAGGATGAAGAGCAGGTTTCTTGACAGATTGAGCGCACCTACTTTGCACAAAGGTAGAACGTTGGAGAGATACAATATATACTGTGTACAAGAGGCGATTCCTTGACGGAACAGAATACAGTAGTACAGTATACTGTACTGTACGGACTGTAGAATAATGAATTAATTTCTACGTAGGCGGCGACCATGTGATATCACTTACCCGGTGTACACTGTACAGTAGACTGGAATGCATTGACGCACGTAATACATCTGTATCGTGGTTGCATTGATAACATACAGTGCAGTTGTAAGCATCTATTCACAATATTATTGTACGCTATACATTGATGCACATACAGTACAATACATCTGTATCGTGGTTACATAGATAACATACAGTACAGTTGTAAGCATCTATTCATGATAATACTGTACACTATACAGTACAGTACAGTACAGTACTGTACTGTACAGTACATTGATGCACATAAATAACATAATACTGTACACTGTACATCTGTATCGTGGTTGCATTGATAACATACAGTACGGTTGTAAGCATCTATTCACAATATTACTGTACGCTATACAGTACAGTACATTGATGCACATAATACATCTGTATCGTGGTTGCATAGATAACATACAGTACGGTTGTAAGCATCTATTCACAATATTACTGTACGCTATATTATTGGATAGTGGATGCTTTCGATATGTTGATACCGTTCCATTGAGACAATGGGGCAAAACACACGGTCAAGATATTTATTGGCAAAACTACTGTACTATTCCATATAATTAATTAGTCCTATATAGTACAGTAGCACTGCCATCAATGAACAATACGAGCTGAAATATTCAACGTTTAGCCTGTTATTTGCAAAATTTCCAAGTGATTTTACTACTATCTAGCTAGACTTTCTAATTTCTGTAGGCCATTACTACCGTGGGTACAGTCGCTCTTTTGGAGTGGACAGCGCTTTGGTTTGCTATCACCATTGATAGACGAATCGTATTCAGTCGGCGTCAGCTGCGGTTAACATCGTATCTGACTTCACATCAACCACTTCCAAAATAAAACAGTTTCTTCCTGGATAGGATAAACAGCCAGTAAGTACCTAAAAGTGAATTACAGTTTGATTCTTGTTTGGTCAATATTGAATGGATCAAATGATCCAACTGTGTCGGTAATCATGGCCTTCAACAGACGATTTTGTTTTGTCTTAATCGTTACTAATTACCTTGACATGGTCAATAGACGAGGTTTATGCTTATCTAAACTAGATATGGGGCCAATGTTGATCGTTATACAGCAGGTTATTGGCCCCTAAAATGATGCCTATCCGATACTGCAATGATCTCAAAAATGATCGAGTAGCCAGGTCTACTCTAACCGGAATTCGATACGATTCCATCTACGGCTGATAGAAGATTTTATTGAAGCTTATCCGTTTAAAATTAAAGCATCGACACAAAGCACTGACTCTATTTTCATAGTACACAAACCCGAATAATCTATTTCAACATGCTGCACTTGAATCATCATCATCGTATTATGCTGAATAAATTGTTTGTGATAGTTGCAATTTCAGTACTGATCGAAAGCACTGTACTGTATTTTTACAGAGCGCATAACCTGAATGATCTGATGCAACGTAATGTGTTTTAGTCATCATGATGATTATGCTGTATTATTGTGGAAGAGTGATGTTTCTGATGGTTGAAATTACAGTATCGATACAAAGCCCTTTTACTGTATTTTTATAGAGCGCACATGCTGAATGGTCTGATCTAACAAAGTGTACTTTGGTCATACTGATGATTGTATTATAGCGATTGAGTTATGTTTCTGATAGTTGAAAATTACAGCATGGACAGAAAGCCCCTTATTGTATTTTGTATTTTTATAGGTTACAGTAGCAGAAAATCAGAATGGTTTCATTCAATATACTGTACTTTAGTCATAATCAATAATGATGATTGTATGATAAGTAGCTTCAGGGTCTTTCGTGCAAATGCACATTTATACAATCGTATAGGATGCGAGAGCTTGATACTTACAACATATATCCAATTTCCATCACTCTTTTTCTTGGAGGAGTTCTGCCACTGATCGTACTCAATGTTGTCCATAGGTGTGAATCAGTCTTGCCAACAACCGACGCACGCCGTGAAAACGATGCATTTCTAAACAAGTATCAATCGGGACACTGGTGGTCTGCTTTGGTTATCCTTCGTCCAGGCTTGAAGTAATTGGATTTAAGACTGAGTAGATCCTCGTACTGGTATGTTAGCTAAATTGTATGAGCGATTCTAATCAATGATTAACCAACTTTAACGCTGCATTGCTGGTGATGGAATTGATGCTAATTGAATAATCTTAGTTCATACGTATTAACTTATGCTGTTCTGTGTCATGATAAAACTAACGGGATTTCAACAGTAGTAATAGGCATTTGCAAATGCCGCTATTACATTCAAAATGGATTACTGTATACAGTAGCATGATGCGGATCCTATCTACGTTATACTACAGTCTAGATTTCATAATACCTTTGTACTGTCATTGCAATTCGGTAAGTATGCGAGTATCTAGTCTCGTTAGCGATGCTGACGCAATATCCTAGCAATAAGAAAGGCCATCAACTGTTAATATAGTCAAATAAATTACGTTGCAGTACCTGTAATGTCCATTATAAATGCTAAATGTTTTTAGCTACAGATTAAATAGTCCAGTAGATTATGTTACAGTAACATCGACTGTCAATGCTGCATGTTATTGTCAACAGTTCAAATAGTTCAGTATATTATGTTACAGTAATAGCGATGGTGAGTGCTTAACCATGGTTTTAATCTTATGTCTCCATCAAGGTTACTCCTAAAAGAAACTATGCTTATACGTAAAAGTAGTAGACGCCACTGCTACTTTCTAATCAACTGGTTATTGTCATTTACTGTGATAATCCTTCTTAGTATCAATTTATATGTTACACTTTATGGCAGTCCATTTAAAGCGTCCGACGGTAGTGGCAAATTTCCTATCGATGACAATATCAACTTAAAAGTAACAACCCAACCAGTACAAAGCAAAAGTTTAATTAGTCCTTCTAAGAGGACGAATAATCACAACCAGAAAAATCCTCACCCTTCAACGGTACATTCTTGCAATATCCCTTATGAATGTAAAGATAATGATTTAGCATTAAGTATAACATCAGGTCCTCGTCATGATTCTGCTCGTATTTGCGTTAATGGTAAATATTACATCGATGCAAAATCGTCTACTCGCGGTTTTAACGTAGTTGTTATCAATCCTGCCACAAAGTTAGTCGTTGATTCACTTGCATTCGATATTTATGCTGGTCAAAGTGGTGCGCTAGTTGATTACATCAACAAAGTCACTCCTGGACATTTTCTTGCAATGGCTACGGCCGATGATGCTTTCTTTCGTATATCTGAAGAGGTAAAACATGCAATCGAGCAGCTTGGCAGTGTCACTATTCACACATTGAATTTTAGAAGTAGCTGGGTATTTGTAGGAAGGAAAGGAAGTAAGGGCGCTACGCTGTTAGAAGAGATCTCTCATGGACTTCGGTATAGGTCTGGAGGTCCTAAAAGCATTGCAACTTGTATACCTATTGATATTGATATGAAAATGACCAATATATCATTTTTTTGCGAGAATCATTCAGAGTTTGATGTACTTTGTAAAAAGAAAACTGTTTTCATACCGCCCAGAATAGGAACTGGTCCAGTCAAAGCTTCAGCTAAGCCAGCGTATAAATTACCAATTGCTATTATCGCTGGAAATCGCCCTTTTTACTTACAAAGGTGTCTTGAATCGTTACTTCGCGTGCCTAATATCGATCGTTCCCTTATTACAATCTTCCTCGATGGCTTTGTAAGGACACCGGCATGGATAGCAAATTTATACGGAATTCGTGTCATTGTATATCCAAAATCGACGACCACTTCCAAAAAATCGTTGAAATTACGCAAATTCGATCAGATAGCGGTACATTATCGAAGAAGTCTGGGAACACTATGGGACATTTACCCACAAAAATCATCGACAATTATTTTAGAGGAGGACTTGGTTGTTTCACCGGACATTCTGGATTACTTCTCTGAAAGTTTACCTTGCTTGAAGGCTGATAATAGTATCTTAACCATTTCTGCATGGAATCCTAATGGCTATCGAAGTTCTTCTTTTAATACATCTCTTTTGTATCGATCAGATTTTTTTTCGGGAATGGGATGGATTTTAACGCGAAAATTATGGAATGAAATAGCTCCAAAATGGCCTTCCTGTTGTCGTGGAGTAAATTGGGACGACTGGCTGAGATTAAGCCAGCAACGCCGTGGTCGCGATACAATTTATCCTGACGTGTCACGTATCTATCATATTGGAGCTGAAGGAGTAAATAATGAGAATTTTCACAAACTACATTATAAGAATCAAATTTTGAATACGATAATAGGCGCAAAGCTACGGAATGTAAATAGTGTTATAAAGGCAGAATATGACAAGGAAATAGAACGTATACTCAAGATTGCTACACCTATTCGGTATAGCAGAAGTAAGAAGAAAAATGTTTGTGGTCCAAGCATGATACCCAACACGTCTGGGAAAAATTATGCAATCTATTTCTATCAAAGCTCGCTTAATGACTATAAGTTTGGAAAGGAGTTGTGCGCTTGTTTTCAATTATGGGACTCAGGTGGAATACGTGGATTGTATAGTGGCATCTTTCGTTTTTATAATAAAAAAAATCATGTTATCGCGGTTGGAAGCCTTAGTAAATTTGCTAAACGCTTTATGCCCAAAAGATACTCAAGTGATTGGTTGTCTGAAACTGCCACTAAAAGTAAAAAGCCATCGTAAGATTCTGCCAGGACATAAGCAAACCAAACGAATATGCGACAATACTGTACATAAATGAGATTTCTAGTATCTACAGTAGAGTAATGTACTGTACAACGGGATCGCTAGTGTACAGCAAACCTTAATTTACATCGATTTCAAACTGTTACTGCAATTCTTCCACTGAGGTATCTATCTATTCTTATTTCGACTAGGAAGAACTATCTACATTGTTATTGCAATCATGCTTTAAGAAATTGACAATGTTTTCCCTGCTTTACATGTATACTTATACTTACCCATACTAGTATATATTACGTAAAATGGCGCATTACGAATGCGAGTATTAAGATGATTAAATTGTAAATCAGTCAAGAAAAATTATGACCTATATAACTGTCACTTTCGACGATATGATCCTAAATATAAAACACCTAGTAACATGTAATTTTATAATCATATTTATTTGGATTACATCACATCAATAATAAAATTTTGTCATGGCTACACACTACACAGTGTATAGTTAGGTTATGTTTGAAAATTCAATTCAGTAAAGCAACTATTGATTATACGCGTACTTCATGTTTATACGATTACATTCGACATCCTAACTTAACGAAACATATTGACTTATCGTATGTTAAATGTAAGCATAACGCTAATCGTATAGTTAGCAATGTTGGTATACAGCACAAAAAGTGCGTATGATGAAATGTAGCCTATGCTTTCCATTCGCAAGGATTTTAGTATTGCCTATTTGGACACTAATATACTACTCAGTGCAGCGCTGCTCTTAGCCCACTTTACAATATTTTACACTTGGAAATTTAATAGATCACTAAAATAATTGAATAATAACACCACTCGTTGTTTGCATGCACACAATACTGAAGTGTAATTATTAATTCATTTTAATTAATTATAGATGCTTTTGCAATTCGAAATAGATAAAGACTCTCCAATAGTTCACATATTACAGCAAAACAACATATATATATATAATTAATATAATTATTCAGGCTTGCATAGGTACCATAAATAAGTGTACTATTACTAAAGTCTACAGACAATATTGACGTATAAGAATAAACCTCAAAAGCGAAGAGGAAGTAGACAGTACGGGTATATTTACTGTAGTTAAGGATTACTGGGCTACAAATATCTTAGTTTATACCGTCATTAAAGTACTGGTTGTTCTTTCAAGCCCAAAAGTAATCTTACTCGCTTTCGGTTTATGGAAGGATGCAGGATAGCAGGTCTGGATAATAAGAATTTTCGCCTTGCCAAATTGCCTTCTGCTAGGCCACCATTGCATATCGTCCATTAGAGGACTGTTGTAGTGTATATTGTACTAGACATTCGAAGTATCTACAGTATATATACGCAAACAATAGTACTATGCCCTATAGTAACCATATAACAATAACCTACACCATGCTGTTGGATTCTACACTACTGCTGTATGTATTAACGATATCAAGAGTATCCGATCTCGGCTTTCAGTTTCTCCTACAACGCCTTTGCAACCTGTACCTAGGCAGGTGCTTTCTTACTTCCTGTAGCGCCTTTGCAAATATTGTACTTTAATCCTTAAAATAACAGTTGCAGATTTGAAGTCTTACTACCCGCTCAAGAAGACTGTTTGCATTGCAGCCTTCACACGTTACCGTGTATAGTTACAGTTTAGACGTGGATTACTTGTACTCTCTATCTTGTATACAGTATAGGCAGGCATTTGTAGTAAAGTCGATCATAGACGCCCAACTTATATGCTAATACAGCGTTATTGCTTTCGTCGACACTTTAGTGTGCAGCAGAAAATCATGACAAGTCCAGCATCTGGTACTGCTTGTTCGTCCGCTATTTCTCGAGCTCTTAGTTTTAAATTAGTAGCTGAATGTTCTACTAGTAAAGCAAGAGCATGCTTAATAACGCTGCCAAAGTGTAGTGTGGAGAGCCCAGTTTTCATGCCGGTGGGTACTAAAGGAACAATGAAGGGATTAACATCCAAACAGTTAGAGGACATTGGCTTTCAAATCATTTTAGGAAACACCTACCATTTAGGAACTAATCCGGTTAGCATCATTGAAAACCACGGATGTGATCATATTGCATAGACGAATTGAAATCTACTGTATAAATAGCATTAATGCACGGGAAAATCCAATTTTGCATACATAGGGACCTGAATTAATGGAAAAGGCCAACGGATTGCATGATTTCATGAACTGGAAACGATCTATTTTAACTGTAAGGCATTTTTTGATAGAGATTAGATGCTACGTAATAGTTGGTATATATACTGTACTTCTTTTATCTTTGTTCAATATGCGTTTATCATTTAGCTACTAATATTGCCCTACGTATTTGATTTGTGGATTAATAATCGTAACTGACACTGTTATGGGTGTGTGAGAATGTGAGATACTTCAAATATGTCTTCATTATAATACGCAATCTAGATCACAAATTGGAACAGTTCTCGTTGTACCAACTAATGCTCGCCTTATTCGCGACATACCACGCGCTTCTTAGCTTACTGATAATTAATAGATACGATTTGAAGAATCCTTACTGTAACTGTAAAATGGCGACAGTACTGATCAAATATTATTTACCTACAGGATCATCAAATATCATGATATTAACGTTTAATGTTTTGCTACTATCCTCTAACCCTTACCATTGTACCATTTAATCGTGTCTGGTATCTTTTGGATAGGACAGTGGTGGCTATCAGATGGTATCGCTGCTAGATTTAGCTGAAATAACTGAGGTGAGAATTGATAAATGAATGATAATGAGATGTTACGAATCTAACTAGTAGGAGTCGTGACAATTTAAGAGACCTGTAGTGCCATCATTTTAAGTAAACGCTATAAAATAATTATAAATTATTATATATTGTAATTTCTGCCATTTTTCTATTGATTTCTAACGATTAGGAGGGAGTCAAATTTGCATCACCATATTCCGATGACATGTTACTATTAACACCAGAAAGATCAATTGAAATCCAGAACTCGATAGGCGCTGATATCATCATGCAATTAGATGATGTTGTTGCGAGTACTACTGAAGGACCAAGAGTTGAAGAAGCCATGCATAGGTTGGAAATAACATGTATTATATTTATTATTATCAAAAAGTGATGTTGGTTATTATAAGAGTTGTGCTATAGTATGTTTGATTAAAACTACAAATTACCGATCGTATCATCGCATATTTACACACAGTTTAAATCTATGATAATAATTCAGACAGCCCTAATTATACACTTGAAAATTTTTCTGGCTTAGTACATTATTGACATCTATAATAATACAATTATCGATAAAGGAAATTCCTTTTAATAAATTCTTAGATTTATAGAGAGAATGTTACCGTTTAATATAGTATACATACTATTTATTAGTACATTTTTGATCTGAATTTAGGACAATTCGATGGCTGGATCGATGCATAACAGCACATAAAAATATGCATTGCCAAAATTTATTCTGTATTGTACAGGGTGGGCTAGATATGGATCTTAGACGCAAGTGTGTTGAAGGTTAGTTTTGGTTTTAATTTCAATGTGATCATTGAAGTGTATTTATGTGATGTTAGGGCATTGAATAATTTCATCGATAATCTTATGTTTACTAAGTTTGTACTTTTCCATTAGAAATTGTTAAACGAGATACACCTGGTATTGCTATTGGAGGTTTAAGTGGTGGTGAAGACAAACAAGTATTTTGGAAAGTTGTTGACTTATGTACTAGTTTGTTACCTAAAAATAAACCGCGATACTTAATGGGAGTAGGGTGAGAAATGCAGATCAGTTTAAATCCTTTATTATTATATTGTATTTGAATATATCAGAACTATGGTAATACTAGGAAAACAAATATGATATAGACCTATCCTCTGACATTAGATACGCCGTAGATCTAGTGGTATGCTCAGCTTTGGGTGTCGATATGTATGATTGTGTATATCCAACAAGAACGGCAGTAAGTTATTTATAAGTTTAGTCAAAGCTGAATATTTTCACGTTATTCTCACGATAAATATTATCGATACAATGTTATTTTGCAGAGATTTGGTACAGCTCTTGTACCATGGGGACAGTTACGATTAAAGCAAAGTCAATATTCCATGGACTTTGACCCTATCGATAAAAATTGTCCATGCCTAACATGCAAGACGTATACCAGAGCTTATTTAAATTCAATAATTAAGCAGGAAACAGTTGCTTGCCATTTATTATCCATTCACAACTTAACCTATCAGGTGAAAGCCTAGTAATATTATCATCATATTTCAACTAGATTAATTTCAGTAATGTGTTATCGCTAAAGATGTATTAGTTAACAACAAAAGTAATTAAACTGTTGGCGTATAGTATACATTACAGTTTATAGCGAAGGCAATATTGCAAGGAATAAAACCTATTTAAGCTACATTAACAATTTGAGCGAGATCTTGATGATGGAACATCATGCATCATGATCACCATATAATTAATTCATTCATATCAGCTTCAGCTGTATAATAGTAAATTGTGCATTGGTATCTTTTTCCGTTCACTAAGCCGTGCAGTATCAATAGGTCATACTCATAAATAAGTAGATTGAATAATTAAGTTATAACGAAAATGAATTTTTTATATCTATTGCGCTGATTTTAAAACTCTTACAAAAATAGACTTTGGCAGTATTTGTATACACTAAACTTTATTTCTATTTCAGAAACAATTAATGGAGTCAATAAGAAAGAATATTATACAAAATACGTTCCCTCAATTTGTTAAAGACTTTATGAAGGAAATGTTTCCAGATGGCAACTATCCACAGTGGGCAGTAGATGCTCTAGCATCAGTTAATATACAATTGTAAAGATGCACAAAGATGATAAAATTTTCCCATTTTTTATTCAATTTGAACAGAACAATTTCAAACTAGTTTCTACGATAATATAATCGTAGCAATTTTACATGGAATATGCGATGAAAAAGCCAGAGATATTCGAATGCAGTCTAACATAGCCTAATTTTAATTACATGATTTACAGTTAGCTTCTTTGTTAAAGTACACGTACGGTATGTACGGCAGCGTAAAAATGGACTTGGTTCACAGCACTATGTACATTATATCTTATTCGCTTCAATAGCGAAAATTTTCGTTATAAAATGTAATTAATCAATTTATACTTTCATAACCAAAGCAGATTGGAAACAATGGAACCCTGACTGCTTTTTAAATAACATTACGCTTATTGCAGTATACGTGTATACTATGTACTATGAAGAGAAATAAAATGTTATTTGCAATGATTTTACAGCGGCTCAAACGTTCATTGTGCAATCTGACAACTTTGCAAATAAGATCTTACATCTGATAGGAGAGGAGTATCACTTGTAGTAACAGCAAGCTTTATTTTCGATAACTACGAAATCGTCATACAAAGAGTTCGATTTACGGTACTCTACATTACTATTTTCACGAATAATTATCATTTGTTACTAGATGACTGAAAAATTGCAACGATTGTTAGGCTAAGATTGCCATCAATATTTTCTGTCGTTGTGTTCTAGCTACAGCGGAGCTCATGGGCATTTTCAGCAACTGTCCATTATCGACTAGTTTTTGTTGATTCAAGTCTGTAAAAAATGCACAGCACCAGGGCTATCCGGCTGCAATGATTACTGTCAAAGATACAAGATACAGTAGATGTAGGCCCCCTAGTCCACGTACTCGTATAGTTGATTAGAAGCGGTCATTATTAAATGATTGCTTTAGAATTCGCTTTTCTTCTTCCACATAGCTCTTTCCTCTAGCAGATTGTCCAAGATCTCTTTTTCTTTTTTCTCTTTGACGATAAGTTATCGCTGCATCAGAAGTTTTTCTCTTGGTTGGAAATTTATCATGGGCGATATTGGATGTTGTTGGTTGATTTTCCATCATTTTCGAGCTCTCCTTATCAAGGTCATTTTCCGTCGTTTCTGCATTGCTTGATGGATCATTGGTTTCGGAATACTTTACGGGAGCTGCAGAGACTACGTTAGGATTACTTGACATTGGCCCACTAATAGTAGGTACTTTTTTATGCATAGCTTTGGCACTACTGAATACTTGATCACTAACTATTTCCCAATTGATTATATTATAATAGTCATCATCATCATTGCGATAAAATGATGGTCTGGTTTTTTTAGATAAGATGGCTTCTGGATCTGGTAGGACTATCCCTTTAGCAGTTTTATTGATCGATGCGTTATCCTCAGTAGTAGTAGTCACAGTCGATTGGCCAGGCTGAGATTTGATATTTTCATCATCACTATCAGAGCTGCTGGTGTCGTCATTTGCAAGAAATGACAGTGGATCGGAAGCTGGATTACTAGCGGACATGTTGGCTTGAGGTCATGAATTGAATATCAGAGTACTCGTATTCTACTGGTAAATATTACTAACGGAGGTAATGATGCTAGCAATCAAGTACACCATCTACTAGAGGACACGTTTTCAGATCACACGCTGAATTAATTATAAATATGGCAGTACCCTTATCATCTGAAATTATTCTTATAGAAGACTAACGATAGTTAGGGAGCTACCAGTTTTGGATTTCAAATGAGCGGGCTGATTCTGATCGATAGTCATCGACGATCTATGCAGTTCCACTATTGCTATAGCTACCCGATGGTGAGATTTGGAGTTACTGAACACTACTGCGCATGTGGATTTTCATCTGAAGTACAGTGTCCACTTTGTATATAGCGTCTCGCGTACTTTAATTGATAATTACCATGAAAGTAAACGTTATAGATGCATTTTAATGACAGATTCGAGTGAATGAACTCTTTCTCTATCGACTGATATGAAATTGATTCAAAAAACCACAACAATTTTATCCATTTTTTGGCAGAAAAATGATCGAAATTAGCCCTTCCACCGTTTACAGTGTACAGTATACAGTGTAGTGTATCGCAGTTTCAGCACGGTCTACTGTACAGTGTACTGTACTGTACTGTACGGTACATACAGTACTGTACAGTACTGTATTGTACAGTATGTACTGTACCGTACTGTAGATTGGATATTACGAGGATGAATTGAATGCTTTGTTGCGTTCAATCTTCTACAACGTTGTCGTAACATGGCTCATGCTGTACAGTAATATCGTAGCTTATTGCCTTGCATTGTACTGAATGTGCTATAGCAGTTTCAGCCATACTGTTAAGCAGTAAAATAAAAATGAATTACTAGATGCCTTATTAGACTACTGCAAACGACAAGTTCTCAGGCGTGTCGAGCGTATTGTACTGTACAGTACAGTGTACAGTACACTGCTTACAATATGCACTGTAGCGTACGTATTGTACACTGTACCGTACTGTACTGTACGTTCCACCTTTGATGGTGATTCGGCCTGGGAATAGTCCGGTTCGGCCTGGGAATAGTCCGGTTCGGTCCGGTTCGAACCGTTATGATCTACAGTATATCTCTAGAATGGCTGGGCCCTTACTTGGACCGTGACATACTGTATTGTACTGTACCGTACTGTACCGTTTACTAGCCTACCTGCCAGCTTTTACTATGACATCATGTTTTCCTGACGGTCATAAACATCAACATTTTCAAGCAGCCAAGTTGACTGCCATCTTCTCCTTATATCGATCTCGTGGACCTTCTTTCGATCCTTCTTTCAACACCAATTCAGTAGGAGAATCTCCATCTTCAGTATCGTTGAGGTAGATTGTTTCAAGTCATTCGAGTCCTCTAAAGTTTCTGTGCGCCAACACGATCAAAGCGATTATTGGCCCACCAAATTTCAAGGTACAGTCAACAGTTTTCATTGCATGCTTTACATGGACTTGAGAAGCGCAAAACATGGAGTATGTTGTAGCAACGGTCGATCATATCCATCAGTTGTAGGCAAGGAGTATACGTATACAGTGCACTCGTAAGCTTGAAAATATTCTCTATCCAAGTAAAATACATGCAGTGTAGTTTAGTGGATAAAAGGTCAATCAATCAGTCTATCTTTTCATTCAAATCATTACCTTGGATAAAATAGCTTTACCAACGCTCGACTTTTGCGGTAGCATCATGAATCCAGATGTATTGAAAAAGGATAACGAGAAGTTACTTTCAATCACTTGAAAGACATATAGGAGAAATCGTGAATGAATTGACAATGATTTCTTCTTATTTCGGAATAGAAATATTGGCATTCCAAGCGGCAATCGTCATCAAACACTGCATAGTCCTTCTTGGACGATCAACCACCCATACATACGTCATTCTACGCGTATTGGATCAAAACGAACCGCTGTCAAGATCAGACGATGAAATTGTCCTAATCTAACGGTAACAGTGGAAGTAACATTATTAATCGCTTTTTAGTATCTTTCTGTTGGAAACTGTTAAAACTGATAAGGTACCTTAATATTCATAGCAAGGGTCTAACATTGAAGTGATATCCTTGGCCATAAGTTAGACTTTTGAATATCTGCCTACTTATTTACAGTTAATGAATGTATTCTAATTAATTATACTTATACGCTGTAGTAATGTGATAGCATTGCATAAAATCATACTGACTGCACGTTTCTTTATTATGTAGCCAAAGCATGCATGCTTTAGGCTATTGTATTGAAGCCTTAGTAGACTTTGCAATAGAAATTTAAACCTTTACCAAGTAGTATGACTAGAATATAAAGATGGTTATTATTGACTAATTGACTCCTTCTCTCTGATAACGATGAATCGAAATGCAGTTCAAGATATCTGGATATGGCGTTAATCCTCCGTCGAATATTTAATAATTTGAGTAAATTTCTGCCACAGTTTGGTAAGTTATTAAAAGCACAGCCACCATACGTATACAGTTTTCATTCTTGTTCTGCAATACTCTAAAAAATATTCTACACAGCATACAAACTATTATAAATATCTTTATTAAGACAATTCATTTTCTACAAGTTACTAAAATCAATCACCAAGTTTACTGCACTATATACTAATCACAATAGTCTTTCTGTCAATAAAGAATAGCATAGAGTTTATGATAGCCACGCACTAGGAATAATTGTATTATTTATGAAAGTTCAGTTACTTCAGTATATTGGTTATTGACAGAAAAGCTACTAATTGTTATAACGATAATTAGTACCAAGTTCTATGCTACTGTATGATATACACTCATGCAATTGGATGAAAATTAATCCAAGTACTGTACTACGTCAACTATTCAGTTTACTTCTGCCAATGTAAATGTCAAAATTTCTTACAAGACTTTATATATAAGTACTAGTTATATAGGCGTTTAATGTAATTATTACCTTTCATTAACTACTTTCATTCAAGAGCCTGGATTTGAAAGAGGTGCGAAACAAGTCTTTACAGAAAATATCAACAACGCCACCCTAACAACAAGAATCGTCTCAAAAGATAATCAAATTGTGGTCAAGAATTCTAACTACAGTAAACTTGAAAATGGCTCTGTTAGTAGATTAAGAATAGTTGCACGTGGTCTTATAGGCAAAAGCTATATTTCGAACAATCTACATTTGATTAAAAGTAAGTACTATATCAATTTGCTTAATGTTACTGAACTGTATGTCGCTTATCGACTAGTTTACTAGTCCTACAACCCTAACGCAACGTTAATAACCCATGTTATTGCATTGTAATATAGAAATTGCCTCCGCAACCAGGTTAGTTTTTACAAGGCGCTTTCCACTATCAACACCAATCTTTGCTCTCTTAGGCTTTACAGTAGCAGGTAACACGAATACAAGTGTGTTTTCAATTGCATTAGAAATATTTACTTGTGAGATTATGATCAATTTGAGAACTAGTTAAAACTATAATAATATATCTACTACGAACTTGACAGGACCTAGATATAATGAACAACAAATGGAACAGCAGAAGCTGGTTGTTTCACTACAATCTCTGCTGAAAATATGCCATAACAAATTGGAAAAAGATAACGCTGCTAGCGAAATCAGTTGCAGTTGTGATACTACTAATAGTTATAAAGTCGGCCCTAGATTGGGCAGCAGATCATGCTGTAGCGCAGTGTATGCTACCAAATGTTCATGTGGCAAAGAGGTAAAGGAATTCAAATTGCATAAATCATACAGATAGGATTTACAGTGCCACGCATGGACTGTTTGTTTATTTGAAATATACGTTAATTAAATAAAATCATTTTCGGTGAATGATACCAATGTAGTCATGACAGTTTTTATTTAAAAATAGTATGCAATGAAAATGATGTTTAATTACGGGAATTCAAAGGATGATTTTATTCGCAAGGTTAGACATACCTGAAAAGATTTTAAAAATACAATATTTCGTGCTTTTGGCTATAGAACTGTATCATGTTTTTATCTCATGCTATAGTATAGCTATAGACGTAGAATAATATTTTAAACTAGTAGTCAAACTGTTCTACCTAGAATCAGTTCCAATTGAATAAGATTGACATTATTTAAATTTAGTATTACTTGTTTAAATGAATATTAACGTAGAAACGCGTAATCAAATTACCCTATCTAAAGAAATGTAACAATTATTGACAATCAGTCTGATTGACATGTAATAATATTTCAGAATTTTTTGCGCGAGTATTGTCTCCTTTCGCCTTTACCGGTTACTCGTGTTGACGAGATGGAATCATCGAAAAATAGTCAATCGCGAATTCTTGTCCATCCTAATATTATTCGCTTAGATAAAGTAATTATTGATGAAATACAATACTGCGATGATGCCATGCATGAATACCCAGATGCTTTGCCACCGTCTCCGTTAAATCCTTCTGGATTAGGCCGCCATAGGACAATGTTCTTATTTATGAAAAAGTAAGAACTAGTATTTCCTTCTTAGCCAGTATCGGTGCAACCTTTTCTAATACAAACGGTATGCTTAGTACTACCTATTTGACCTTGACTATGATTTTCTCAGGTACGATATGACGTTAAGAGAATATGTTCACAGTAAAGGGATTATTCCAAACGACGAAGCTACTATGTTACTTCTTCAATTGTTACAAGGTGTTGATTATCTAAACAAGAATTATATTGCTCACCGTGATTTAAAGTCAGACAATATACTGGTTAGTATACGCGTATAATTGAAACCAAAATTTTCATTTGTATTTAGTTACTTGTTTGTATGAATGATGTCGGTTTATTATCAATAACGATGAATAACTTAATCATTGTAACACCTAGATAGTTAATCTACCTACCTTGTAAACGCATTACTTAGACGGCAACCGATAATGATAATAAAATCATTGTTTTGCTTTAGATCGAAGAAGTAGATCCATATCCGCTTCTTGCTATCACAGATTTTGGGGAATGTCTTGATGATGCAGCACTCAAACTTGTAGTTCCTTACATTTCTAACTGCATAGATCGCGGTGGCAACTCATCGCTTATGGCACCTGAAGTTAGTAGTGACTGTATTTTATGTATTATATCTGTTACACAGATGATTTATTAGTAGAAATGATAATAATGCTGTTAAGGAAATAATTTTCATTTTGATACACAGATTAAGAATGCTGAACCTGGTCACAATTCAGTCCTAGATTATCGAAGATCAGACGGTAAATTAGGTTCAAAAACAAGAATGTCCTTGTATAGAGTGTAGCATCTCAATAGACGTGCAAGCTAAACATAACACTTCTTTATTGTTTTGTATTAGTTTGGGCAATTGGATGCTTGGCTTTCGAGATATTTGGTCAGGAGAACCCCTTTCTGAATACCTTCGATAGTTCTAGCTATCAAGAATATGAACTCCCAGAATTGCCAAGGTATCATTCTGTTAAGGCCTACGTAATTCACTTTTCATACTAGTAGTACCATTTAGGAGTACCTTGATATTATTATTATTACCGTTAAAAGTTATTTATACTCCTTTCCAGTCGAGTACCTTTGATCGTTCGTAAAATCGTACGCAACTTATTAAGAAAAGATTCAAGTAACAGATTGCCAGCAAGCTTAGCAATTGCTGCTCTTTCTTTTTGGCGGTGGGGACCGATAAATTGGCGCGCTCTTATGATGTATGAAACGGGTTTATCAAACCTAAATGAAGAGGATATTCAACGGTAAGATGTTTTCAAAGATAACATTTGTTATTTCGTTATGATTAAGTGATTTTTCCAATACTACATTCATCTATTCAATCTCTGTTAATGAAATATTAATTTATACGAACTATAGCACTAAGATTGACATATCGTAGCCAGAGCAGCTAATAATACTTAGTAGTATGCAGTATGTGATAGTGTACAACAATTATATTTTATACCATCAGCATGCACGTAAAAGTTTTTACTATGAATTATTTTTAAAGCTGGCTCAGCGAAACGGCATTTCAGTTATCGATCCAAATCATGCAATGTCAAGCTCATGGACATAAGCTTACACCTGAATTACAGGTACGCAGTACTAATGGTATTTTAGATGTATCCTTAAAAGAAAGACCAAAAATAATACTATACGCGCATGTTATCATGATTCAATTATATTTAGAAAATAAATTCTTTCTTTAGGCGAAATATCATTTCTTGGTTTCTACTTCCGCTGCTGATATCAAGCTTGCCGTAGAAAGTCTGTATTGTTAACATTGTATGCTTTATAGTTAGAGAGCCATGATTTGTCTGCTATCCATTCATGCTATATAGAAAATATAGGAAATGGCATTGTGATTGTTAATTACGTAGAATTTAATTAGCAAGAAATGATGATAATTTCTTTTACTGTACTGTATACGGTTTAATTTTGGGGTTCAAATATTTGATAAATTTGTTAATAGATTAAAAATAGGTGCACTATTTATCTAATTTCAGATATTATTAAAAGCTTTTCTTCAACTAAGATCTTTCGAACAATTTTTTTTAGTGATAGCGACTTTATTTTCCTATTACTGTTGACATTAACTAAATTCAACGTTTAGATGCTTAGGTACAGACCTGAGCTAATGCACACAGTACTAATATTTGCACTCAAGCTAAGATAGCTAGTACTGTAAATTAAAAGTACAACTGTAGGGAAAGCTAATTTGTTCGATATCATATCATGAGCTTTATACTGTTGTTACTGCTATGTATATCGAATCTTTTGAACAGTATACTAGTATCGAATCGACAGTTGAGATTCCTAATTATCGTCGTGTTCGTTTAATTAACAGAAATCTTGTAAGAATCTCAACAGCGCAGTGCTAGACGAAGTCTTACATTAGTTATCCTTGATTAACTTGTTCTTGTTACAACTTTATATGCACATTTGATTGACAATTACTCCATTAGCAATAATTACAGTACTATACATTAGTGCACTATAATGCTGTTTACTAAAATACCTCCATTCCTGACTAGATCGAAATTGCTTCTCTTAACTACTTTCACTTGATAGTTCCCGATCAACTCGATATTCGACGTGACAAATGTGAGTTGTAAAGGAAGTAAATTTTAAAGTTGTTATCCATCAACAGTGATGAAGGTATCATGCAGACTAGGTAGAAATTGTTGATTGGCCACTTTTACTTAACAGTTGGCGACACTATGAAGGTAAAGTTTGACAATCTATATTCTACATACGTCTAAAAGTAGCCGATGTTGAAGATTTCGTGGCAGAATAGAGATTGTCGACCATTGCATTATTGATACAAGGAAAACCTAGTAGACACGCACAGTCTACAGTTGCGTACTCGGAGCCTACGCATACAGTACATGGAACCGGGTATCAATTCGTATAAAGTCATTGTTAAGAATTGATTTAAAATTTGCGCGTATAATAACATACATGCTAGTCTATACATACTCGTAGATCATTTTATTTTAACCTGCAATCGTAGTATGCATGTGGTAGTTTGCTGTCATGTTTAGTATCAAGCTAGTAAATATGAATGTCAAATTTTACCTTGCCTTAGTTCCACGTAAAGTCTGTGTCGATTCTACAGTTACTGTACTGTACTGTAGTAGTTTATTAGCTTCTACTATTAGCTAATTACTTGGCCAATTTGGCTCAAGACTGGTGTTCTAGATCCATTTTTTTCCGGTAGTTATATATACAGTATATATATATATATATATATATATACTGTAGACTTGTAGTATGTATGTGGTAGTTTGCTGTCGTGTCTAGTATCAAGTTGGTAAATGTAAATGTCAAATTTTACATTGCCTTAGTTCCATGTAAAGTCTGTGTCTATTCTGCAGTTACTGTACAGCACTATGGTAGTTTATTTAGCTTCTACTATTAGCTAATTAAATTAGTTCGACAATGTGGCTCAAGACTGGTGTTCTAAACGGTTGGACTAAACCCGATTTTTTCCGGTAGTTATATATATATATATATACAGTATACATAGCGAGAAAGACAGAGACTTGTACAATGAATAGAACACAATCTCCATATGGGCCGCTAAGGTGCTTTTTCTTACTGGGGAGTTACGTCTGAAAGTGCATATTTCATCTATTTGTGTCTCTATGCATGTCTGCATATTACTGCATGGATGTTCCTATGTTGGTGCATTTAGTGTGGTATATATACAGTAATAGTACTAGATATATCTGTTATAAGTTATAGATATTACTATAATAAATCGATCAATTCCCACTTCTAGACTTGAGCATCAGGCAGTAGTAACATCTAACCCTGAAATCCCTACTGGATTCAAACATGGAGATTACTAGAATGATTTACTACAAGAGTCTCTAGGGAGTTATACTACGGTGAACACGATTTGTTGTACAGGACACTCCTTTAATAAGAATCCATGGGGGGTTAATGCTCTCAAACCAGCCGATAAACGCTGAGATTTAACGCCGACTATAATCAAGGTAAATCCCGTACAGGCTCTTCTCTAGACTCTAGGTATACAGTATGGGCATATTAATTAATTAATTAATTCCGTGAGCAACGTCGAAAAGGGCAACACCTTAAAGACACTAGTCTACCTCCAGTACAGTACCTGTGTCATCAAGGTGAGTATTAGACTGGCCAACTGGGTAGAAAGCCGTTACAACATTCAAGCAGTCGAGCAAGGAGGAGAGAATCTCTTGCAGCATTTTCATCATCACTGGAATGACTGGATGCAATTTTCCCCATCGGGCTTGAAATTGTCAATCAGTTGGATCAAGGTTGTAAATTACTGTTGAATGCGATTCTACCAACCAATTCTTCTTGACTTATTACATCGGAGTGGAATTGGCGCGTGTTACAAAGTGAAAGAGCGAACTGCAATTATTATCAACAAATCGTGAGTAAATAGACCGTTGATCAGCACTCGGATCGATGGCAAACACATCAGTTGGCAGTACTAGTGGATCCAGTGTAGCTGCTGTTAATGCCAAGGTACAATCCATTCCAAAATCTCCTTCTATACCACTTCAGATTGCAATCCATTCCTTTAGTCAATATAACGTTAACCATCAAGGGCAAGAATCCTTTTCATTTTTTTCTTTTTTAATGTGCTACATCATGCGTAAGAGGGGAGACAAATCCATCCACCTCATTGAATCTTTCTTTTGATTATAATAATTGAAATAAGCATATGATGATCATCATCATTGAATCAATCATAGTTATCGAATCAAGTCTTATATGCCTATAATAGAGTCAATACCAAGTAAGTAGGATATTGGAAAGGTGAAAAAGGACAGTACATAAAATATCGCCTGCAAAGGTTCGACCCGTACATTGCCAGTAAATCAACCATTACAACGGGGGGGCTTGACGAGCTAATGGATTAGAAAGGGCAGATGGATCTTTTAGTCCTCTTTTTACGACGGGACTGCTAGAGCTCTTGATATCTTGTGGCCGCTTGCCACTGTATAGTGTATAGTTTACTAGCAAGATAGAATAAAATGTAACTGCTACGACATGCCCGTATACGATAATCTATTGAAGGAGATGCGTAGCCTAAAATAACATCTCCATTAACATCGCTACAAACTACTTTGAACCATCGACATGGTGTTGTAGAGAGCCATTTTTCCGCTAAAATCAATCCAATCGGATCGTTGATGGCACTATTTGCAATCACCACTCTCATATTCATAAAGGGCAATATCCAGTCAGGAGTTATTTTCAGGTCAAATTTATGAAATCGATTTCTGGATGAGCTGAAATGCGATCATCGGTCAAACATGGTATACGAGTAGGATCCTATATTCAAATTTTCATCACACGAGTGGGATAATTCATGATGCCATCAAATCACAAAAATTTAGACCTCAATCTTAGTATAAAAAATGAGACAGTCCTGAGTTTCTACTGGCAAGTTATTACTTATGTCCTGTTAATCTATTGGGCTTTTTTGCATCCTTGATTGATACAGTCATAAATGTCCCCCCCCCCCAAAAAAAGTTTAAAATGCTACAATCACTGTCCAACACAAGGACAACAGGAGCAGGTTTACGTCGTAGATTTGATCCATGGAGGATGTAGGTAGATATACAGCACATGCAACTTTAGTTCACACTGGAATTTTACATTGAAAGGAGCAGCAGGAATGATTTCTTATGTGAGAATCAAAAAGCTGACAGAAATGCAAATCAATCAATCCATTCTATTTTACAATGTACAGCATGCAAGTTTACTGGAAATGCTTTTAGTATTTCCAAACTCTTATATACGCCAATTCGCGTTGCGAATAGGCTGTATCTTGTCAATGCTACCTTAATGTGTTATACATTACATTGTAGTTTCAACATGGCTATTCCAATTGAAGCCATCACGAGGCTGTTGTACGGTTGGAAGAATTTTTGGGGACAATATTGTAAACATTTTGCATCGTCCTACCTTATCATTCATTAATAAATGAATTATTTATTGATTGTTGGACATATAGAAACCGAATGATCATTATTCTTAGTGACTTTGTTAATTTTATTTTTGTCATAAATATCATGACATTGGCGTTTACTAAAGTCAACTCAATATCATACTTTACCTTTGCCATGCATTGCTCAACCTGACCAATCCTTCCTTGCCTATACGATATTCGTATTTGACGTGTATTCCTATACCCGTCTTCTTAGCTGACCATCTGTTCATTCACTATATTATTGACTGTTATCCTTACAAACATAAATTAATAATTAAAGGAATAATAATTATAATTACTCGCATATTTTCCTGGCCGCTTGACTGATTAATTCATATGTTAGTGAAGTTATAAGTTGACTGATTGCATTATCATTCAATGTCAATACGAGCAACTTTAGTTAACTTGCATCGATTACAATCGATGAAGATTAGAACTAGAAGTAATGCTGGCCGTCATTGATGAATAGTATTGCTTTTGCTGCATCATTTATGCAATCTGCATGCGAATTCATGTTTGAAATAAACGTTATTACACGACTTTATTATTGTCGTCGAAAGTCCATTCCTTCATTTTTTTGCTACATCAGTGGGCTCTAATCAAAATCGCAACCACAGTACCTGTTTAGTAAGCAATGTAGTATGAAAATCTAGTTGCTATAAAGGCAATGGAATATGAAATTCTGACCATGCTAATTCATTATTGTATGTCCAATAGCGATACAATAGTAAATCCTGCTTGCAATGTACTCGTAGAGGTTGCCGTTAATACGAAAGATCAAGCTAGATAACACTAACTAAAGTAGATAGTAGTAAAAGTGTCGATCATGGGAGAGAAAATTTACACAGCTATTAATTTCATTTATTCTGAAACCACCGCCTCCAATTTATTCACGATTATAGCCGCCTGATTACACTTTGCAATGTACACTTACTGGACATTCTAAAGCAGTCTCGTCGGTTAAATTTAGTGCGGATGGAGACTGGGTCGCCAGTTCATGTAAGTCAATAAATGATACTTTAACAAGTCTAAAATAATTACCGTAGTAAATTCCGTGTCGATTTAAGAACGAAAAGTAACACTATTTCTTTATCTCAATCTTTTCAACGATATAAAATTGATCGTTTAGCTGCTGATGGTACGATTAGAATATGGAACGCTTACGATGGCAAGCATGAGAAACTTATTCAAGGACATAAAATGGTATGATCACAATATTTCAAATCATTTTTTTTTCCACAATCGATGGATTGATAGTCGTAATTCAAGTTTATGATTCTAGTTGAATAATAATATTATCAACAGTATCCAGGTATTTATTTCCTGTTTGTGATATATTTTTTATGCTCATCCTTTATAGGGTATCTCCGATGTTGCTTGGTCACCAGATTCTAAATTGTTGGCTACTGCTTCAAACGATAAAACATTAAAAATTTGGGATTTCGCTACAGTACGTATATCCAAATATATCTGGCATTTATTTACTAGAAGTGATGGATCACATAGCTCACGCTTTGCATTTGAAGCACGGCAATTTTGTCTTTGATAAATGGTACTTTTAGAGTAATTTGGATTTTTGGAGTATTGTCACAATCTTGCAATAACAAATAGCACGTATATAAATTCAAATGATTACTAACGTGGCTGTTGCTAAATGATACTTTTAGAGTAACTTAGGATTTCAAGAGTATAGTCACTATCTTACAATAGCAAATGGCATGTAAATGAATTTTAACACGACTGCTAATGTCCCTATTGCTAAGTGATACTTCGAGTAATCTTAGATTTTAGCAGTATTGTTAATATCCTGCAGTAACAAATAGCGTATAAATGAATTTTAACATGACTAGTAAGGCCGCTGTTGCTAAAATGAGTCCCCATGCTTAATGATACTTTTACAGTAATCTAGGATTTTAGGAGTGTTGTCACTATCTTGCAATAACAAATAGCATAGAAATGGATTTTAACACGATTACTACGATCGCTGTTGGTAAAATAAGTGCCTATGCTTCATGATGCTTTTAGAGTAATTTGGGATTTTAGGAGTATTGCCACTATCCAACAATAAAAAATGAATTTTTAGCACCAAGATCGTCGATACTGTAATCTAGGGTTTTAGGAGTTTTGTCGCTATCTTGCAATAATGAATAATTTATAAATGAATTTTAACGCGACCACGAACGTCGCTGTTGCTAAATGATACTTCTAGAGTAATTTAGGATTTTAGGAGTATTTTGTCACTATCTTGCAATAATAAGTAATACATAATAAATTTTAGCACAACTACTAACGTCGCTGTTGCTATTGAACAGTATCGTCTGACTGATAATTGTACACTATAATTGATTTTGCTATAAATCTAGGGAAAATGCTTAAAAACGTTAAAAGGCCACACCAACTACGTCTTTTGTTGCAATTTCCATCCTCAATCCAATCTGATTGTGTCTGGCTCGGTAATAAACTTATACTGCTAATCTAATGATAATGATAAAACGTTTTCTTACCTGATTATCTTTCATATATTGCGTATGTTTGATATTATACCTAACTCAAAACTGATGAATACGGACATTTAGTTTGATGAAAATGTTAGGATATGGGATGTTAAGAGTGGTAAATGCACAAAAAATCTATCTGCCCATTCTGACCCTGTTTCTGCGGTAAATAGTAGATGTAAAATGAAATTCAATAAAGTGCAGTTTTAGCTGTTGGATACCGTTACGTCTTTATTCTTTGTTAGCCTTGCTTCTTTGTAAGATATATGTATCCTCTTTCTATTATCAAAGGTTCACTTTAATCGTGATGGAACATTAATAGTCTCGGGAAGTTACGACGGCCTTTGGTAAAACATTTGCATGTGTAGCTTTATATCGTATTCAGTATGGATTATATTAATAAAAGAGATATCATGCTTATCGATACTATCGATTATGATTTGTAGCCGAATTTGGGATACTGCGTCTGGTCAATGCTTAAAGACAATTATTGGTGAGAAAAAAAAAAAAAATAAATGCTCTGTTAGGCAATGCTTTCAATTTTCTACCAACACTACTATTGTATAGAGAGCTCTCCAATTGTTCATAATTTAATATATGCAATTGTTCGTTTGGGTATCTTGATATAATAAGATGACAACAATCCTCCTGTTTCGTTTGTAAAATTTTCACCCAATGGCAAGTACATTTTAGCTGCAACTTTGGACAAGTAAGGTTTTGATGATGGTTGACATGATTGATAGTTAGTAGATAAATAGAAAACCTAGGATAGTCTTATGGTCTAATTTATTCATTTTATAATTGGATATGGATATTATAGTACTCTTAAATTGTGGGATCACAGCAAGGGAAAGGTACTGTCATGCTGGAATTGTTTTTGCAATAATATCTTAGAAGGCACTTGCATGATATAAATCGAGATTTCGATTATGTAGACAGTTGTATCCTTAGAATTATCCATCGCAGTTCTATAGTGCTATATTGTTTCTATCCATCTTTAAACTGATTTGACTATAATAATATGTTGCATTCTCTACAAACAATCTAACTTTTAGTGCTTGAAAACATATCGAGGTCATAAGAATGAAAACTTTTGTATATTTGCTAGCTTTTCCGTCACTGGTGGCAAGGTAATTGTAATAACTCAATCATGATTGTAAATTGCTTTGTGAACTATAACGTTAAACCGATAAGCTTGATTGAACTTGTATAATATCCATTCTTATTATTAGTGGATTGTTTCGGGATCGGAGGACAATATGATTTATATTTGGAATCTTCAGTCGAAAGAAATTGTTCAAAAGCTTTCTGGCCATACTGACATTGTATTGTCATGTGCTTGTCATCCTAAGGAGAATATTATTGCATCAGCAGGACTAGAGGATGACAAGACAGTAAGATTGTGGAAATCGAATAATTAACTGACTTTCCAATTGTAACATTCATTGTGCATAATTCTATTTTGGCCATTTTATCTCAAACTGTCACGTCTTTCAATTATGATCGTTTTTATGTTTTTTTTTTAAGCCGTTCAATCATTATTTGGTCAAGTTGTATAAAAATATCGATATCGTGATCTTCAGTATTCATACTCTACTGTAGTATAAAAGTTAATTACGGCGATAAAGTAGTCACCTAATGAATGGTTGCAATATTTCAATTGTTCTATTTCCTGAGAGTAAACCTTGTTTCTTGACTCTGCATTATAAACCCAAAGAACGAACGATATTTCGTGAAAAAAATTCATTTTAGATCGTTAGATGAAAAGTTTTGTATAAAGTGTAGATTAATTGAACTATAGTCAATAGAATTGACCAGTAGAATGTTTTCTTCTACATTTCGCTGCGTTCTATTACCCTAAGCTAGACGTTGGAATTGATCATTATTATTTGGCTATTTTGCAAAGTATACTTGTATGTTAGTTCACCTTGCTAGTAAGCGAGCCTTAAGAAATTGGGTAGATACATGTAAAGTGAAATTAGTCAGTAGCGTGCGAATGGCTCGTATTTGCTGTTTTTGACAGTCATAAATGGCATGACATTGGGGGTATAGAATGAATGAATTCTAATCGATTGTACTCGTTTAATGATGATGATAGTATGTATTGCTTAACGAGAATACTGAGGCGAAGGAATTGCATTTCTTCGGTATTCCATATGCAATTATTATTTTTATATCAACGTATTGTTTGATTCTTTTGCTCCTACTAAATACTTGATAACTTGTACGAAATGATGTAGAATAAGCATTTCGGTCTATGTCAACGAATGGAATACTCGTCCATCCCTGTTGCAATCAAGAAATGACACTATCGATATCCATTTAAATGATTATTCTGGACATGGGACTGTGGCACAAGTGTTGTTGTAACGTAGTCTACGTTTTTAATGTACATCTTGATAGATGATGTATTTTGTGTACATAAATGTTGTTGTCGTAGCTTTCATGGAATAAATCATATTAGTGGTCTATTTTTAAATGGTATTGCCATCTATTCAATGCTGAGACTTTTATTCGTCTACAATCACTGGACAAGTAGGCATCATTTCGAGTCGATAGTAACTATACGATAGACCATGATGAAAGTGTGGTGATCGTTTGCGGCTATTATTAGTTCAAGTTGGCTTTGCACTAGTTGGAAAAGAAATTACTTTATTTCGCTTTATCGGACTACTCTACAATGCTTGACGAATAGCCAAGGGTTATTTGTTGCTGACGGTGCTACTCTAGGCCATTTCACTGTTGTACTGTCTACGAGTATACCCATTGATTGGACATGGATTGCCTGAAGTAAAATTCCGTCGATCATCATCACCCTACTGTTTTAAGCCACAATAGTGTGCCAAAATGATCTTCCAGCCTTTCACCTTGTGTGATCTTGCTGTCTTTTGTTTGCGAAATACTACCAAGAAAATGGATCACGTACATTGGCATACTGGGAGCCATGACTTCTCTATCCTATAGCAATGGATGAGTTTACTCAATCAATCCAGTCTCATTCAGTCCTTGCCTGATACAGCTAGCAATGGATGATCACGATAACAGTAAAGGACTATCGATCTCATCATGTCAGTACTAGTATGATTTTTGCTTTCTTGCTATACTGTGAAGAAGAAAGCTAACTCTGGGTCCATAGGGTGTTGTCCAAGCTTTCGATGATCACGATAGCAGTAAATGACTATCGATCTCATCATGTCAGTACTAGTATGATTTTTACTTTCTTGCTATACTGTGAAGAAGAAAGCTGACTCTGAGTCCATAGGGTACTAGTATGATTTTCGCTTTCTTGCTATGCTGTGAAGAAGAAAGCTGACTCTGGGTCCATAGGGTACTAGTATGATTTTCGCTTTCTTGCTATACTGTGAAGAAGAACGCTGACTCTGGGTCCATAGGGTACTAGTATGATTTTCGCTTTCTTGCTATACTGTGAAGAAGAAAGCTGACTCTGGGTCCATAGGGTGTTGTCCAAGCTTTCGATGATCACGATAACAGTAAATGACTATCGATCTCATCATGTCAGTACTAGTATGATTTTTACTTTCTTGCTATACTGTGAAGAAGAAAGCTGACTCTGAGTCCATAGGGTGTTGTCCAAACTTTCGATGCCTGCATTGGCTTCCATTTGTTTATAGGGATAATGAATGGATCATCACTGGAAAGCGTAGCGTATTTAGCGTCTCTATGTCATCCTGTCATAGGACTACAAGCACTAGTACTGTACTAATCGAAAGTGGACTTTGTGTTGATAGTTATTGAAGTGATTTGGTAATGTAGATGCTTTAAGTTTGGATACCTGCATTGAAGAATGAATTGATGAATTATTAACCTGCATGATTGCATGATGCTTACACCGGTGTTGTGCGCCCAACACTGGTATAAGCCTTTGCAGTGGCTTGTTCCTCCTGCCTTTCAACAAGTCTCTGACCTTTCCATGCAGCACAAAGGTCAGTGCAAGCATGCTGCAAGCCAGACGTCTCTTAGCCTTACAAATTGATGACCTTTTCCAAGCCTTTTTTTAATATATAATTAGCAGAAATTGGCTCATGTTCTCTATGATTGCCAATCCAGCCATTAGAAAGGTCGGCGTAAGCGCTGCTTGCAGCGACTTGTGTAAAATAGATGTCGCCTTAAGAATGGATTGAATCGTACCAATTGTAGCCTTTATTCACGACATTTATTTTACACAACTCGTCTGCCGTAGTATATACTGTACATACTGTACAATACGTCGTCCGACTGGCCTTGACGACTGTGGACTACAGTACTAACCACTGTATGCTGCTGGTAGTGCAGTGGCTTGTGTAAAATCAATGTCGCCCTTACGACTGGATTAAAGTATGCCAATTGTACTTTATTCACGACATTTATTTTACACAACTCATATCCCGTAGTACTGTACAGTACATGCAGCCACTCTGGACTACAGTACTACCAGCTGTATCCACTTGTGTAAAATCAATGTCGCCTTAAGAATGGATCAAATCATACCAATTATACTCTTTATTCACGACATTCATTTTACACAATTCGTATGACATCAAGCCACTGTGGACTACAGTACTAACCACTGTACGCTACTGGCACTGTAGCCACTTGTGTAAAATCAATGTCGCCTTGAGAACCGGATGCAGCCATACCAATTGTACCTTTATTCACGACATTTGTTTTACACAACTCATATCCCGTAGTACAGTACATGTAGCCACTCTGGACTACAGTACAACCAGCTGTATCCACTTGTGTAAAATCAATGTCGTCTTAAGAATGGATCGAATCATACCAGTTATACTCTTTATTCACGACATTCATTTTACACAATTCGTATGACATCAAGCCACTGTGGACTACAGTACTAACCACTGTATGCTGCTGGCACTGTAGCCACTTGTGTAAAATCAATGTCGCCTTACGAACCGGATGGAGTCATACCAATTGTACTTTCATTCACGACATTCATTTTACACAAGGGGCTAGACCAACAATCGACCTCTCTTGGTGGAGAAAAACCAGTCTGCGAACTAATTGCTATGCAAAAATTTCTCGGCCACCATCGCAATCGGCGTTTCTCTCCTATCGGCAACTACCATTTGGCGTAATTAGCTTACTTCTACTTGATTGAGGAGGCCAAAGTAAAGCCTTCAACCACCACTAATGCTCCATTGACTAAGGATAGAGGATAGTTAGCACACAAGACTTGTTAATGATGTGGCGATCGCCAGTTGATTACCGTTGCACGTTGTGTTTACACAGTCTGGCTGTTGGCATCGGAAAATTTTGACCGCTTTCCAATTCTTGCCTTGGATCCTGCATTTTACTGACATTGATAGCTTTTGGCCATCGTCACTAACGCCATCTGGCTAACACGTACTTTCATCTTGCTATTGGTGATTCCAAAGTTAACTGCAAAATCAGTAGCATACGACAACGATATGGACTATGCCAATGGAAGCGATCCGCAACAACAACAATATCATCATCATGACAGGGTGCATATCGTCAGTTTGGAAAAATGGCCAACTGTTCAAGTGCCATTTATTATTGCTGTGGCATTTTTTTGCACTTCTATCTGTAAAATTGGTAAGTTCATATGCTGATCAACATCTAGTTTCCTTCGTCAATGTATTTCCATCAATCAGTCATCCGATACGATTGTCAATCAGAGAATATTAGTCCATGTTGAAAATGTTTATTGATTGGTTTGCTTGTCGGGTGGCAATTTTTTTCTGCCACGGCACACGATGGAGAATGTTGCCGATAACTTGATGGCCGTTGTTGGCCAGAAACAATTTCATGCTTACCTACTTCTTCATCAATCTTTGTTGTTGCAAAACTAACACTATTTTTTGTATTAAGCTTTCCATTGGCCGATATATTGCAAATCACAGAAACCTAACTCTTCTTCCAAATTGCAAACAATCAACCTTTCATCGATTGTGCCGGAATCTTGGTAAGTTAGCTGTAGCCTGCAGTACCCATCTTCCATTTTTGCCACATTCATTTTTTTTTCTTCTTTTCAATCCATCCACAACGTAGTGGATGGAATGCTATCGACACATTTGCAACAGACAATCTCTATCCAATTCCTTTCCTGACTAAAATGGAATCCATTTTTTCCACCTTTTATACCATACCCGTAGTAACAATAGACCCCACATTTTTTTCTTGTTTTATCCTCTTTAAAATTTAAAATGATCATTTCTACCTATCCATTCCAATACATTCATCATCTTTCCTCATAGTCTATTAAGTGTATATAGATACTTTTCATATCCAATGGTTGACTTTGAAAACCAATTCACTCGGATGGGTAGAAATTGCTAATCCAACCCTTGAATGGATAACAAATTAGTTAACTCAAAGTACAACCATTTGACCACAAGGCTGTATTCTATCCACAGTCAATGCAACTGAATTAGCCTAGCTTTCTATCAACATTGTCTGTAGAATAATTTCTTGCAAGCATAGTCTAGGACATGATGGCCTTCTCCTTGGGCGAGAGGGAAATTAAAAATGTTGAAACTTGGATACAATTCCAGGATAGGATGCTTTACCCCTTTACCTCAACCCCCTTTTTCGACATGGAAATCTCATTTCATGCATAATTCATTACTTCTCTGTATTGAATATTCAAATCAAGGATAGCCTAGTCATCCAAACATGCTATTCATCATCTTGCCATCATGACTACATGATGGCAGTATTGAAGAGTTTTTAATCAAGTAAATTTCCTCTTATTGAAACATTTCTTTTTCCAACAAATGATGCCATCACATCATGTTGTAAAGGAATGATTGGTTATAGCATGTTCTACATGGATGACCACATCACTGCCAAAATGCTCACTATCCATCGATTACATTCTTGCCGTAATCATTTGCCTCAAATCTATCTAGTCTACTATGGATAGCAATCCATCACTTTGCTATTTCACTCGTATTTTCTGCCATTTTTGTCCATCTACGGTGGTCAATTTCCGTAGCAGACAAGAATAAATTGATCAACAATATTTGAAATTCTTGGCCTGGGGGCAAATCTTGACAGGCATCGCCTTGTACTTCGCTTTGAATAGTCTTGTTGTTGTCAGTTTTTCCTTGTCATCATTGAGGGACTTGGTAACTTTAAGATGATCGTGTCTGCGTTAAATTAGTCTGTTATGCCTAGAAGAGGGCGAAAGGATGATTTATTACCTTGATCATCTGTACATTACAACATCATATTAGAGTGAAGAAATGATGAAAAAGATGCCCTTCCATTCGACAAAACGATCACAAAATGATATCGTGTGTTCTACTTGTATTGTATTAGAATATGGATCTTAAGTACTCCTTTGCTAGTTCAGTATTTATTCTCAAAAACAACATGGATTACAAGTAGATCTGGATCCAAGTAAATCCACCATGTCTGTGACAACTACATATATGGACTAATCCACTAGTAGATGAGTAATCTCCAATGCGAGAACACCAATCGAGTGACGATTCTATTTTCAACATGGCCCCTAAAAAAGCCAAAGGGATCAACAATACTGTTGACTTAATACATCATTCAGCGATTTGACTTTCGATAGTATTACTCCATCAGCAATCATTCCAAGAAGAAATCGATCGAATTCGCCGAAATGGCAATTCCCATCTCATGACGACAAGGTTCACGCAATTTTATTGAAGAATTTTTTTTTCCCACATCATGACATGAGTACCTACAAGACTAAAGAAGATCCCTCTTTTGACCAACAATGTCCTAATCCATAATCATATAGAGCGATAATTTACTTAGAATAGATGTTTACCTAAAGTATAGTATCCAGTTGTGGTTGTTGATTGGGCACAATTTGCTTGATAATATCAGCATGCATATTATCATTCTTACAGTTAAATGTCCATCATGTGCAAGATATCACTAGCCTTGATAGACTGGAATAATTTCAAGTTCTAATAATATAGCAGTTTACACTGTCTTCGCTATGCCATGATATAACGTTAACCAGTTGATTCAATTTGAACAATTTTGATATACATTATCCTTACTCGATTTTATGGTAGCCTAATCTGGAATCACGGATAGTCTGGAAAATACTCTACGATGAATAAATGATTTGACATGCAAGAATTGACACATTAAAATATAATTTACAAAATTATTGATGCCTTAGCAAAAATGGAGAAACTCTACCATCATTTTGGGTTCCTTTTAGTATTAGTTTACAGCCTATCCATGACTGCTTATTACTGTAGTGATGCAAAATGAATCCATTTTTCCTTCTTTCTATCAATGAAGAAAATGAAGAAAAATCAATTACAGCGCTACGCTAGTAATGCACAATTTCGATCAACCAATATTGCCAAGAACTTTAATAACCTTTCTATAGCCCTTCTCTATCCATTGATATTTTAATTTCATTTAATTCTATTTATAGCTATTTCTCGTCCTTTATTCACTTCTCCTTCGATTAAAATAGCTATCCCTTTATGGTATTTAGACTTGTCACCATATTGATTTTTCCCAAATCCAACATGATGTACAATTCCTTGTCAAAGTTTGACAAGATCAACTCCTATCGTATTGTATAGCTTTCAATTCAATCCATTTCATGTTCATCTTGTTGATAACAAGTTAACAAACATGCAGTGACAGAATATTAAAACTACTTCAGGATAGGCGAACATGATCGTTGCAATCATTTTTTTTTTTGTCCTTTATAATGAATTGGTTGATAAAATAAATTGTTCAATACTTTATTCTCTTTCTCTATATGGCGATACCTGCTTGGATTGACTAAAATTGCCTTTATTGATACCGATATCATCATTTCCATATCCAAACTAAAGCATGTTAATTGTTTTGGGAACAATTATCGGTGGAATGTTGTTGTAAGTCTGCTTATGGATGCCATTTCAACGTTGATTCAATACCAAATTAATAATCATGAATCCACTTACTGCAGTAGCTAAATCGTATCAAATCATGCCCAAATTGGTTACAAATAACCTTGTCATTGTTTTACCTGATTTAGCTTAATCATCATTTCAATATCATTTAACGATGTTATGTAAATACAACGCAATAGCAGTATGAATGATTCTATTCTATGTGTTCAATATCCATCATGAATTGTAAATACTTTCTAATAGAGTTAATTATTGTACTTATTTCGATCAACATAATTATAATCCATCATTTGGAAATGATTTGCTTTAGTAACGTATTTTGCGTACTCTTTTTCTCAATTTAATAGTGGTATTTATGGACATTCAGCATCCATCATCTATAGTTCAACAACTTTCTTCTTATTTTTATTACCTCAGTAAGTATCAATTGAATTTTACATTTTGGGGTTTAATTCAAAATGGATTTAAGAGTCTAATCCCACCGATGAAGTAGATTGAAAAAGAAGTTTTATTTCCCTATTATAAACTAATAGATATGTATTTAAAAGACACTTCTTCTTAATTTTAATTGATATAAAACAAACTTTTCTATCTTCCATAACAGAATTGTATTTGAAGCTGGTTATTTCCTACCTAACAGATTATTTTTCGATAATATTGGTACTATCATTTTGTACGCCGTTGTTGTAAGTATTCTACACGAACTAGTAACTTTCCAATAACAAAAACTTGTATATATATTTACTCGACTTGATTAATGCATAGCAGTTTTAAAGTTTGCTTTATTAATAAGGCTTCATAAACGATATTAAAAACATACAATAAAAAAATACTTTTTTACTTGTAAAATTAGGGAACTATATTCAACACTTTTACTGTTGGTAAGTAGAATTTGATCGTTGTAGAGTTTCAATCTAGTCATTCTACTGCATATCATTTTTAAAGACTTTGAGTGCCTATAGCTGTATAGCCATTCGCACAGTAAACGGATAACAACCATTACTTTTTTAGGCTCATCCTTATATTTAATGTCGACTTTGGGAGCAATCAACGTAGAAATTACCTTATTACATTGTTTACTCTTTGGTAGTTTGATATCTGCTGTTGATCCAGTTGCGGTGAGTAAAAATTGTACTTAATAGCAAGTTGCTCCATGTACAATGACGATCAATAATCTTATTTGTAAAGTATCATGATTAAGTTGTAAAAGTTATTTAGAGTATGTAGGAATCAGCTTGCGACTTGTCATCCCCAATGAATTAACTTGCTACTCTGTTTTTCGCAGGTTTTAGCCGTATTTGAAGAAGTTCACGTTAATGATGTTTTATATATTCTAGTATTTGGAGAATCTCTCGTTAATGGTAACAAAAAGATTGAACTATTTCCACTTTTTAAGTTGGTACATTTACAATAATATATTATTTTTTCTTGACTTTCAAGATGCCGTAACCGTAGTATTATACAACTCCTTTAATGCTTTAACCCAAAACGCGGTATCTGCCACTAGTAACACCACTAACTATACCCTAAGCGCACCACCTGGCACTAGTAGCACCACTAACTCTACCACTTACATCACCGATAGCATAACTCCAGTTACAGCATCAGAGGTAAAAATCGATAGTTTACCAAGTTAGAAGTATTTATGATGCTGCCGAATATCAGCAACATGAGTTACTGAATCTTTCCAGATAGAAAATATTCTCACAGAGTTTTATTGTTAAAGATTGCCTTGTCAGTGGGATCCTTTTTTGTGGCAAGTCTGGCCGGTACCTTGATTGGAATTATAGTTGGCTTCATGTCAGCATTTATCACCAAATATACCGCTAATGTGCGAGGTATGGTAATTATCCTACGTTTATCGTCGTTTAAATTGCTTACTGTTCTAGAATGCCTCCAATCTGGATGTTACGTAACATCATCATCGTAGATAATTATTTTGACATTAATATCCTTGCTCATTACAGTGGTTGAACCAATGGTCATCTTTGCCGGTGGATACATTGCATATCTAGTCAGCGAAATTTTCCATTTCTCCAGCATAATGAGCATTGTATTTTGCGCTATTGCGATGAAACCTTATGTTGAGGCTAATATCTCGCATAAATCTCATACAACTGTTAAATACTTTTTGAAAATGCTAAGGTAAGCCTTTTCCAAAATCGTAACCAACTAGGCTTATACGCATAGCGTAAGATAAGATGATCCATTATCTTGGAATATTGCTTTACCTGTTCTTTATTTTATTTGCAGCTCATTTAGTGAATCACTGATATTCTTATTTCTTGGTCTTGTCCTGATTACATGGAATCATTATTTTAACGTGTCGTTTATCATGTTTACCCTTCTATTCGTTGCAGTCTATCGTTTTATTGGTAAGTTCAATTTATTAACATTGACCTCCACATACGCGCGTATCTCAACTTTACCAAGATATCTTCTTACTGACCTAATTAGGTGTATATGCCTTAACTTTCCTGGCTAATCGATTTGGACGAATGAGGAAAGTGACATTATTGGAACAATTTATCATGGCATACGGTGGAATTCGAGGGGCTATTTCTTTTTCTTTAAGTATTCTCATCAATGAAAAGGATGTACCGTTACGAAATATGTTTGTTACGACAACCATAATTGTTGTTATATTTACAGTATTCCTTCAGGTAATAAATATTAGTTAAAAGTGTTTTTTACTACACTTGTAGCAGCGATAACTTTAATGATATTGTATTCATGAACTCCATTATAACCTATAATTAATACGTCTATATCACTTATTCAGGGAGGCACTATTAAGCCGCTTGTTAATTGGTTACACATCACCAAAAGTGAGAAGCATCGACAAACATTAAATGAAGCTACATTCGATTCCATGACTGGGCATATTATGGCCGGTATTGAAGAAATCGCTGGAACATTTGGATATAATGTCGTAAGGGAGAAAATGAATGAATGGGATAATAGATATTTTCGTAAATGGTTAATGAGAGAGCCACCGCAAGAGAAAGATCTCCGTATTTTACAAACGTTTAAAAAATTAAGCTATAAGGACGCTGAAAATTATCTAGTTACACATCAGTATGCTTTTTTACCAAAGAATTATTCTAATGCTAGCTTGGAAAGGGCTAATACTTTCAGTTCTGACGTCCATAGATGTACAAACGGGCAAAGCTCTTTTATTGGATCGATTGCTACAAATTCAATTGATGTTATTGTTCCGCCTGCTCCTTATGAAAATAGTGCAATGCCGACATCTCCTGTGCTAGCTAGGAATGCTCTGAAGAGTGAAATTAAATTCTCAGACGATATTGAGAAACAGCTTAGTAATCATCATCTTGCACTATTAGTAGGTCGTTCAAACACCAAGAAAAGGAATTATCATGGAATCTCTAAATACATGCTTCCCGACGAGGAAGAAGACGAAAAACATCATAAAGGTGCTCACTGGCGGCGTCGTTATCGTCATCATCATAATAATAGTACAAAATCAAAATCAAGGACATCGTCCTTTACTCATGAATATGTTCGTCATCATCAAATACAACCAGTTTTACATCATCATCATCATTATCACACGTAAGTATAGTCTTTGTAAGTTATTGATAGCTTACAGCAATTTCTGCCTATTGATAAAATTCAATCTTCTGTTATGCTAATGTAGAGGAACGAAGGAATGTGTCGATGGTAAATTAGAAGATGCCGCCGAGAAAAACGTAAATCATAACAACGATCATATGCATCACCATCATCATCATCATCGTCACCATAAGCATGGTAGTGCAAGCAGAATTCATGGTCATAGTCATAGTCATGGTCATGGTCATCATCTAGTGTCGCTCGGACTTGTAGCTATTCATCTCGTTCAAATCTTGATATAGAATCGGATTGTAGTAAAAACGGAATCAATCCAAGTGATGGTTAGTAATGTTATAGTCTATACTGCTTTCAAGCATTTATGTCATTTATTGTCTTTACAATTGGATTTATTTGTGCTATTCAATTTTTATATTAGCATCGCTTAACAACAAAGTAAATGACAATGAAGCCATGCACAGACCGAACAACGAATGTCGTCGGGAAGATGAAGTTGATACTGGAATTATGTTTTCTGTCGCTGCTTCGAAAAATACTTCAAATACACACGTAAATAAGGCAGATGATGCAAATATAGTAATAGATCAAATTAAAAATACAGAAGACAATGGGCAATTGTCCAATGATGAACAGACAATACGTTACAGAAAGGATAAACCAAAACGTGAAAGCTTTATAGCAATTAATCTTCCCTCTCTGGATCTTGAAGCAGAAGATGATACTGTCCCAATATGTGACCCTAACAGAAAATTGGAATGCCGAAAGATTATTGAATCTGTGGCCAATTTTGAAGAACTAAGCCAAAATGACTCCAACTCTCCTGTAACAAAAAGCCAATCTAATCCTGATCTTACTCCTAGGAAAATATCAACCGCAAGAAGTTTGTCTACAGAGACGATGGTGTGAAGATATAATTACACGACGACTAATAGCATCATAATTTTATCGGCTAAGATAACGAGGATTTTATAAACCTTCATTCTCACAGTATAATTATTCTACTCCTAAAATTTATCCATTTCCGCGGTGAAACATAGTAATGCGAGAAATAAAAGTTTAAAACGATTTATATAAATTCTTACATTTGACAGAAATCAATCAGAATATAATGTTCAAATAGCATAGGCAAATCACTCGTAATTCACTCCTAATTTGTATTGTTGTTGTATCGACGACTGCATTGCACTGCTAATGTTTTGGCAGTCATAAATTAAATATTTGGATGTTAATATATTATACACTTTTATACTTACCATTTCTGTGTTATTGGATCTCATTTGACCAATGATCGTTATGATATTTGCTGAACTTGTCCATGGACTATTTATTCGTTTAACCAAATTTGGTAATACTCTTTCAGAAATTATCCATTTCACTGTCAATAAAAAAGCTTAATAGATAATATATTGTTATGACTGACTGGTGTTATTTTAGTTTGTTCAGCGAATGAAATCATAAAAACTTCTTTAAACATAACAATATTGAAGTAAAACTCTAGCCTAGGTTATATTGCTAGCATTAGTAGTGCACAAGTAGAACAAATAGATAAAATAGATAAAATTTTAAAATTCAGTTGACCTCTCTCTATGTCCTCATAAAATAGGATACATCACATCAAGTTAGCATCTTCGGCAGCCTAAAAATGATTAGTATTGAAAATAATGATGATGATATTTTACCTTGTTGTTCGAGCGATGAATAAATGTTCGCTACTAAAATTACGAATCGCATAGATCATGATATTAAATCGCTTAAGAGAATTATTAATAAATTGTACGCATTGTAATAATGTCGATGCCTTTTTTTGAAATGATCTATAAGCTGATCCAGGCTCTGTTCTAGAAATGTGCAACTTGGGAACTTATTAAATATGCGCTCTTTCTGTAATGCAATCATTTCCTGACGATACAATAATTTTAGTATGTAGTAAGGTGCAAAAGTTGCTCTACTTAAGTATAATTTTAGTTTAAGATGCTAATATAAGAAGAATATCATAAATTCTTGTATTTATATAGTTTTATAACCTATTAGATGTAATTGTATGCTATTCAGGTTGCTGTACTATCACATAAGAACAAAAATAACTGGATGTATTTATTATACAGGAGCATAAAGTCGAGAATCATGGATATTAATTTCGCCCTTAAATGAAATTGTAATCTATTTATTAATAGATTGTCAAATGTTAAATGACACAATAAAGACCCTTTGTCAGCAATATAATTCATTAATTAATTATATATAGATACGTACATTTATGCCCTATATGACGAAATGCTAAATTTACAAAAATATGGATGAAAATCCTGTTGAATATAAATTACAGTATGTGATTTCTCTAAAAGTGTGAAATCTGCAGTCGATAACTCACACTACGGCAAATTTAGCACACGCCCGAGTATAGCAAGGTGCAAAACATTCGATGCAAATACCCGCATAATCTTCATGCTATACAGAAATTTTAGCCAAATAAAGCATACCCTTACCGCTGTCAGTACATGTTAATACTGTAAATTGCTAGATAGAGCTTATAGAGTTGCTGATAAAAGCTTTTGAAATTTTATACGTGATGAAATGCATTCTTCAGTCTTTAATTCATAACATTGCAATCTAAGTAGATCATAAAGCGCAAATGAATCATCACATTATCATAACACCATATTATGATATCATTATTGGTAGCTCCCTTCAATTTGCCTTGGAAAAAAATTGCTTAAAGTTTTACCTTAACTCTAAATATTTCTCATCGATCAACTTGAATTAGGCAGACTATATAACATGAAGAAATAAAAATAAACAAAACATCTACTCATCACTCCCTGTGGCGACTATTGGTCTTATTCAATTATAATTTTATTTCTACATCGACAAGTAGCCAACAGCGATACTACGTATTAGTAAAGGTATATAAAACAACCCAACTATTGGATACAACGATCGTTCTTGTCAATCTTTCATGGTATTATCCATATATTAATGGCATCAAAATTCTTCAATACTGACTCATTTACATGATTGTGATCCATTTGAATAACTTATTAATAACAATAACAACTGTGTGAGGTTGAATTTTAATCCCTCCTAAACACCAAGTTGCAAGTATAGTCTTTCATTAAATATTCATTCTTTTCAAATTATGGAATTCAAAGATAGAAATAGTAGCAACGTGGGGCAATCAAGATGCTCCTGCCTACTGCCCACTGTTGCTCTATCACAGAATAGACGTGTACAAGATATGCTGTCAATACAAAATAGTTGCATGTTATTTTTTGCAGAAGTTAACTTCAACGGTCATCATCTGAAATCAAGAAAACAAAATTACATGCTCTAATTTAAACTAACCGGCCATCAATTACATTTATGCTACAAAATGATTTTGTTAGCCAGCATGGTTAGACTACTATTATTATTATTTGCAATATTACTCATGGTGATCCATGCAACTTCAACTACTACCCAAAGGAATTATTTAGTGGTATTATTGACATCGGATGGTAGCTCTCACGATCTTCATTCCTTACCTACATCTTCTCCAGATTCTAGTCGACCATTTCGAGTTGCTTGGACAACCACTACTGGTAATTATATTAATAGTAATAGTACAAGCTAGATCAAAATATATTCTATTTTATGAAATGATATTGCTACGAAAATTCTCTATCTAATTTGACTTTCAATACAATCAAATTATAATATTTTCGATCATTTCTACTCAATTAACTTAGCGATTGATTTTAAATCAAGTATTTTTACCTCTAGAGTATTCCCTTTCACATCTGTCTCTTTACTCCATTTATTTGATAGTTGAATCCGTACTATATATGTTAATATGACGATATTTCAATCGCAAAATAGCATTTAGCCAAGGTTAAATTGATATCGTGAATAAATCGCGACGATAATAAATTTTAATAGCGTCTTTTTCACCATATTATTTCTGAGTTCTTTACTATCTCTCAAACTTTATGTCTAGATGTTAGAAACAATTACTCTATCTAATTCGAATTTAATCTAATGAAATTCTTATCATTTTTTGTCATTAGTATTTTCCCGAAAGAATATGTAGTATTACCAGTAAGTTTAATCTCGATAAATCAAGATCTTCATGCTGAGAAAGAATAATTTCGAAATCAGATTAGGAATGTTACCATATTCAGAGAGTCTTCGTTAATTTAATTGCCTATTGAATACAGAATTTTTCATATTTGTAGAAATTGAGTTATCATCAGAGACTAAATTAAAAGTCACGATTGTGGTTTCAGAAACTTTCGTCAACGATGCAACTTTGATATTATTTTTTGTTGTCTATCAGTTGTACTAGTTTCTTATACTGCAACGTAAATAATTGACCATCTTAGACTCTACACTTCTTTATACTTGCTTCGTTACTTATAGATTAATCATAAATTAAACTAAAATTTCAACTATACTAAACTTACTCTTCATGATCGAATCAGAATGCTTCAGATGGAGGAGTCCCATACCTCCTTAAAATTAGTAGTTTTTCTTTTAGATTCAAAAGATGTATTTGTTACTTGATGATTTGAAAAGGAATTATATTTAACGATAAGTAGGAATCAGATTGAAGGAGTTCATCTAGATATTACTGAGCTAGTATGATAGACTATTTCCTCTACAAATAGCTCCCTCCAATCTCTATAATAAATTTATCAATTCAATTTGTATCTCAATTATCTTATAACTATTGATTGGCAGGATTTAATGGCAAAACATAGACGAAGATGTTGATAAACTAATCAATCCGCTAGACAGCTTTACTTATAATTGTTAGTTTCCTTGCGAATCTACAAATTTATTTGTCAGTCTAGCTTATGCCTTGGTTATTATTCTGTTTATTAGCGTATAAAATTTAGATATGAAGGACAAGTTAGTAAGGCATTTAAGAATACATACTGTAGGCATTTCATTTTTAACTATAAGTCTCCGTACAAATTTCGCAAAATGTATTTGCCGATTCAGTTTATGGTTTAGATACTATTTCATCAATTGATAAAATTTAGATGAGAATTCATGTGTTCAACTACTACACAACTTGTCAATACATCTTGTGCTTATTAATGGATAAGATTAAAATGAGAATACCTAGCATAGATTTTGACAAACCATCGTTCCTCCAGATTTTTTTCTTAATCAGTAATTTCTTGGTAACTCTATACAGTACAGCATATTTATAAATTCAACTTGTAAATCAATAATTGTGTCAATCAGTTGATAGGATTTCAATCTGAAGATATTTAATGTAAATATTAGCATTTAGGACTTTGACTATTAGAAATAATAGATCTTACTGCTTCTTTTGTATGGATAGGTCTATCATCTATAAAGTATATTGATCAATCTACCTTCGATGGAGTGGCAAACCAACTATTTGCTCCGACACCAAGTCAAACCAAGTCATTTCCGTGCTTGAATGTAACTACAGTCTTGGCTACATTAACTCAAGTTTGGACGAATAATACTATAGATTCCAGTCTATTCATACTAATTGATAGAAGATTATCATTTTGCATCAGTAATAATTCATTAAATAACCAATGGCAATCCCCACAACAAGAAGAGTTAATGGATGACATAATGCTCCATTTTAAATCATCATTTAATCTCATAACTTCACCAGATATAACTATTCCAACATCGATTCGTCGATTATCAACATCAACAGGTGGCTACCACTATCGTATTCAGCCAAACATTGCCACTAAAGTTAGCCAAATTATCGTCGTTCATCATCAGACTCCTTACAAGTGGTTTGAACATAAATTTAATGATGCATCTACCATTACCCTGAATTTATATAATAAAGTTATTAAAAATGTTGTTATGATCTCAAATAATCGCATATTCGCTAGTCCCTCACCAACTAGAAGTATTGAAATAACATCGCGACAATTTATGTATACTTTTGACAATCCGTCGACTCCGGTAATCAGCTTTTTAGTACTAAATATTGATGGCATAAAGCCCAATGTTTACGCAGCGGTTGATCAACCTGCTATCCGCAACTTAAAATTCTATCCTTATATCAAATCAACTAGAAAATCACCATTGTTACTGCACAATCCAATTGATGGTAAGTTAGAGTTAGTTTGTTAAGAATAGAATATCAGGATTATGGGATTTCAGAAAGCTCCTTTAAATGTTATCATATAAAAAATTAGTATTTTGTAATATGATCAATAATTCAGTAGTATGTATTTATATTATAGATAATTAAAAATAGAAATTGCTACACCTTTAGCTGCAACTGTCACTTAGACTTGCATCTATGCGTACTAAGGATAATTCTACAGTAGAATATCTTTCAGGACAGATCAGTAATTATGATACACTTCTCATTTCATATTTTGTAAGGTATATAACGTTACAATTGTTTCTGGATTAAGTACAGAATTTTAAAACTACCACGCAAACGGATATATGTTTAATTTATATAACCCAAGATGTCAATAGGTGTCAGTTTTATTTCGTTTAATGTTTTTATTTGTTCCTGTATGATCTATTGCATGTTTATACTTGTGCATTAACAATTGCATAATAATTTATTTGCGAGTTACAGTATTCGTTCCTGTCCATCTGATATGACGTCCTTAATTGTTATTATAAGCTTGCGTTTAATAGCAGATTAAAATCGAAATAATTCAGACACTCATATGTGAATTCTTACTTCTAAGTTTCACAATGAGTACGTTAGCTATATGCATATATTTATTTTTTATTTATTGCATTGTATCACATATTGATATTATAAGCGCTAATTACTATATTTACGTTAAAAGTTGCAAAATCTATACGCAATCTTTCGATAATTATTTACTAAATTACAATTGCAATAGTTGATACCAGTAATAGATTTGTAATCTCTTTAAATAATCATCAAATTAAGATAACATATAGATAAATTCTATTTCAATTATAAGAAATTTACCTATTTCTACACCTAGGTCTACCAAACTACATCCAATTCACAGCTCCACTTCAACTTCAATTTAAAACGTTAGATCTCGTTGATTCCGTTAATAAACGGGTGCTAGTTCATATTCCATCTAGTAAAGTAACCAAAGAAGATCAGAATCAAGAAGTGAACTACAAAGCTGGGCCAGTTTTAATACCAAATCAATATTTTACTATTAAGCTACGAGCCACTAACGCCCTGGGCTCAATCTATATGCCGACGAATAAGCGTAAGTATTGTACAGGAATACACATTAATAATTTTCTCTTGAGGTAATCTGGCATTTACTTCAAGTATGTTAGCTCAACGCCACAAATATAGAAGCAAACTACCTGTTACAATATTTTAACAATTCTATAAATCTCCAAGCTAGCTAACAAGTTCAAAGCTGGTAAACTAAAATTACTAGGCACCCTTAAATAGAAATATTTATTATTTCAGATCTACTTTACTTTCGTATTATTCTCATACCTTATTGTTAGCTACATTTAGCGTCAGTATTTCAAAATACTAGTCGATAAAAACAAAAATCTAGCAATACTTCAGAAAAACTTACTCTTCTAGACAGCTAGAAGATTAAAAGCTAATAAACTAATGTTGTTAGACAATTTCATATACAATAGCTCCTGATATTTTCTAAATATTTACTTTATTTCTATTTCATTATCGACGCGTTAAGATTAAAATATATTAGTTGATAACCCAATTTAATACATAGTGCAGTCCAGTAGATAGAGAATCCGTACAACATTGCAATTCTTAATTTAAGCAATATTACGACGTAATGTACAGCAGTAGCGCTTCATATCTTACGATGCTATGCATATATAAGGCAAATTCAAATGACATATATAACTCCCTTTAGATAACTACATGATGATCTAGAAACATATCGCGCTCTATCTGATGCTGAATAACATCAAATTAAAATATAAAGTGTCGCTTATCTCTCTTACAGCAATTCAAAATCGTCTTATAGTCACGCAACAAAACCGATCAGCATATATTCCTTGCAATCCCAGCTTGTTTGCTAGATTGCGTTTCCCCAAAATACAATTTCAGAAACAATGGTTAAGTAACGTCAAAGATGGCTTAGTTACTCCAGAATCGAGTAGAAATAAAGATCTTTTATATTTTAAGCAAGTTAATAGCTTGAATGAAGGAATTTATACTTGCACCATCTCCAATCGAAACGATACCATTGAATATCATCCATACTACCTGATTGCGGCGGGTAATGTTATGATATAAATAAGTATTCTTATGCTAGGGCTGCATTATCACTAAGTATACATATCAGAGTTGAACATTAATTAAGACTAGATTTTCCTTCATATTATTTACAGATAAATTCACTAGAAATCGAAGAACAGTCGAAAAAGGAGAGTATGTCGAAATTCGTTGCTCATCAAAGCAAGGCTTTGCCATTTTACTCCATAATAATAAAATTATTTGGACCAAGTCGAGTATAAGCCATCAAGGCATTATAGGCCGTAACTTAACTATTGGAATTCAAATCACCGAGAGTTCTAATGATATTTATACTTGTCGAACCATAAAACAGCAAAGCTTTGAGGAAGATACCACGCGTATTTTGTCAACAGGTAAGGATCTATCATCGAGATTTAAATTTAACTTTATTCCGCGTTTGAATAAGTATTAACTCGTACAGCCAGGATGGAAATAAATGATCAAATAAGGATTTCCTAGTCTATTATTGTATATCGTCGAATATAAATTGAAAATTGTTACTATTACGTCAATTTAGCCAGACATGTTTCTTGCCAGTCCTTTGTTGACATTCAATTCCAACCCGTGTTCCTTATTTACCTTAACGGATCGCGATTATCCCTCATTTCAGCTGACTTTTTAATTTTTATTTTTGATTCTGTAGTGTAATAGATTTTTATTTCTTAAGTTTATACTTATCAATAGTGATTATTAATTATCAGCCAACCTAGTCAATATTTTATTTCATCTCTTAATTTCGTCTTTTCAAATCGATTTAATAGAAACTAATGCTTGTTTTACGGGTATTACGACTATCGGCCAATCTAGCCAATATTTCATTCATCGATTTCGTCCGTAGGATGGGATTCAATCGAAACTTACGCTTATTCTATTACGATTATCTACCAACCTAGTCAATATATCATTTCATTTCTTGATTTCGTCCATTAGACACGATTTAATCGAAATTTACACCTATTCTATTACGATTGTTGGAGCTAAGATCTAATTTCGATTCCAATTTTTTTATTAATCTTGAGTTTAATCGATGTTATATTCATTAAATTTACGATTGCTCTACTGCAGTTACTGCCAGCGTTATGTTTTAGTAATGAGTTCACTCCATGAGTAAGATTTGCAACTCTTATTTATTGTTAATGATTGTTATTTATGGCTACATCAGGTTACACCTCGATACGACCACAATTTATACTTCGCACTACAATTAGTAAATTATCAGTTCGCCTTTTACAATGTAATCACCTACAGTATTACAAGTACTACCATACAATTATCATATAAGTACATAGTATAGTGTTTAATTCTATTAACGTATTTATGCGCGACATATATCGTAGCTAATCTATAACTATCCATATATATTGCATAGTGAATCTAACGGATTGTATAACAGCCAGTCTTAATCAACTTCCAATTTAAAATTTTTTCCCAACGAATAGGTACTCTTACGCCGCGAATTAACGCCTATCCTGATGTGATCACTGCCTATTTTGGTGAAGATACATTTCTATTTTGTAATTCAACACTACCAGTTCGAGTTTGGCGTATTTATGTCGATGGCCAATTTCTTAAAGTAACCAAGACAGCTGATGTTATGCTGCTCATTTCAGCAGCTCAGTTGGCTAATTTAACCCATTATACTTGTGAAGCGGAATATCCTTCAGGAAATATATTAAGGCTAGACGTTCCTTTGGTTATTTTAGGTCAGTGTGAAAGTAAATCCATTATAGAAATGCTGCCAAAATTGTCAGATGAAAAAAGATTTTAATAGATCAAAACCTGAATAACTAAGATAAATTTACTATTGCTAATAAATAATGTTACTTTCTATTAGTAGTCATCTTAACAATTTCCGTATATTATCTATACTAACAATTAAATTCCGAATACTATTACAGATGGCGAATGGACTTTATGGTCACCTTGGTCGAGTTGTAGTAAAACTTGTGGGCAAAGCTTTAAAAAACGTCGCCGACATTGTCTCTTATCTAACGGTTTACTCTCGAATGAACTGTCAACTAAAAAACCTTGCAAAGGCGACGATATCTCCACCGAAGTTTGTACTTATCGTGGATGTGATCCTAGCAGTAAGAATCTTTTCTTATATCTAGTACACATATAATTATTAAATTAATATTTACACCATGTTTTCCTGACTTATAAAGAATGCTTTTACGATCGAAATTATCGTATGACATTTTAGATTTGCGTCTATTTTTTCTTAATTTTTCTTACTAATTCTAATACAAATGGAAGTGAACAGCTCTTTTGAGCTAGAAATTGTTATGCTGCATAACATGTAAATATTTCATTTACTTTGCATAATCGATTTTAACCACACAATCATCACTGATAATTGAAAGGCAGAACAGGTTTAGCTAATATAATGATCATGAAGCTTACATAAAGATATCTTATTTCCTAGCCATATTCATTTAAATCCACTCTTCGATATTTATGTTAAGATTTCGTAATTTTATTTTGAATTTTCTTCTTCTATTAAATTTATTTTAACTGTATTGATGATGTCTACGACTGTTCATAGTTCAATTTCAAGTGAAATCGATTCCTATTTAGTGAATTCTACCTACAATTTTATGACTGGAAGCTTTCTTTCAAATGTTATCCAACCTTTTAAAATTATTTTACTGTTTTTCTATCTAGATCAACAGCTCGTTCCATCATCGGTTATAACAGGAAACATCGAAGCCATTGTTGACAAAAAGCGTACCAATATCTCAGTTAATATTGTTGCTGTAGAAAAGGAAGATTTTACGTTATTTACTATTGTAACAAGCAAAGTACCTTTACAATTCCTCAAGCATTTTTTGGTTATTCTACCTTCGCTGTCTAGCGTTAATTGGGTTTATGGTAAAAGTTTAAATAGTGCAGTTAGCAGACAAGAATTCAAAGGCAGAAAATTTCGTCGAAAGGTAAATAAATATGATTGGATAAGAAATATTTAATAGCGTTTTGATGAATATAAAATTATATCCATATATGTTAGTGTTAGAAATTATCTGAAAAGTATATTCATCATATTTAGAGAAAGTGCTTATTCAAAGGCTAAATAATTCTAGGCTTAGCTTTATATTCCTCAGTTTCCGTTTCATAATGATACCAATACTGCTTAGAAATAGATCAATAAGCTAAATCTCTGTTATTTATTCCAATTCATCAAGATGTCTATTTATTATAAAGATGGTTTTTTTACTTCGACTGTGATCAATATTGCTGGCTCACCTATGGTATTCGAAGCCAGTCTTGATGGTTTTATTAATAATGATCAAAGTTATGATCTAGTACGAGCTCGAAGAGTTCGCGAATGTTTCATCCGCTCAAATCTTAAAACATTATCTTGGTATTTAGCAGACAATTGCTCTGATCGTAAGTATATAGGCTTATCAGGATAGCTATAGCCATAGATATAAGGGATCATAATACGGCATCAGATTGCACTATATTAATATTGATTATTGCAGTAAGCAGTAAGATATGAATATTGCGTAAAAATATTGTTACAAGACCGTTACCAACTAACCTACTCATATAAGTTAATTAATCGAATCGAAATTAGACCGGTGGCTGTAAACTTTAAGTTAACCTAGTAATTATGATTCACGACTTTTGCTCAAGAATGTTCCATGCAAAGTTATTTTTTAACAAAGAAGTCAGCATGAAGCATGTTAGATAGGAAAGTGATCTGGTAATAATAGTGGATGAAATTTAAAAAATCATGAAGATAATTCTATGAAATGAAGTAAACAAAGTATTAGATCCGCCGAGTAGAGTAGTGCTACCCGATATCTAGCATCAATAATAATAACCTTATAAGCGTCGATAACATAATTGGTATAGCATGAAAATTATTTTACAAATTAAGCATACGTCTCTCTCGTGGGATAGTTCTAGTTTATATCGTAAATAATAGCCCATGACTTTTGAGTAAAGAGAGTTATACCTAATATGAAATCGTTTTACGAATAACGATAACATTAGAAATACTGGATATGATACCCGTCATGTAAGTAGTAACTAAGTTCCACTAAGCATGAAGGATTGATTCTTATACAGGATATGTCGTTCACAAAAGATGACGGTGTTAAAAGTGATAGATGGGAGGCCCGGTGGTCCATAGCCATCTTGTAAATAGTATTCAACGACGTTTGATGAACGAGAGTTGGCATCATAAAACACGAAATAGCAATATTTAATAACTTATAGAATAGTGACATCTTCCTTTGCAGCTTTACTAAAGGTTAACCCAGCTTTTGCTTTTCAAAACTAGCATCATCCGGGTTCCGAGATGAAGCTTCCTTTACTGGCTTTGGGAGTATTGATTATGATTTTCATCAAGAACCTGCTACGTTCCTTTTCGAAGTTGGACAGTACGATATATTAAATTGGAAGGATGTTAACGACAGCTTAATTATAGAAATTTCTGGATTTATAGCTAAATGTAATCAATAACCTTAAAAAAATCGTGTTATAATTAATATTATATTTCGATTTATGAATTTAACACTCGGGCAACGAGTTGATAATAAATTCAATTTTATGTCCTAATACATAGACATCAATCAACAATGTCCTAAAGGATTTGTCGAAAGATATCCATTCTGTCAAGGTAACTTGCTGCTGACCGTAGCTAACCAATAAGTTAACAGTTTATTATACCTTACCTATACTTGTATTCAGGTAGTAAACATTGAAATATTCATTTAAAATAGGAATTAGTTATCGCATCTAATTATTCAGCCTACTTATGATTCATGCGATCATAGCTAATATCTATGCTTAAAAAATTGAATTATGGCATTTTGTGATTTAGATATTGATGAATGTAGCATCTATCGTGGAGGAAAATGTTCGCATATCTGCCACAATACCGTAGGAAGCTATTACTGTAGTTGTCCCTCAGGCTTCGCTATGAATTCAGATAGAATATCTTGTCGAGGTAGGTGTACAGGGGTGTAAAAGTGAGGATTTCCAATCCATACTTGTTGTACTAATTACCAACAGCTAATTTACCGTACTTCAAACTTTAACTCTTGTGGCTTAGTAAACATTTAAGAAATTAGGTTTATGTTTTATATTTCCTATTCTTAATCAGTTAAGGTAAATTTCAGGTGCAGGGCTTTACAGTAATCAACTATCGGGGTGACCATAACTTATATAGCTTAAATCGTTGACAAGCTTTCTGTTCGATAAATTACGTTGTCTTTTGTAAGTTGTCCTCAGCGAATTCAGTTCCAAACTGGTTGGAACTACCTAACATTGAGCTTGTGAAATGATAGGCCATTTCTGATTGTGACGCGGTTTAATTTTTTTCTTTAATAAGTCTGTTACTGTATGATATATTTAGTAACTTCAAAGCCGAACTTAAGCACACTCTTCTATCTAGCACTTTTCATCTGAAACTTGCTGATTTGTTTTCGGTATCATTTAGCTATTAAACTAAATATACACATACTACAGATTGAGACCTCTATATCACGGCCTGTGGAAAGAATAAATGCGATCCTTTATGCAATACTCTAATTAATTAGTTGGCCTTACAGATTTTCGCAATAGCATTGCATCAGGTTATTTCGATCTGATAGTATTGATTTATATAAATAACTATATATAACCATGAACCAGCATGCATGGGAATGCAAGGTATTGGCGTTTCTGCAAGGGTTTTTACACTGTATGTACTGGTACATTCCAATAAATAAATGAAAGCACGCGCAGAGAGAAGGCAACATCATACAGCTACCATACCCAATTTCCCTCTCTGTATATATCATTCTCACCAGAAATACCCATACATTGTCCGAATTCCATAGCCTACCCGTAACATGCATATTCGAATTATATAGATACCAATTAGATGAATTTTATTTTACAGTAGTACAAGTATGTATAATTTTTTCAAGTAGTCCCTACAGTAGGGCAGTAGGGTAGTAAGGTATTATATCTCGAGTTCTAACTCATATTTATTCGAAACACGACTGTACAGCATTCATGAATTATCTAGTAAACCTGATAAAAACTTTCGAGTAGGACAAGGACTACGAGAAATTACACCTGGATATATCATTCTAACTCGAGAATATTCCATAATCCTATTTGATGAGCTATTGATCGTATTTCTCACTAAAACTACAACGATAATTATAATTATGGATAAACACACGTACCGTATACGGAAACTGTGCTGCTTCTCTTCTTATGATATATATATATATATATTATAGAAGATCTATTTAGGACTCTTTCTCCATTTTTAGACCTTGATGAATGTCTTATGAATCAGTCAATATGCTCAATTGATTATCGATGTGTTAATACGCCTGGTAGTTATAACTGTATCGCAAAATGTCAACAGGGTTATCGATTTAACGCCGAAGAAAGGAGATGCCAAGGTATTGAATTGACTTGTCGATATCTACCAATGGTTGTTGTTATGAGTATAAGCAGATACAAAATATCCTCGATAGTTAATAAAAATGTGATCAACATTTCAGTACGACTATTTTAAAATCGAAATTATATTACCGGTATTTCTTTTCTTGATTAAAGATATTAATGAGTGCTTGTCCAGCCCATGTGGTGAAAATCAAGATTGTATTAACACAAGAGGCAGTTATGAATGTTTATGTCGGCCAGGGTATATTGAGAATGGTCGTCATTGCATCGGTGAAATTAACTTGTTTGAAAATAAAATTTAAATATATATTGTTCAATAAACTTTTACATTAATTACATTAAATATTAAATACTATAAAAATACATTTATTCTTTCAACTTACATACAGATCTAGACGAATGCTCTTTAAATCCGCCACGATGCAAGTATTTATGTATCAACTTGCCAGGAAGTTATCGATGTGCATGCAAACCCGGATATCAACCAATACCTCAAGATCCAGATGATTGTTGGGGTTGGCATCTATATCTTTTTATTAGTAGTAAGCTTCAACGATACGGTGGAATTAATGCAAGAAATAATTCTTTTAACAGATGTAAACGAATGTGAGCAAAAGCCGTCTCCATGTTCTGGAAAATGTTACAATACATTGGGTTCATATTACTGTGGATGTATTAAACCCGGATTTACAACAAATTTATTAGGAGAATGCGAAGGTATAATTTTTTAAACTAATTTTAATTAGAGAACTCTTGATTGTCTTTACATAGTCAGCAGAATAATATACTAATTTAATAAATCTATAAAAATATTAGTTATGATAATATAAAGCAAATTCGATAATAAACGTAACGTATAACTTATAGTAATTCAATTTGATTCCTTAAAAATATATTGGTAGCGATCATTAGTAGAAATTTCACTTTAGTTGCTGCAGTTATTTCAGAGGTATTTACTTATTTTATATTATAAAATCTATTTAGACATCTAATTCTTCTTGTACATCAACGGTGCAAGAGAAAAGTTTGTAAGCTATTACCATCGATAAATATATGCGTATACAGTAAAGAAATTGCTCATAGATGACATTATTCTTGGGGCTTGAAACAGATCAAAATATTTTAGTTATCCACAGCTTATATAATTATGATTTCTACTACTTTTTAAATACTTAAACTACGAACAAGAATAGATTAAAGTTGATAATAGAAATTTTACCTCGTGCATTACCAGATATTAACGAATGTGAGCAAAATCCATCTCCGTGTCCTGCTAATTGTCGTAATACCTTGGGATCCTACTTCTGCCTATGCAATAAGCGAGGCTACAGAAGTAACAATCGAGGAGATTGTGAAGGTAACCAAATAAACATTTAATTTTGCTCTTTAAGTTAAAAAAATGTTATTATGAAGATAAATACACAGTACAGAAGAATTTTAATTTTCATTTTTCAGATATCGACGAGTGCTCTCTAGGCATTAGCCGTTGTTCCGGTCGGTGTTATAACTATGATGGAGGATATAAATGCATATGCGATAGAGGTTATTTACAAGTTACCGGTAATCGTGGGAGCTCATGCATAAAAGAAGGTAATGGATAAAAAATACGACTGCCGCTACGGCATAGAAATTATCATTGAAATTTCTGCTTGATTTCAGATGCTGAAAGATGCTATGATAAACAGTGTGGTTACAACAGTTTATGCGTGAAAAGGAACAATATTTCCGTTTGTGCTTGTAAAAAAGGTTTTAAGCCCTACCGCAATACAGACTCTTGCCTCGGTAAACCCTATGCTATTTAATAATTATAAATGATTTTTCAGGTTATTATAAAAAGGATTAAGTGGACCAGTTATGCCTTGATCAATGTTATAGTTAACGCATCTATCCAATTTTAGATGATGACGAATGCAGGTTAGAACCCTGCCAGTATCGATGTAAAGAAACGTTTGGATCGTACAGGTGCTTGTGTCCGCCAGGCTTTACTGTTGATCATCATTTATGCAAAGGTATTCTTGCTTTTGTTTATTTCATATACCTTATAAGGCTTTCTATTGATAACTTGAAGAAATAGTAGGGCGGCTATTAAGAAACCTTCTATTTGTCCAGTGTACATGAAATTATAGATTTATGTTTCCATTTACTCAATTTATAGATATTGATGAATGTACCTCTCAAAATCATCCGTGTAACAACAGCCATATATGTATCAACACTTTCGGCAGTTATCGTTGTGTACCAGATAGAAAGTCTTTATGCAAGCTCCCGTCCTTGTATTCGGCTCAGTAAGTTGCTATTTAATTGAAATTAATGATATATTTGTGAATTGTGACCGAAAAGATTTTCTTGACGTTAGGAATAATAACTTCAGTTACACTATGCTATCAATAGAGATATTGACTTTATACTTTACTTTTACCTATTGGTATTATTGTGCTGAAGTTTCTTTGCAAAAGATAAGCATATTTCTCATTTTTAGTCTTCTTTGCTGCTAACTGCTGTTATAAGGTTTTGTAAAAAAAAAAACGCTCCGCCAGTAGAGTTTTCAACTGACTCTTTATTATAGTACTGTAATTAAGTATTTATAGTTTTTCAACTTGGCACTTTACGCGCCACTATGCTTTACGATATCACACTTACGAATCTAGTACCTATTCTAACTATGAGCTGCTCTTTCAGGGTGTGATTAGTGGTAGTAAGTTCTGATTCTACTTTACACAGCATATTATTACAGTAATATGAGAACTACAGTTGCATTATTACAGTATTACGAGAATTACAACTACATTATTACAATTTTATGGATACTAACAGAGTCAGTGTTTCTAATATTATCCCAAATACTGTATCTAATAATCACCATAGTCATGCATATTGAATACTCCGTCTACCAACCGTGGAACCTACAGTTACTACACTTCAACTTTATTAGCGTAGCTATCCAAAAATTAATAAATTTTTCTTCTTTTTTTGCAGTCTTCGAACATGTATCAGGTTTTCTCATACAGCAGGTGTTTCTATTTTACAATCATTTGATTGGATTGGATTACCTTTAAATACCCCAGCAAACGTTTCTGTTTTCATAATAAACATGAAAACATTCAATCACTTCTTTGGATCTTGTATCAACTGTACCAATCAACTTAGCATTAGATATCGCATTATAGGAGGCAACAATGGCCATTCCTTCTCCTTACGAGGCGGTTCCAATTATAACATGGTTGTCTTTACCGAACGACAATTAATAACATCTAACGCTGAATATCCATTACAAATATTAACGAAAGTTAGTCGAGGCTTTACTGAGATGCACTTTTACCACAATTTAACCATCTTTGTTTCCCAATTTGATTTCTAAATTTGTTCAATTGCCAAGTAGACTTGACGATATTGCAAATTATTTGTAAAATTGGCGATTAATTTTTAAAAAGCATTTGCTGTTTTATTAATAGAATTTTCTTTTGAATGTATGTCATGACCGCAAAATTCAGGCTGCTTATTGGTTGTGCCCTGAATGCTAATATTTCATCTTTTAAAATATATCCCTTCACACCTCTACTATCTAAAATTGATTGATGTATGCTCATGAATAAGTCGTAATATTCAAACAACTTAAATAGGACTAATTTTCTACTTATTATTAGATGGTACATTTATATTATGATTTAACGAAATGCTAAAAGATTGTTATGGCTTTAGCTTATCGATAAATATTTTAAGGCATGACAATATCAAATGGCAGTATTATATTATTATTATTTATCCAAGCCTTAAGGTATTATTTGCACCGATCTATTGTTTTCTTCACATCTTGGGAATATTCACAGTTTCGATGGCATTAAATTTATTAATAAGCTGGAGCTTTCTAATAAATTGAAGTAATTACTGAAATAATATCCGCTATACATTGTTGATGTGAGTATATTTATGCATGAAAGATACTACATGTAATTTCAACTACTAACATACTGCACTGATCAGCAGGTATTGAACAACATTAATAAGAGAGGACAGGGTAAGGAAGGTGACTACGAAGACAGGGACTAAGATATCTTCATAAATTAGAATAAATGTGGACTTGACAATGGTTTCAATTTATAGTTTTCTTTTATTTTCACCTATGCGAATTGTACACCTTGCATAATAAGAGTACAGTTATAATACATTAAATCCATAATGTCGCATCTTATAATACCGCACCATATCGATATAGGATATGCTCAATTCCATACAAATTACAGTATATATATAATTTACATGTAAACTCCATTTCAGGTAGAACATGATTAATAGCAGATGCTGTGAATTGAAACTATTATGCAAGATGCACGTGATGCTATCGATTGTCAACTTGACTATCATTACCAATGCGGTGTGTCAAAGTATCATATCGTACTGTAGTTTTGAATAGGTCTGATTAAAAGTTATTGATATCATTTAACACATGATACCCTGTACAGTAACAATCAAAACATACATGAGTATTGTATATTGTATCTATACTAAGAAAAATTAAATTTGAACATATAACACAATATATTACTATTGTGTTGGACAGTTTACGCCTATTTCAATACGTACAAGAATTGATATTCAGTTAACTAGAAGTATGATATTTTGCGAATTTGCTATACCGTATGCCACGATATAGAGAAAAATAGAAAATCTATGATCTATATAGCATTGACGCTTACGCTTTAGAAGATGTTCCTAAGTGATGAATGATCTATTTGTTTGATAAGCTCCTGTTAAAATCATATTGCATGCCTATCGATTTTCACCTTGCCGTTATCATAAAACCTCTTTCATTGCAACATGGCTACATTACGAGTACTCAATTTCTTGATGGCTGTTTAATAAAAATAACGCAAATTTGTGTGTATTAGTACCCAGTTTGGTAATGCTCTATTCATTAGTCTGTCAGTAGCCAAAGTACTGCCGCATCTGGCTTCTACTATGTTGTCATTGATTTTTATTCGATTTTAAGATTATATATTGCATTATTACTGTATTACAATGCAAATAATACTGAAATAATTCTACATTGCAAGATTGTAGATATGATTAAAGGATATCACTAATGATATTACTGTATCAGCATTGTAAGTATTAGATTCACTTCGACTACGATAATAATGCAAACTAAACTAAACTAAATTAATAATAGTGTGACTCAAGCAGAAAATTAACGATATAGCACTGCTGGTGATATTAATATTATGTATTAATTATCCATACTAGCTATACACTTACCCACACTTGGTACAAGAATAGAAGACTGTTTGACCTTCATCAGCAGATCTTGTTTGTTGAGTGTAATATGTCATACTGTTGTTGCCACATTTTTCGCATTTGCGTTCAATCTGTTGCCAAAAAAGGAAGAATCCCAACATGTTAGTATCCACAAAATGTTGGACTAGTTATTATTCTATTACGAATTAAAAACATGATGATTGTCAACACACTTTACTAGCTATATCGGGTTAAGACTCTAGGGTCTGAATGCATCATTTCAGAGTCGATCTTGTTTCCTACCGACTAGGTGCCTATCCGCTATCATGGCTCATAGTGAAACTAATTGAGAGCTCAGTTTTAGTCGAATAAAATCGCTGTATCAGATAAGACTTATTTTTAAATGATTGCTCAATTGGATAAACATACGTCTAGGATAGCACTTATTTTCAATAAGAGATCGCTCAAATGGATCAGTATACGTATGAGACAGCACTTCTTTTCAAAGAGAGATAGCTTAACTTGATACGTATACCGTACTATGGGGTGTAACAGCCATTGCTCACTCAAGACCTTCAAAGTTAAAAGAAATGGAAGGATTGTACAGTAATAGAGTAAGTGCCATTTGTACCTATGAGTTGTGTCAACGATCAAGTGGATCTCTCCTACTATTCCACTACAATAAAAGATCTGTTTGCATGGTAATTAGCGCTTTACTTACAATTGGACCTTTAGCATGCTGAGTATCATCCTTGATTTTTTGAACGCCTTTCGAGCGTATCGCATTAAAAGTGATGGTTGATTTTGTTTCTACACCAAGATAGCTATCAATGCTGATTTGGTTGTTGCAAACAATGCAATTAATAGTTTGAGCGCTGCTTGGGCTGGGCATAATACTACCACAGCGAGGGCAAAATCCGGTTTCACAAATAAATGCCTGGCTCATACTCGTATTATTCACTATTCAGGTGTGCAGACAAATCAATGATTGCCGGTCGACATGAATCAAAGAAAAATTCCAACGCTGTTGCTTAGCAAGCTTACACGAATGATCTTGCAGACTAACGATCGAAATTAGCGATACAGCAGTATAAGAACATTTGAGGATCGGATTATCGATCGGATGAGAGGAAGTAGCAGCAGTTTTAATGAATGGAAGATGCTGTCTAGCCGAGTTCGCCATAAATTACTTTGCATAGCTAGACTAGCGCTTTATAGTACAGTGCTCGACTACAGTAGTACTGTACACCGTACACTGTACACTGTACAGTACATTACTGTGTACTAGTGTACTGTATTGTAACCCCACTTGACGTACAGTACTGTACTGACGTCAACGTTTTACGATCTGCATACTGTAGTACAGTGTTCGACTACAGTAGTACTGTACACTGTACACTGTAGTTTTCTCGACCTTGCTTTGATTTCTACAGTACTGTACAGTACTGTAGTGAGTCAAGACTGTACAGTACAGTACACTGTAATTTTCCTATTCTACGTACAGTACAGTACTGTACTGTACAGTACTGTACCGTACTGTGCTGTAGCATTGAATGGTCTTAGGACTGAAGTGTAGCGCCTGTTACAATAGTACTGTATAGACGAAATGAAATTCTTACCGTGTTTAGTATGTGGCTGTGAGAGTATCCTGTCCAGATTGCCTTTTTCTACTAGTCGTTGAGTTATCCTAAAATGAAAATATTAAGAAATGCTTCTTAAATGGACCGATACAGTATGTAAACGTTTCTTGTTTTTATCTCAGTAATATCAAGCTCCATGATCAGCATACAGTACAGTACAGTACAGTACTGTAGAGCAGAGAGCTCTCTACAGTATTAAGTTAGTTATTTTAGTACTGTACACAAGTTCTGCCATGCTACAGTCTGTGACTACACAGTCTACAGTACTGTACTGTAGTGTGCAGTGTACTGTACTGTACACTGTACACTGTACAAGACTGTATACTGACGTATGGACGTGCCGACATCAACCTTTTACGTTCTGTTAACCGCTAACGTAACGTCCTAACGATGGGCAGGGGGGTGCAGACCGAGCACGCTCAGTGGGCCAGTTGAGTATTGTACTGCTGTACATAGTAAACTGTTTGAGCTGGTTAGGTAGTCTTGACGCAAGTGGCGCTCGATAACCTGCTTGTGATAAAGAGAAATGGAGGGAAATGGAGAATTTCTTTTAAAAGAATCACCGACTGATGGGATCTCTTCTTTGACATTCAGTTCAGCGACCGATAGCAATGCTCTGTTAGTATCGTCATGGGACAAAGTAAGTACCATTATCGATATTACATGAACTACAGGACTGTGGGATCAGGATGACAGTAGAAACAATAATAATAGAATGATCAAGGTTAGAAGAAAGATTTAGTTTAAAGTCAATGCTATTTCTTCATGCCTAGAGCGTTCGCTTATATGATGTGGACAGTAATAGCTTACAAGGCATCCATAATGCAAATATGCCTGTCTTGGATTGCTGCTTTTACGATAAATCGCGTGCATACAGCGGTGGATTGGATTGTAAAGTGATATGGTAATACTAGAGCAGTGAATATCAAATCGAGACGAGAATAACCATAATAACTTGCTTTTTCCTCATCTTACCAACTGATTTGCATAGTCTATTGACAATTGTATTTATGTTGGCAGCTACGATTTCAACTCATCGTTTGAAAAAGTGATGGGCAAACATGAAGATGCTGTCAGATGTGTTGAATACTGCCCTGAAGTCGGTTAGTGATGCTCGTCACTATTCACGTAGATCAATCAATCCAGATTCTATTTTGCAACACTTGATACTGTATTGTCCAATAAAATTGCCCATATAGCTTACTTAATGACATAATATCATTTCCTACAAGTTGGTATTACTTCTCTGTAGAATAGCACACTATTTGTGTTATTAAATGCCTAGCAATCGTACAAGCGATAGACAGGAATCCCAAGATCATGTGTAGCTTAATCTCTTGCGATTGCCCTCTCTAGGAGTGATTATTTCTGGTAGCTGGGATAAAAATGTTAAGGTATGGGATCCTCGACATCAGCAGCCGGTTATTACAGCTGCTAATCCAGAACGAGTAAGTTACCAAATTATTGCATTTCAATTTATGCAATAATTCCAACTTCTTAAGTTAATATATAACAAAAGTATGTAATCTCTATAGGTTTACACAATGTCTTGTGTCGATGAAAAACTAATCGTTGGTACGGTAAGTTGATCTTGCTTTGCGTTCGTGGCTTGTCGCTTAACCAACTTACTAAGATACTACAATAGTAGTATGTAAAAACTGAATAAAGTAGTACAGTAATGAAGAAACTTTGTTTAATCCTTAGGCTGCTCGCAAAGTATTGGTGTGGGATCTAAGAAATATGGTGAGACATTAGCCTAAGTAACTTCACGCATAACCAATTGGAACACTGTACAATGTAATAAATTGTACTCTATATCGATAGAACTTTCCTCAACAACGACGAGAATCGAGCTTAAAGTATCAAACAAGATGTATACGTTGCTTTCCAAATAAGCAAGGTAAATGCCAGTTGAATTCCAATCCTTAGAAAACCGATATACCTCCGTAACGGCTGGACCTATTTTTAAACATGGCTACTTTTTATCCTTTCAGGATATGTACTAAGTTCAATAGAAGGACGGGTAGCGGTCGAATACTTCGATCCCAGTCCCGAAATTCAAAAAATGAAATATGCCTTCAAATGCCACAGAGTAAAGGATTCTGGAAATGAAATTATTCATCCAGTTAATGCAATATCATTTCATAATGGGTATAGTAAATATGCTTTAGATTTGCATGATCTATTTTTAGATCGTACTATTAGAATCATTTTTGCTGTAGAATATGGATTGTAGTAGTTACTACTGTATAGAATTATTATTAAAAGATATTATTCTATGCTAGTTATAATACATTTGCAACTGGTGGATCTGACGGTTTCGTAAACATTTGGGATGGATTTAACAAGAAACGATTATGCCAGGTAATACAGTATTTGATTAGGCTATTCTTGGTTTTTGTTTGTCCAATATTGAAAGCCATTAAACACTATTGGAATGAACGCGTATATAATAATGCACTGCATCTTTTAACATGAAATTATTTTTCTCTCAGTTTCATCGATATCCAACTAGTATAGCATCATTATCATTTAATGCCACCGGGACATTATTGGCCATCGCCTCATCATACTTATACGAAGAAGATAAAGACGAGTAAGTGTATTTGGGTCATTTTATACCTTTATAATAACTATTGAAATTGTCCTTTAAAGAATGCAATAATATCTATTCAAAATTTTTAGGTCCCCTGCTCCAGATTCGATTTATATACGGCGGATATCAGACGCAGAGTGTAAACCAAAATAATGTACTTTATTACAGCAATAGTCTCAATTGATTCATATGTATGATATAGTCCGATCAATTAGCTGGATGTTTTGGTTCAGGAATGCACTTGGCATCCTAATAAGTTAAAATGTCGAAAGCTGCTATCTTAGGTTCACTAGTAATTTTTTTCATCTCGTTGCTATAAAAAGGAACATTTCCAGAAACATTTATGCTGTATCACTTTGCATTCAATTCTTCCACGTATTTTCGGTAACCATAAGGGTAATGACGCGCACTAAATATAAATATCAACAGTCCGTCAAGTACATTCTAGAGCCTCCAACAAAAAATAGATAGTACTTTTTTACCTATAGCCAAATTCCTTGACGTAATCGATAGCGCGACGGCTACGTTTACCGGAACCACAATAGAAAACGATATTTTTATCAGTTTTCTTTGGTATAGTTGCGCCATACTTTTCACCAAATTCTTTCTCATCAAGTTGAAAAGCTTCTTTCATCTGATCAACTGATCATTTTGAGAAGGGTTTAGTTAGTAAACAGCAGTAATTGACGCAAACCTTGCAATATTTCTCATAACAAATAAAGCTTACTTGGTATATTCATAGAGCCCTCAATTTTGCCAATTTCTTGTATTTCTTTTGGGGTTCTTACGTCAAATAATTTTACTTCATCAATACCTAGTAGCCTTTGCAATTCTTGGGCATTAATTTCCTCAGATACTAGTTCCGTATATTTACTAAATCCACCTGGGTAATAGCGAGCGCTGAAAAGAAAGTCAATATTGATTAGGAATTTTTAGTAGGTAGTACAGTAATGCGAGCCGCTGCTGAGTAGTAAAAAATTGGAAATGAAATGGATGATGCTCCTTGCTATTGTGAAGATATTCCATTTTGATGCAGAAAATTTTAGACTTGAGTTAATGATGCATGACTACGCTGTAGTATAAAGAGTTCTATCTACAAAAAGAAGTGTATTCCCCTCTAAAAATTGAATTGCAATCAGGGCGAAATGGAAGGCTTAGTAATATAAACCGTTCTTCAATACTGAAATAACTAGTTCAACAGTCTAAAAAGGGTAGCAAATACACGATCAACATTCCTAAAGATATCATTGATTGCAGGACTCAGAATGAATAGTAACTTTCTGTATACGTCACATTCAGTATAATAATAATTCTAACTAACCGTTAATAACTACAATTCACTACATCACATACTTGTTGAATCTCATCTCTTTAACAACGTTAACTGCACGCAGACTACGTTTTCCAGAGAGACAGTAGAAGACTATAAGAGTATCTTTGCCAGGCAGTGGTACACCATACTTCAACTTAAAGTCGCTGGGGCTACTTTGGAATGCGGTTCTTACTTCATCGACTATAAAACATAGAATCAGGCTACATTTGAGATTGATGTCATGGACAATTAGGGGGATTGTAAAAGTTGTTCACGTCATGAAGGGTATGTGGAGGAAAAGTAAGCAATAATAATTTTAAAATAATAACCAACTTGGTACATTAACGGAATCATCAAGGCCTCCAGATTCTTTTATTTCCTGCGGAGTTCGAACATCAAATAGAACAGCCTTTGCTGCAATCATTGATTTTAGTTCTTCAAAGGTGATTTCGTTATCCATTTCAACCAATTTCAACTGAAGATGATGATTAAAATGAAAGAGTTATATTATTGAACGGGTTCCATGAATACGAGTACACATATAATAGTGTAAACTGCAAGTATTTCTATCCAGCTAGTCACTTTGAATATTGATTGGTTATTTTATAAGCTGATTGAGTTATTCTCTATTCAATTTGAGATACTATTTATTTATTCACAGCAAAATTCTGAACTCCCTTACGAATAGAACGCGAGTCTTTTTTCAAGATTAGAAGATTAGGCTGCACTAATAATAATGATGTTTGTTTTACCAACGACTGTAGATTAATAAAGTCAAATAAAGAAATTGCAAGGTACATTAAGATACAACTGTTGCTATATATACTGTAGTAGTAAAGTTAAAGTATAAAATTGGAGATGTGACTCCGACTTGCGAAAAATTCCAATGCAGTACATTACTGTCATTTGCTGGAATAATGGCGTCCATCCATTTACAGCATCGCTTGAGTGAATCATACAGTTTGCAAATCGTGTATGCATTCTACAGGAATATTTAATCACGTATAGTGTACAGTGAGTAGCTCCTGTTGTTATATAGATGATAAATCATACTCTAAATTGGCAAACTCCATCTTAGCATTGAATTACATATTCCATTTGATAACGTGCTGGATGATATCATTATTATTATTATTACAGTATTTTTTTTTGGGGGGGGGGGGGTTTAATAACAGTCATTCACCAGTAAGTTATTATTAATCCTAATCCTATAGAAATGAATTTGTTAATGGACATTCAGCAGTTGGTTATTACTAGAAATGAATTGGACCTACCAATCCGCACCTGCCCTTGACTTGTGGTTTTAAAAAATTTTTGGAGCTCAAAGTGTGCGGTAAAACTTAGGTGGTTATCGCACGATACAAAACTTGTAGAATTAATTAATGAATTCGTTTTTGGTTGTTATGGAAATGCTGGTGCTATTCACTTGACCGCTGCAGCACGTAGTCCAATGTCTAATAGACAAGAGACCAGAAAGCTGCTATGCACGGTACAGTAATGTTCAGTAATGTTCAGTATAAACTTACAGTATAGTACAGTACTACAGTACAGTATGAAACCACCATACCGTTCTCTTGTGTACAGTACAGTACTATGTAGTGTGTTTACAGTGCATAGTACTGTGAATCATGTGATGAATACCGTACTGTACAGTGTACAGTACAGTATGTCTGTACAGTATGTACTGTACAGTACTGTACTGTCATCATTCCATTGCAACCAATTCTGGTGTACTGTACTGTACAGTACTATGCAGTGTGTTTACAGTGCATAGTACTGTGAGTCATGTGATGAATACCGTATTGTATGTACTGTACAGTACAGTACTGTCATCATTCCATTGCAACCAACTCTCGTGTAATGACTAATGCTGCATTCTGCTGTGTCAAGTAATAGGGAGAAATATTGTAGATACCGTAGACGAATAGACAAGGGACGAGAAAACTGCTTTGCACAGTACAGTATGAAACCACCATACCGTTCTCTGGTATACTGTACTGTACAGTACAGTACTATGCAGTGTGCTTACAGTGCATAGTACTGTGGGTCAGATGATGAATACTGTACTGTATGTCTGTATGGACTGTCATCATTCCATTGCAACCAGCTCTCGTGTAAAAAAAGGCCATTGACTAGACCTGACATTACAACACTCAGTAAATGAGTGTTGTAATCCTCATTTACTGAGTGTTCTAAGCCGTTAAGACTGAATTCAATATTGACGGATTGAACTTGGATTTGAATTGTCTTTGACGAAGGAGTATTATTGAAATGGGGACAGGATCGTATCCACTGTAGCCATCGTTACAAATGATCTACTCACTCATAGCACATGATAGCACCAGTACTACATTATTTTAACGATGACCTTTTGTGAAAGGAATGTTGAGCTTTCCAAAATTGGCCATCCTATCAATCAGCACCTGCCCTGGACTAGTAGTTTTTTAATTTTTGGAGCTCAAAGTTGTCGGTAAAACTCAGGTGGCTATCGCACGCTACAAAACTTGTAGCATTAATCAATTTATTTTGGGGTTGTTATGGGAATGCAGCAGCTATTCACATCACCGCTGCAGCACCTAAAGCAGTCCAATATCTAATGGTGTGCTCTGCTATGTCCAATAATGAATTGATATACGTGTGTACAGTATAGTCATAGGGAGGAAAATTGTAGATACCGGAGACGATAGACAAGACACTAGAAAACTGCTTTGCACAGGACACCTAGAGTAGTCCAATGTCTAATGCCGTCCTCTGCTATGTCCAATAATTAAGGGATAATGAATTGATATACTGTACAGTATGTATGTACAGTACTGTACAGTGTACAATCATTCCATTGCAACTAGTATGGTGTGCCTTCTCCTTGATTCGCCCCTGCAAAAAGGCCATTCACTCACTCATCTACTGAGTGTTGTACTGTAGAAGTCGTAAAGACTGAACTCAATATTTGACGGATTGAATTTGGATTTGAATTGTCTTTGACGAAGAAGTATGGTTGAAATGGGGACAGGATCGTATCCACAGTAGCCATGGTTGCAAATGATTGACTCACTTCTAGAACATGATACCGGTACTGGTTTACTTTTAACGATGACCTTTTGTGAAAGGAATGTTGAGCTTTCAATAGTTGGCCGTTATGTCATGCAGGGGCCATTAATAATAATAATAATAAATAAATAACGATGATAACGTTAACTGTATGACGCAATGAATGCATGCTTTTCAACTGCTTGGTCACGTTGCAGTCATTAGTATTGTCCTTTCTGACAGTGGAGGAGAAAAGGACCAAGCAGACCTGGCTCCACTATGAGCCATTAATGAAGCATTGAGTAGGGGTGGGGACTGGTGCCGGATGTTACAGTACCATCGAAATTAATCAAGGCGTTTGCATTTGACGGTGTCGGCAAGCGTGAACATTATTCGATCACGATCATACAAAAGACTCTACTCTGTCGACATGATTCAACACCTCACCTTGGGGAATGAATGGAGAAATCCAGTACAGTACAGTGCTTTGGACTGTACTGTACTTGTACAGTGAATGCCCACTTGAGTTCAATGTATGTACTGTAAGCTACAGTACTGTACTGTAATAGGGCACTGTTTGCAGATTGACACTGTTGGAAGATTGAAGCACGCGTTCTCCGTTGTACTGTATGATAGCGTTGTTAACTGGCAAACACCCCCGGGGTACTTGGTGTGTGTGTGAGGGTTAGTTTTAACCATTAAACTATCGGCTCGCTTTCAACTGCATTAACGGATTTAACCTGCTGTTTTTGCCCAACTGGGTAGGTTGGAATGGCTTCCATTTGCCAACTTTTCTTTATTGTTACTGTAGTTTAAGAATTAAATTGAATCTCAGATCAACATCGTCTTGAGTCGACGATACGATCCATCGTTTTCCAAGTTGGATTGATACTCTTTTTTATTATTATTCTCCTTATAGGTTTGCGGAGGTTAGTCATTCCATTACGTTTACCTACGCTGTCCGATCCAAGCTAATCTTCCAATCGTAGCAGACAGTCTTGCGGCAATCGGCTGGATACGCTTGTTGGTCTAGCCTTTTAATAAAGTAGAAAAATTAAAAAAGAGAGAGTCAAGAAAAAGCCATTTTTACCTTGTTGTTTTTGATTCTAGTTACAAATCACTTTGACCTCAACATTCATCATCATTATGTCGACTGGCCCTTTTAAGTGTAAGTATGCTCTTGTTTGTGAGAGTGTTCCCGATAGTTACGCTTCACAATCACTACGTTCGCGTGAACCCAATGATCCAATCGATATCGATTTGGCACGCCGTCAACACGCTGAATATATTAAATTGCTGAAAGATTTAGTGGAAAATATCATCACTATTCCTTGCGATGAAAATTATCCTGATTGCGTCTTTGTTGAAGACACTGCAGTCGTCTTGGATGGAACAGCGTTAATATGTCGCCCTGGTGCTGAATCACGTCGAGGCGAAGTCGATGCCGTGCGCCAAAAATTAGCCGAGTTAAAATTACGCATTGTCGAAGTGGAAGCACCTGGCACCCTTGATGGTGGCGATGTTGTATTTACTGGCAAAGAAATCTTTGTTGGCATCTCAAATCGTACCAACATAGCTGGTGCAACAGCAGTGGCTCGTGCCTTTCCTGACTATCAAGTTTCCATGATCAAAATTAAGGGCTCTCTCCATCTTAAATCAATCTTGACCATGGTCGATTCGGAAACCTTAGTTGTCGTCGGCAATGAATATGGTAAAAAAGTCATTGAAAACATGCAAAATAATTGCAATTATATCTATCAAAAAATAACCGTTCCTGAAGGTGGCGCTAGCAACTGTCTTCATGTCAACGACAATATTATCCATGGTAGCCCATCGGAAATAGAAGACGTTGAAAAATTTTTCGAAATCATGAACAAACCAACTTATCATGTTGAAAATTCGGAATTTAATAAAGCCGATGGCTGCTTGACTTGCCGATCTGTCTTGTTTTAACTCATCCGATATCAACAACCCAAGGCAATCATAACAAAGAAGAAATTTCTACTCTCCATCTTCTATCCCATCCATGACGTACTTGCTGTTGCCAATGGGATCCAACCGAACTAATAACCATAACTTTTACAATAATTAAAAACTTTTTAGTCAGCAGTATTATTATAATTATCAAGAGTATAGACAACTGCAATCATCATTTTTAATCATCAATATCCCTTCTATTGCCACATTTACCTATCTCAGTAATATCGTCTTACCATTTTATTACCATCATCATTATTATTATTATTATTATTATTATTATCTTCTACCCACAGATACCGTAATATTCTACAGTTGTTGTCTAGTTGTCCTTGATGAAGAGATTATATTATTATTTTATCCACATTTTATCTAAACGAATTGAGACATTTTGTTTCGATTGCGGATAGCGATGAGAACTATTTGTTTTAATTTGATTTTCTAGAATGAAGTGATCTGATATCGTTACTAAAAGTACAGTACAGTATAGTAGTTGGTTGTTAATGTTTGTGGTCACATACAGTACTAACACACGCCCAAAATATTCTTTCCAAATATGTATTCTCCCGCTAGGGCTTTTATTACCAGCACATTTGCATGGATAACATGTTCACCATGTTGTCACCCAAGTTTGTATCATTTTGCACTGTTTGCCATCTATTGCAGTTGAAATGTTCTCCTAATGATGTGATTGCTTTGCATAAACTATATTACTAAATATAGTCAATGGACAATTTACCATCCTAGTTTTACCAAATTGCTATGATATCAGTCAATTAATTATGGGATGTTTAGATTGATGACGTTTCTTACTAAGGGGGCTTTAAATATTTTATTTGGATTAATACCACTGTTACTCCGTGAAAGCATACTTTGGTGAAATTGATGTAGTTCATATTCAGTATAAACTAGAATAACATTTGTTTTGAGTTATTAAAAAGAATCAATTGATTTTTGCTTGCATCTTGGCATGGATTGAATGTGGTTAAATTGGCCAACTTTTTTTTTCTATTTACAATTTATCAATAATGTGGATATTTGACTTTACCATATTGTTCCTTACGTTCAACAACGTTTCAAGCAGTACTATTCGTGACGTTAGATGTACTATAGCAGCATGGCTATTCAAAGCAAGTGTGAATTACAAATACAAGCCTTCCAAGGTATTCATCCTCTAGTAAATATTACCCTTCCTCTTGGATCTGCCGTATCGAATGACGATACGGCAGATCCAGATTGAAATTGAAAAGGAAACGATGTTCATTAGTCAATCTTATTAGTCAAAAAAGTGCGATATTCCCTCCTGTGATGATGCACTTGAAACGTTCAGATTAATCCATTTCGTGAATAGAAATTATGTGAACAAACTTTGGTAGTACCCATGTAGAAGGTACAGTAGAGATAAAACATGATCGGATGACGTTGTAAAATCTGCGCGATTTTGGTTTCAATTGCTTTGGAAAATGGAATCAATGCTACTTTGAACTGAATGTAGACAATGCTCAGCATGGAGTTGCTAAATTCTTAAATAAATAAATAGGTTACAATTATGGCTAGTGTCGTTCAGTTGATACCATATAAAAAACTTAGCGTAGATTTGATTACAATTATGACTAGTGTCGTTCAGTTGATGCGACATAAAAAACGTAGCGTAGATTTGATTACAATTATGGCAAGTGTCGCTCAGTTGATGTAGCATGAAAGATGAAAAAACTTTGATTTTGCAGTCTAGACAATTTTATCATATTAGAGTCGCTATTTGGCCTTTTTTGGCCTTCTTAATGGAACAGTGATTATTATTATATTCAATACTAACCCATCATATAATTACAAGTGTCAATAATTAGAACAAGGCAACTTTCTTCCCTATCCTGCGCCAGTGACTGTGGCAATGATAATTTTAGTAACTCAATACTGCGGACTACTATGATGTGGTAGTCCATATCAAAAGCATACCTATCCTTTGTAATAACCGCTCAATAACATTTGTACACTGTAATTAGTTCTAGTTCTATTGGGAAATTACGAGTACCGTGGGATTTCCACTTCATAACCGATCCATCCATATGGTATATCGAGGTTATGAAGCTACGACCTTTGATTTATACATTAAAAATATCGTAGCTATGAATAACTATCACTAATGAAACGAAATAAATACAGTAAAAGATAATATGAATGAAGAATCCTAAAGCGCTCGTTATGATTTACAGATAGTAGAGTTGCAAAGGTAACAACAATATCGTGGTAAAGATAATAAATTTAAGAAATTGGGAAACGTCCGTGATTACTTATGAAATGCGTAAGTACAGTATATCGTCAATTTCGATTATTTGCATACGCTACAGTAGAACTACCTATTCTACAAGGTCCTAGCGAGCGTCTTACAGGTAAAGAATTAGAAAGCATCTGTTACTATTGGCAGCAGAATTCATGGTATACGACAATGCTTAATTATCTACCTATAGTAGAACTATCAATTTAAAAGGTTTTACTAAAGATGCGGCTTCCCTAGACATTACTTTGTTTGCTGCCACTGTATTCTTTAAAAACAGAGAAATGAGGTATATTTACTTCCGATCATAAGATTGACACAGTTGATTGCCTACTGACAATGCCATTAAGCCTGAACTGTATTAACTATTCATGACAGGGTTAAAATGGAAATATAACGACTTTTTCATTTTTTTTATTACCTCTTAATGTATCAAGTAAGCAATAAAATAAGTAACAATTTTCAACTTGGCCTTCATGGATACTTCTTTTAAGGCTAATCATGATGATCGTGACGTCATGGTCTTCACGACGAAGCAATAATGGAAATTGGCCTGATATTCGTAAAATTATCAATGGATCTTAATTAATTTATTACTAATAAGAAATTTCTTAATCAAATTGTACCTGGCTTTCTATGCAAACCTTACCTGGATACCAGCTCTATTTATTAAGCAATAACTTTAAGTAACATAATGGAGACAAAAAAAATTGATGATAATAGCTTTCATTCTTCTCAGTGAGAAGGAAAATAACCTGAAACTTTCCCACACTAGAACTTAATTATAATAGGATCAACATATTTTATTCTTAATAGTAATGATAGAGTAATCCTATTAGGCTTCGATTGTTTCAAGATATGAATGTTCATTCTTTCATTTTTGATGAATTCCACATAAACTAGACAATAATACGGTGTGGCTTATCCTCTCACTTGCTATGCTATTGTATTACCTGAGATACAGGGTTAGTTATGGTTCTAAATCACTGTATGAGTTTAGCCGCATCCAAACTGTAGATTTATTGTAAGTAACTTTAACAATTTACTTCAGTCGTTTCTATGTACACCTACAGTATGTATGCTTCAAATACATGTCACCAGGCGACATAATTTGTATCATCTATCAAATGAGCAATCAATATCAATTAAATCACCCCTTACATCAACAGTAGATACAGTTGTATATGTAGCAATATTACTGCAATGTTGAAAGTTTTTTATTCATTAATGCTAAAAGACAAAGTTAATCTTCTTTCTTACGAGGAAAACACCAGTGTTATGTATAATACAAAATCGATCAGTAATTGAACTGGCATTTGAACATAGCAATATAAACGCATCACTGCAATGATATTCAGACTGGTAGAAATGAATTAGTCGACAATTATTTAACAAAAACTATTGTTAAAAATTCTTAGTGCTCATGCTTGACTGTAATTTAATGTAGAACATAAATCACACAATCTAGAACTCAAATTGAAGGCTAGCAACACTAATGAGAGTATCACTGATATAATGTTACCTATCGAAGGTAATTCATACTAAAAACAATACAAATGAAAAATCAAATGTACTATTTTAAGGTATCGGGTATAGCACATATTATCCTTTCATTTATTATTACTTGTGTATAAATCATACAAGTTAATCAAGTTGATACTAGTTTTACAATAAATAAGTACACGTAATCAGGAAGTACGTAATTTTACTCTACCATATTCATGTGAACTACAATTGACAGTAAACTCAATTCTACGATAATTTGAATATGTCATTACAGTATACACATTTTCGTATAACCAGCACCATCGCTGTTCCCTTAAGAACTACTACATAGCAGATTTCCAATACTAATGGTACTTCGTATTACACTGTATTGTAAATTATAATCAGCTATCTATTACATCGTATGTAGAACGATCGCTATTATCTACTACTTCATATTGCGATCTAGTATCCTACTTCATATCCAATTTGAATCCATGATTGATAATTCAGATATTATCACTAAATTGAGTAAGGATCTAAAGTATAAAATCGTATCGTTAGCATTCTATGCCAATATTTTTATAGCAATATATTGTACTATTAATTAGATGGAATGCAATAAATCTATTTTAAAAGCATACTTTAAATGTTGTGATATTCTCTTCGTAGATTCGTAATTATTTTACCTCATCCTTTAATTGCGAAGGCATAAGAGAAAGATAAGCATCACTGTATGGAGGTTGAATGGACGTAAATTGCTGTGCAATCAGATCACGACCAATTATCTCATGCGTATCCTGAAAAACAATAATATCTAAGACATGTAGACGAAATTGAATTAGAAAAAATTATACGTATAACTGCTGTACTGCCTCATACCATAGGAACCCTGGTACGCCAGTCATCGTCAACCAGTTCTATATGCTGCAACTTACGAAGGCGAAGTCGCTCCTTTCTATAGACATTCTCAGCTAGTGTCGTGATAGGAAAAATATCAATTAAAACCCTTTTAACGCAGAACAGTATTTCGAAAGAGCCGAAATTTAATCTACTGTAATAAAACTCTATTAACAATGCTAAATATAAGTTACGTCTAATAATTTACTTCGTTTCTTCGATTGTACCGGTGATTCATCATTGCTAATATTATGATGAGAATACAAATCGTTACTGTTTGTAGTATCGTCAAGATCATTACCATCCGAAAGTTTGAAAACATTTGCAGCTTCGTTAGTAATCGTTGTTTTAGACGTGCATTCATTCCCAGCCACAGATTGATAACTACTCCTTGTCTGATCTTTCGAAGGAGTCTCTCGAGCTATAGAAGCTAATGGCACTTGCTTACTCTGAGCTTCATGTGGTCGATTCTGTGATAAACTCGCTAATAAATGTCTACCAGTCTGATTAAAATTAGATGCGGTGACTCTGTATTGATTATTGTCTACGATTTCTAATTTAATTTCTGATATTTCTTTAAACGCTAAAGATGCAAAATGCATTGATTGAAGAATTAAATTGGCATTAGCTTGAATTCTGACTGACGAAACCTGCAATTAAGATAAAATTCTTTTTCATCAAATAGTCAAGTCATATCACAGCAAAAGATTAAAGGTTAAAGAGGAATTTAAAATCTTTAAACATGTATAAAATTTTCCTTACATTTACGTGTCCACCAGAAGATGATTTTGCCATTTCCAAATACAAATTACTATGAGTAGGCAGGAACCTTGAATAGCAATTACTTAATTCCATCATTTTATTTAAAATTTCTAGTGGCATCCTTTTTATAGAAGTAAATACATGATGTGACGTATTAGTTATATGTTATCATAAAAGTGTTCACAATCATACAGTGTCCTACCTTATTTGACTATTGTTCGGATTCCTAGTTATCTGTAAGCAAATACATCATAAACTAAGTTATAGCTTTATATAAGCTATAGGTATATTTATTTATTAAGATTGCAGTAAATCGAGCCTAACCACTGGGATAGGGAACTGGCTATCTAATAGTTTAAAAGCTGCGTTGTAATGCTCCTGTACAGATTCAGCACGTTTTTCAAGATCAAGAACCTACCATAAAATAAAGCAATCAATCCTGACTACCCCTTTAATGGACAAATAAGTATTTTGGTGCAACCAAATAAATCTAGCTATTGTTACAGTTTACTTATGTAATATACATATGGCACTGGCAAATTAACAAGTAATCATAATCATTAATGCACAAAGGAATGAAAATAAATTATCAATACTTCTTTGATGTATGCAGGCTCGAACGATTGAACAGGAACCTCTCCAAGTACATTTCCTTCTACAGTACTATCGGTCTGAAGAATGGAAGCATAAATTAGATACTATAGTCTATGTATCTCTAGCCTCTAATTATCAGCAGTGCTCAATTGCGATAATAAAATGGTAGAATCATTAAGAATCAATTACTGAAATACAATGTCTAAATCTTACAGTAGAAATTTGACTAGTTGTTGCCGCCTTGCTTCCTTCTTTAGCTATCGATGTAGTTTCGGTCACATTTACAGAGAATTGAGTTGTAAAAATTTAAGCAAATAAATCGTAATTATCTGCTAAAATATTGTAACGTTGGCCGCAAAAAGCATCAGTTGGAATTTAATGTATTTAATAACAATTAAGCAATCCTTAGGACAGTATTTAACAAAGTTCTAGCATTTCATTCGTCAGCAACCTGTATTGCTATCCGATGTTCGTTTTTTTGGCTTTTCTACCAAATGTAGCGTACACCCGTCTGTCAACGTCAATAAAAGAAAATATATCATAGTAAATAATCGGCTATAATGTATTAATAATCACTAGAAAATACCCGAGCAATTAAATTGTAAACTCGGTATTACAATTGCTTTTAACTCTATACAGCTATTTCTTTCAATAATCAATCTATAATGCTAATGTTGCATCTTTTACTCTCAAGTTAAGATACGTAGCACTGTCGTTGTTCGTAGTATACATACCAAACTCACGTAACGATCGGTCATCGTCTATAGCTCTGGCATTATATATTAAGCGTTGCCTTTCTGCCGGAATGTTCTGTTCATAATGACGACGATAACAAATAAATAAATGAGCACCATATACAGTAATATAAATACTCGTGTCAATCGTTTGATGGCCTTATAATATTTACATACGGCCGATGACTAAAATTTGTCTCAATGACTATAATTTAGTTTGATGTTAAGTATACCATAGGCTTACGACAAGCTATATTTCAGGTTGCGTTAACTTGACTATTAATTTACGTACGCTCTAATGTGTGAAAACACCAGTAATTCTCTGCAAATTAGTGTAACGGACTTGTCTCCATAATCATGTCAAGTTATAACAGTAGTCGAAAGGGTGCAAATTACTCATCAATAAGTAAGCATAGTATGCATCTTACGTACTACTGTAAAGTATCGCGTAATAACAATGTAAACATTGTGCTGTAGTCTGTAGAATATGCTCTTGAACAATTAGTATTAAAGTCTATCTATAACTATACTATTCGAGACCGCCGTTATGTTACAGTAGAAGGGAAAGACTGATTTCGAACATTACTTTACAACAATTAGAATCGAATTCTTACCGTTGATTTCTCAAGGAGTAACTTCAAATCGGACACCGTATCCTATGAAGAAAATGTAGAAAATTAGTTATGTTAAATGAAGATGTCAGAGAAGGTCTTCCAATAGCTATACCAATGTACTATATTTACTGTCACTGATACTCTCTTATTACTAATACCCATAAACCATATCAGTGATTACTGAAGAGTTATAGTACGTTTCTTTAAAACATTTGATACCATCCTATAACAAACTATTAGATAAGAATTCTAGCTTTTACTAGAACTACTCCTATACATTAGGATTCATAGCATGTAAATCAATGTATAGTAAAGGGCCTAGAATCTTTAGTAGCTGTTAAAAACGATTGTTATCATAGCTGATGATACCTCTGGTGTTACATCGACTTCTCTGGTCTTTTGATCCAATGTTTTAATGGTTATTTTCATCTTGAATTCAGAATTTACGGTCTACAATTGAAGTTCGACTACAGTATTGCAAATAAGAAATGCAGAATAAGTATATCAGTATTACTAATATCACGCTATCATCGCTAAAGTTCCGTCTTAAAAGGGTGCACACGTACAATAGTAAATCTTCAGATTGTACAAACTTAAAAAGAAAAACTTGGATTTGTCATTTACGATAAAATATGAATAGTGTAACAGTATTATGTATTTCTTTACGAACTCAAGCTATAAGACATTGCTAGTGAAAATCAGCATTGTAAAGCCATTGCCTAGACAGACTATAATGTTTGGTTAATAAGTAGATGCTGTATCGATGTAATTGAGCTAATCAATACCGAAGATTTTCCATTATTACTTGAACGTATCTGCCCATCGCTAAATATTGTCATGATAGCGCCGGCAAGCTATATCAATATGCACAGTATTGATATACACTGATAAAGATGGATTATATCAGACTGGAACCACCCATTCCATTGCCTATTATTATCATTTTCTTCCTCAATTTTGCCCAACACCGTATACGAATTGGTGAAAATTTGTAAGAAAACATACAGACAGTATGTGCAAAGTGGTAAAACGAGCTGACTAGTATAGCTTGACGAATGGACGCTGTATTTTACTGTCCGTTCAACTGTGCTGAGACAACCAATAATATTGAGAATACTAGAGCTAGTGCATCATCCGAGCTTAAATGATATCCCTATCCTCTCCAAATAAAATCATTGCAAAGTGGATGATTACCTTTTGCAGACTTGACGATCTTTTCCTTACTAAAGAAAGGCAGCCACTCAGCCAGTCCAAATCAAGGTGAATGACCGATCCCGGAGATTAACTGTCATACAATCACTTCTGCAGTACATATTATGTCTGCGTTAGACTGTGGAGCAGTCTATCGTACTATACTGTACACTTGGTGTTATTTCAATCAGGATAGGTACTGCACTCAGTACTGTATGTGCAGCACAGTACTACTGCTGTAATAGTCCTTGAAGAGCTTGTACTGATGCCATTGTACGTATGTACTTGTTAAGATTGTATTTAATGGTGTGGGACTTTGATGAATCCTGACGATGATTTTAAAGTCAGCTTCTGATTCATTCCAAAAGCCATCTGACTACATGGTAGACTGGATTGATATGATTTATACGGAATGCATTGCCTTGCCAGTGCTATACACGTATACTGTAGGTCTTTGGAATGAATAGATCAAAAAGTACAACGCTAAAAGAGGACCCGGCTAAAATCGTCTCAAAATCGAATTTGTAATTCAATGTGTCGACATTCCTATCAGTTAACTTAATCTTCAGTACTAGATGATACCTGCTAGAATAAGACTAAAAATTCGATTGCACCACTTTCCTACATATCAATAGCGTAACTCTTAAATATGGTGCAGTAAAATAAAGATACTACTTCAGCGAATGCTGAACGAATCGATGGAGGATGCTATAGCAGACACCTGTCTTAAATGAAGCTCCTTATCGTCACCTTATTTAGTTATAATCCTTCCAGTTGAAGTCCATTTCAACTTTTTTTCTGTAAATACCATAACTCAGTCTTGTATTATAGCATTTGTTTACCATTAACATGCCTAGTACTGTCGCATACTACAATAGATTAGATGGTTTTCCCAGCAACGACCAGCACATCTTCGTAGATTGCTGTACGCGTATAAATAGTTCGATGGACTGTAAGATTGAAAGAACATCTCTACCGCAGCGCTTTAGTATTTAATGACCATCAAACAGTGAATATGATCAAGTCCAAAAATGTCTCCTGCAATGAAAACATTGCATATATACGAGTATACGCATATTAATAAACATTCAACTTTTCCTTTTATTGTACCCTCCATATTGATACAAAGTCTAACAAATATCAGGTTGCATTTATGTATCCATCGAAATTTTCTTAATGATATAGTATTATGGGATCGCTTCAGACTTTTGCTAAAGTAGTTAATAAACTGCATTACGTACACCATCCATGTACAGCAGCGATAGTATAAGATACGCGTACAATATGTAATGGTAGCTTTGGATAAGTATTGCGCACGACCGTAGAAATATCAATACCTTTTATAACGGAATAACTTAAATGCTGTATGATAAGTGACTATTACTTCTTGATTTACAAACAAATAGGATTAAACTCATTTTACGTTAACTTAAGCACCATTTCAGTAACGGCAAGTCGTCTACACAATCACAAACGCAATACCTTATAATTTATACAGAGATAAAGGTATTCGTGTCAATGAAATAATAACTTTACAGAATAACCCGAAGTAAGGAGATAGATATATAAACAAGATCAATGGTATCGTAGATTTTGCGAGTAACATTTATAATTCGTACAATGTTAAGTCTTTACTTTACTATAGAGTACAGTCCACCGGAATTTCTATCAAATGAGATAATTAACGTCCTATAATATTGCCTGTGATCATGGCTTTATTTCTTCAGCTACTCTTCTAATAATGACTTGTCGATGTACTATAAACTCCCAATCATCTCGCCATTTTCGGTCTTGTAATTCCTCTCTTGCAAAAGAATAATTTCCATAGCTGAATCCAGCAAAGTATATAAAATAGTGAGCTATAATTCCAAGAAAGGATACAACTGCGGCAGTAAATACAAGCCTAGACTTCGGGCTGATCCTGCAAAGGTATCAATTAAAATTTTTAGATAAAATAAACTAGGAACAACTTATGCTGTAAATTATTTCGCACCTTGTCCATTGTACACTAATATGGTCAATAACAGATGACAGCAACAATATTTTGAACAAGAGGGAAGGGAGATAGAAATGAATAAAAACATTCTTCCAAATAAAGAAATAGGGTACGAAATGGATAGCCCAGCCAAGCATCAATAGTGTTCCCGAGTAGCAAAAGTGATGCCAGACATCTAAACAGAATTAAAGTAAAATTTTTCAACGGATCATAGCAATTCTATTAAACTCATACACCAATTCAATAGATAACAAATAAATTGAAAGTACTCCTGGACTCCAACCTCTATTTATGACGTAAATTTGCCGACGCTCCAAGGCCATATAAAATACTACCAAAGCAATATAAACACACAGACTAAACGTACATGTCCACCAAACTATTGGATTACCCAAAAGATGTATTTGCCGCTAAAGTGAAATTAAATAATAATTAATAAAGCAATTAGAAAAGCTATCTACTTGATATAAAATACATGGCTAATATACTCATGCACTAACATGGTCTTTTGTATTAAACCAGAATATAAATGTGCTCTTCAATAAGGGCCAACTTGCCGCGTCGGAAGCGAATTCATGATCGACAGTTTTAAAGTTCAGAATATATATTATTCGCTGTATTAACCGCAGTTATTAAAAAAGAACTTAGTATCATATCCCTATTGTGCGAGTAGCACCTACATCCACCCTGATGGTGCAATTTATGTAATTACAATATGAATGGTAACCTGCATCTCCAAAAATTTATCCAAAAAAGGCATTGAAATAGATTCGTCTTCTTTATTATATTGTTTCTGCACAGGAACTGGAATCAATATAATCAAAGACATATCGGATAAGGTAAACACAAATTATCAATACGAAGACTACTTTATAAGCTGCTCAATCATTTCATATTAATAGCCAAACAAATCTGATTATAAACTTGCCTCCATCAATTTTATGTTCTTCTACATTCCATAAAGAGCTATCTAACTTCAAATTTCTATCTGTAACCACCTATCCCCAAGAGTGAATTAATATTAGCAAGATATTTCACATCACATAGTGTTTATCAATCTACCATTTAAATCATTTTGTCATTAGTATATGGTACCTCTAATTGATAGAATCCCCAATTCGGTAGTTGCTTTCCGCTCGTCTATTGCCAGACGATACAATACGCTATGTTAATTTGTTATAAATTAAAAGTAATAAATCGAATGTTATGCGTACTGTTAAAGCTTGTTTCGTTGCCAAGTGAATAAAGCGGATTCTAGAGTTCAATTGAGTCCATGTTCCATTTGCGTTTGGATTTTCAATTTTCTGATAATTATTGTAAGTATTATTACTGCATTAATTAAGCTAAAGTTTATTTACACAATGTGATCTTTTCGAAAAACACTATATAAATCTCTATCGGAATGGTTACATACCAACTGCCATAAATCTTGTTTCACTAAGTTAGTTTTATTATAGTGGACGAAACAAGCGACTTCTTGATGAGTTGGAGTCACCGGGCTGGCAACATTATGACTACGAAAATAGCGTTATAGAATAGACTTAAAAAAAAAATTTGATATTTAAAGTGTTCGCGGCTAAAAATAACCTTTACCTATTCAGGGTCCGATTCGTTTTTACATGAACTAACTGGATAATGTCTCCATCCTTGACAGCTCTATGCGGCGTTTCGACTGTTTGATTAGTACTAAATAGCAATATTAATACATTAATATTTATTTACTTTGAAAATAGTAAGAGATGCTTACTTACCTTTTAGGATCCTTAATAATCCACCAATTATTCGGATCCTTGTAAGTGTAACAAGTGACTTGCTGTTGACCACTACTACCTCTGCCATCAGGATATTTGATAGGATATATATGCTCATGGGAATGTAACCAACATGGATGGTTGGTATATATTTGGCGAAGTGTCAGCTTGGAACCGTACACAATTTCTAAGTTAATAAAATTTAGAATATTCTTATCATTCATACAAGTAATCATAACAAATGCGGTATATGTAAGTCCATCCGAAGAGAATAAATACGCTATTGTATTAAAATAAGCATGAAACATACATGAACAAATCAAAAATACAATATATCGTACCCTTTGGTTGATTGATAACGACAGAAGCTAATCCTCCCTTATTATAGTTATCAATAATTAAAAATGTTACATATTTTAGTACAAACTCTATAAAAAATCGCTGAAGCAACGTGTCTGCAGTACAATGATATGTATCCTTCAACTAATCGTAATAGCATGATTTTTCATACTTTAAGGCTGGCCTGAAATTTGCTTGACATTAACTGATCCTGTGGACCACTGCGAGGTGCCATTTTAAAATGAATATAAAACTGAAAAGCATAAAGTATCGCAGGAACAACTATGAAAGCTGCAAAGCAGAAACCACAGTAACTCCATAGCTTTCTCTTTATATAATAAAATACAAGGAAAATTAGTTATTGATTTATGACAAAAACGCGAATAAGTTATAATCAAATTTCTGCAAAACTAATAATAATTTCTTACGGTTTTGATGTTACGATCAGCAATCAGCAGCCATAAATCGTAAGCCGCTAACAGTATAATGTATGCTACAGTATACAGTCCACTATATTTAGTGCTAAAAATAGCCAGATAAATGTCTTTTTAATAAACTTGATATGTGTGCACTATGATATATTTAATGAAAGCAAATATGAACTTACTATGAATCCTAATATATTAATCATAATTTTAGTACACTAACAGTTACGAACCTAAATGCTCCACATAGGCACAAACCAGTAAGAAAAAGATACCGAAACCACTTTGCAGAGAAAAGCCTATAAAATTTTAAGGTATTAACAGTAAAAAGCAATTAATGAGACAAAGGATTGCTTGAGTAATTGAGCAGTAACAAAAATACGAGCTAGGGGTAATATAATGTGCAATTAGTAGGACAATCACCAGAAGAATATTTCAGTAAGTAAATCAAAATATAATGGTACCTAGAATGCGATTCCGCTCGAAGTAAAAGATAGCAATATAATGAAGCCAAGATGAAGAAAAGTAATATCGGTTCCAGTAACATAAAACGGGATTGAGTTAATAAGGCATTATCTATGCACACAGAAGAATATTTTGCAGAAATTTTAGTTTCTCCATGACATCAGCTATTTCGTTATAGTCTAATTAACAATCTACGAACCAAATATAACCAAGATGCAGGCAACAGAGGCAGTTGAGCGACTATGTCCAAGTTGTTGCATAATCTACGGCGTAAATAATACGTCGATCAAGGTCAGCTGTTGACAATACAGCCTTAACTTTTGATCAATCACTATTTAGATGGTACACTCTTACCGAATAAATTAGAGGAATATGCATAGTGGCAAAAAACGCACAGCATGAACGGAGAGCCTGAATAGGAACATCATTGGGCATTGCTAATGATGTGAACATAAAAATTTGATAATTAGCTAATACCATACCACATGCACGTATAAAAAAGTTAGTGATCGTGATTCCTATAACTAATACTACTGTCTATGTATGTAGTCACCGATGGGCGAATAATTATGATAAATATAAGAATGATAATAAAATCAACAGTTATTTTCTAAGCAATCACGACGATATATGTAATCAATCACACTTCATCCATGTTGATGGTACACTAGTACAATGTGTATAGCGTACCATATTTAATTTAGACTTACCTGTACCAACTGGTTCGAAAGTAAAATTTCCATTATACCCTGCGAAATTGCCTATTGCATAATAAATAAGTAAATAAGCAATTACCGTTATAAAATTACCGTATAACTGTTTCTCTTCTAATAACTATCGACAGCACTCAATGTTATTGCAATTACCGCTTATATTTATGTTACCCATCAAAATTATTTCCACTCACCCACAAAGGTATATAAAAGCTTAGCTAGTGGAGGGAAAGCATCGATAAAAAATATACCTCTTCCATACATGAATAAAGCTTTTCCAGCTAAAATTTCGTCAAATCTATTTTAATATGTAAATCGAATGTGATCACTTAGTATCGCATTACTAATTTAACAAAGAAAAAGTTTAAAAATATATAAGATTCAATTTGAAAATTATAAGACTAGTTTACTAAATACTAGCATAACTTTTATTGTACTAAAATTGCATTATTGTAATTTTAGTGAACAGTACAAAGTATTATAGAGATCATTGTAGATACAATATTCAAGAAGTTTATGATACTAATCTATAAATAAAACTGCATAATTAAATTGAGAAGGACGTCTCGTAGGAAACCAAGCTCTCACCATAAATATTAGTATAATGAAGGTAAGGTAAAGTAAGCAATTAATCATTCTAAAGTATACATGTATAGTATTCAACTCATACACTTATTTTCGACTTGCTTTGGTCGATATATACAATCTACCGTCTTTCGCGACATCGTGCGTTATACGCTACTATAAAATCAATCAATTAAAACTGTCCTAACGAATTTTATTCTGGTTACGTTGACAATTTGTAATTTACTGTTGCTCTACACCGTGCAACAGTAGTAGTGATATTGAAAGAGTATAGTGGTGGAATAAAGATATTATTGTAGTTACTACCATTGTGGTATACGTATTAAAGCCCAAAATTTCCCTTATCATATTCAGAGATACCTCAACAGTTACCGTACATTACTACACGTTTAAATAGTCAAGACAATCAAAAATTTACTAATCTTATCATGATACTTACATAACATTGCTCGGATGGCAGAGATTATAAAATCGAGTAAGTGCACAGAGGAAAGTTAATCCAATCAACATTACGTCTAATTCTAACTTGACCTTATAACTAAAATAAGGTAATAAGAAATCCTGGCTTTCAGTAACGGTATTGTCGACAGTGGCTAATGATGGATATTTCTCAGTATCATTAGCGCTTCTGTCATGCAACGATGCTGATGTCGTCGTAGTTTCCTATATGGAAATAATCGGGATTAATCATTGAACTACTAAACAAAACTGTTATTACTCGTATTTGGCATATTGAAATAAAGAACAATTTTAACACGTGTAATTAAAGACATAACAGGTAAAGAATTATAATTGAATGTTATTGCATTTCGTAGCAATTATATGATTGGTCAATACACATTGTTTTTGTCAACATATTAACAAATTTTGACAATAATTAGAACTAATCAAAACAAATCGGATATCAGTAAGTTGAGGCAGTAATTTACGTAGCATTACAGTACACTAAGAAAAAATGAATACATTTAACACTTTAGAGCTGTTGATGATGGCATGTGTGTTTTAGTAAATTAGTTTTAGTTGAAAATTGGCCTTTAAAGCTCTAATTCAATTATGATCGTACTTGTGTATCGACGTAAAATATTTAAAAATTGACACTATACAACTACAGCATTCGAGTATTGTTACATTTTTTGGGCCCAGTCTTACAAATTAAATTAGCAATTTTTTGTCGGATTAATTATTTGTAATAGTATTCAATATTATTGTTGATGATATTTTAGTCCACTGTAAGCATAAATTCATGTACTTATACTGTAGTGCTAGCAGAAAAGCTTCCGCAAAGTTCGATAACCACAGCAGGTGTTTAGGAAGACTCAGCATAATATCCGTAAAATCAAGAACTTATTATCAATAAGGTAAAATAAAGACATTTGAACTATACTTATACAAAAAGGAGAGAAATGCATTACTTTAATGTAAAAAGATGACAATATTATGCTGTATTCATTCCATTGATTAATTAGACATCGATTAAATAGTTAAATCAATATGTATTTATTCTCAGTCATCTTATTGTACTAGTAAAATGAATCAAGAGCTAAAATGAAGTATGCTTATCAATGAAACGATCAATATGAGAGTGATTTAACTTTTCAAAGTAATTTTACTTTATTGTGAGAAATATCAATCCTTTGATTATAAATTTAATAAGACTGTCTGGACTTGGTAGGGTATAATTTATCAACGTACGTATCATTTGATGGATATCAATTTATTTTGATTAGTCTCTACATATAGTTGATAGAACATTACATTAGGATGTCTAATATGTAAGCAGTTCATTTATCCATTTTGATCTACTTTATGCGGAAAATAAATTAATTGTAATAAGCAAAAGTAATGTATTAGTAAGAATTATTTAGGTGAAGCAATGACCACGGTCGTATATCGATATTTTGAACAGTATGATTGCGATACGATAAATTTTGTATTTAAAGTCATGCACTTATTGTCAACGATTTACGAAGCACTATCCAGTTAAAGTAGTTGATTGGAAATTTTTAAACCTGTAGTATTCATGAAAGAGTACCAGATAGAGCCCTTGAAGACAAGGGCTTTAATTGTAACAAGAGGCATTGTTAAATAGTGAATTAGCTTGATAAAGTATCTGATGGATTTCGTTTTTCAAGTGCAGCACTACTGTTAAAAATGAATGAACAAACAGTTTTACGCTATACGTAAGATGCCAGTCAATGATGAGAAAGTTATAAAAATAAAAGCAAATCCATTGTTAACGTATCAAGTCGATTTAAGATTGTAATATCCAACAATAAAATGAAGTGAAAATCTGAAATTGGATATCGCTCGATATACATAATGGACTAAATACGAAAGGGTGAGAAGACAGTCGGTACAAAAATCATCCAACACTCATGGTGTTGGAAATATTGACACGATTTATGGACTTGGTAGCGTTGTTTGACTTGATCGTTTAGCTCATATTCTACAAGGGCAACTTCATTATTCAAAATGAGTATAGTTATTTTTATATGGCAGCCATTGGACTAGCACTATAAAAGAATACATAAGTGGCCCAACGACTCAAGGCTATCATTGACGATCCAATGATCCAGACGAGGCTAATCGTCTATGGATAGCGGTCATAGGCTGACTCGTAGCAAACAAACGATCCATGGTGACAAAGGGTTAAATGAGTTAATTACCTTTTGCAGTAAAGAGGATTGATTGGCATTTTGCTCTGTCGATTGATCTAAGCCATTTTTAATTTCAACCTTTTTAGATGATTGATTTTTGGCATCTTTTCTCTGTCTGGATTTGCCAGTCGATTTACTCGTATGACTATCGTGGGCTTTACTGGGATTGGACTCATTGTTATCCATTGCCATTCTTAACGTCTTTGACTGTACTATTGATATGAAGAGATACAAGATGAGCGTTATTCATCATCATTACTGTCATGAAATCATTGAAAAAGGAGCAGTTTCAATTCTAAGCTTATAGCATAGTTTTAAATATGGATGCATTAAAGAAAAAGAACCCATTTCGGATGGAATGACTATCCAATCATCAGAGTAATAACAGACAAATTGGAAGACTTTTTCTTGGATAGCCAATAGCTTTCACTTTAACAATCGAATGCATCACCGTCTTTGCTACACTATGCACGAGCAAAAATCCCTTGCCATTCCAACCTAAGAATATCATCCTACTGCCTATCCAACTTACCAAAAGAATAGCTATCACAACTGGCAATAGAGCAATATCGGTCAGTGAAAAAAAATGGTGGAAATTTCTAGACCAAAGCCGTTCACAGCAATTCACTGACGAAGAAGAACCTCTTGACTCTCTGGAGAGTGAGAGCAGGTAGAGTGAGGTATCATGAGTAAAGTGTGTCATTTTACGCACGATCGCTGGTGGTACGTGTGACTGGTGTGAATGCCGGCCGCATTGAGTTGCCATTGGTTTCAGTTCTCTACTGATACGACGGACCGTTGTCTTCCTAGTGGTTCGTGACTGCCCACTTTGCCGTGCTTCAGTACTGGTACCCACGGCGGTGTCACACGCTTGCGATTGACACCTACAGTACGGTCATCAAAAGTGACTGACTGTGCTGTCGTGCGGCCAACTGGACGACAGCGTACTGTACGAGTGTGCGTACTAGAATAGAGGGTGTGTTAGTACCGTCTAGCGATTCATTGTTCATGTGCTTCAGTACCTGTAGATTGCGCTGGATTCCAAGCACAGCACTCATGGTCAAGTTGCAGCTCGAATGGAGAACTATTCCATCATTTGCATCAAGTTTTATAGTGTAGAATAGGAATTAGATCTAAAATAGACACTGTATGCCATTGGAACTATGAATAACCAACTGATCTTGAGTAATAACGAGTAAGCTACGGTAGGAAGGCGATTGACGCAGAAGGCAAGCAGTTGATGACTGAAGCGGAAGAGCACACCCTTAAAATAGAAATTAGATCAAAACGAGAAGGCTATCCACGCACTATGCAAACAGTGGATCATTTGATTAACGTTGAAGTATAGGATAGAAATTAGATTAAAATAAGTAAGCTGCTGCACGAAGGCTGTCTACACACAATGTAAACAGTCGATCATTTGATTAACGTTGAAGTACAGTGTATAGGATAGAAATTAGATTAAAATAAGTAAACTACCGCAGGAAGGCTAGCCATGCACAATGCAAACAGTGGATCATTTGATTAACGTTGAAGTATAGGGTAGAAATTAGATTAAAATAAGTAAACTACTGCAGGGATGCTATCCACGCACAATGCAAACAACGGATCGTTTGATTAACGTTAAAGTATAGGATAGAAGTTTGATCAAAACGAGAAGGCTATCCATGCACAATGCAAACAGTCGATCATTTGATTAACGTTGAAGTATAGGATAGAAATTAGATTAAAATAAGTAAACTACCGCAGGAAGGCTAGCCATGCACAATGCAAACAGTCGATCATTTGATTAACGTTGAAGTACAGTGTATAGGATAGAAATTAGATTAAAATAAGTAAACTACTGCACGAAGGCTAGCCACGCACAATGCAAACAGTCGATCATTTGATTAACGTTGAAGTATAGGATAGAAATTAGATTAAAATAAGTAAACTACTGCAGGAAGGCTAGCCATGCACAATGCAAACAGTCGATCATTTGATTAACGTTGAAGTATAGGATAGAAACTAGATTATAATAAGTAAACTACTGCAGGAAGGCTAGCTTCGCAGACATTAAGCAAGCTACCATTGGAAGGCTCACTGCTAATTGCAGTACAATAGACTGCAAATACGAGCTTGTAGCTGATCATTTGCATGAAGTTATAGTACAAAACTAGCTAGTGTTGACTACAAATAAGTAAATTGCCGCAGGAAGGCTAATTATCATTCATGCAAACAGTTGATCACTTGAATGAAGTTAAAGTATAGAATAGGAATCAGACAGAAAATGAATATTGTCTATCATCGGAATGACGCATATAAATAATCAATTGGTATTAACTACCAAAACAAGTACTGTAAGCTACCGCAGGAAGGCGAACCATCATACAAAAAGTTGATCATCTGAATGAAGTTACAATATAGAAAAGAACTTAGATAGAAAATACCTTCAGTACAAGAGATACTCTCGAATGGTATCGATAATCAAAGCGATGAATAACCAACTGATATTGACTACTACCAAGTAAGCTAATGCAAGAAGTCCAACGATAATTATAATCGTAACACTTCTGTGGCTACTATTTTTACTACTTGATTGTACTGCGTTGAAATGTGCCAGAACCGATATTTTGCACACATACATGCAGCATAGACTGTTCGAGTGCGCTACTGTAGTAAACTAACTTAGCAAAGCTAAACATAATATAATGCAAGTAGTATTCTTGCAAAAGCAATGACTTTTATTAACACCTAATGGCTTAAGTAGTACAGTATACAATTCATTTATAGTTACACTTTTAAAATTTTATTCTCAATGACGGCTGGTTAAAACCAAAGTATTTTATTCCTCCATTTCCCTACTATACGATTCGTATACGAGCATTTTTAACTCGCATTTTAACACGACTTTAAGAAATATCAAAGCAAATTGAGGCATATCAATATCCACTAGCATGTTATTGCTTAATTCTTCCTCGATAATTGCAATAGTTACACTATCAGACTGAATACCGAATACACTACAACCGTTATTGGCAATAAAAATTCGAGTTATTTCTCAGTTATAATGAGAGTAAGCAGGCACCATAAAATTGATAGCAAGAAAGCTAAAAGCGCTGTAATCAAACTAGCAACTACCTATTACATCAATAAAACTATATTCTACAATTATTTGTACTAGTGACTTCCTACAATATTCTACTAACTACTAAAAATGATCAATTATTTAATGGCATTTGTCTTTCAAAGTATTTACCAAAAATAGATGATAATTGTATATTACGCACAAGTACCTTAAATCTCATGCCAACTATAAAACAAATGAACAGCAAATACTCGTAAAATCAAGTTTAGCAAGGCTGATAAACAGTGTCTTATTATACAAACATTATATTCTTAATGTGTATACGTAAATTGGTAAATTCCTATATTAGATATAGCATAACATACTTATAGATTTGACTATTTAAATAAATGTTTTATAACAAACAGAAAAGACAAGATAACGGAGCAATGTACTTGCAAAAGCGTCGTAGAAATAAATAGAATAGAACATATAATACATATACCAGATATTTAGGAGACCATATTATAATCTACCTTAATATCGATGATATAGGATGCTCGCACGATCTATCGTGCAGCAACATTGAATTAGATGGCTAAGATATGCAATCAATTGTACCGTAAAATTGTCGACAAATTTGTTGTTCTTGCTTATCTAAAACACTGCTCCTCGCACCCCACGAATAGAATAGGCCGGAGAGGACGGTTTGCATAAATCAATTTGTGGCATATATGTTCCAGGTCCAGGTGTTTTATCTATATACCCGATGTATTCAAATATTTCAAAATATTCGCCGTTAAAATTTAAAAATTTGCGTTTCATGTTTCAAGAAATCATGTGATGATAAAACGATCAGCTATTCAATATACATGTATATTCATTCAATAGTGACGAATAATACCTCTGCGTAGCCATACATTTTTCCCTTTTTCAGTACCGAAGGCATAGGCAGGAGCTCGCTGTAACTGAGAATTTAAGCGAAGCCCTGTATGATATTTATTAGGCGAAGGTTCATCTGCAGCAGATGCTGTAAGATGAGAAAGGATGTAATATCGAATAATGATCATTAGACAATGATTAAGGATAACAGCCAAAAGCCTTTTCTCTGAACAAAGCGAAAATCTAGAGATATTAAACCAAGTCTTACGTTTCATTGTAGAAAAAATTCTTCTGGGGCTCATCGTAACTGCTGGTGAAGATTGATAGATTGGCTGCGAACCTCCTATGGTTGATGGCAACGCAATGCAAGCGGAAGATGGCCATGACTAAATATAGCACATGTGAAGTAATCTTAATCAAGTGTTTGATAATTATACAGCTGTCACATTTTAAACATTTACAAGGTTTATAAATTAAGTGAAATTAGCTCGATATTCTCGATGTTAAGATTGGTTATTAAAGGATCTTTCTGCCTATTACGGTAATTACTAAAATTTCGCATACAATATGCAAGGGCATACTTAAATTCTTACTCTAAAAAGTAATATTTATTACAGTAATTGAAATTCTTAATCTAAGGCAATGCATCAAATCAAATGATAAGCAACGGTCTTTCTTGACTATTAAGTTTATCGGGCCAAATTTAACTAAATTATCGAATTAGAATACAGAACAACTACGGAGCTGTTATGTTCTCTTGCAAAATGAACATCGTAATTCGATAAAATTTTATAGTGAATCAGTAATTAAGAGCTCTTACCGCAGAACTAAAGTCCGTTTTTATCGTCCAGACATCTGCATGGCTACTCCATTCTTTCCCAATTGAATATTTTTCTCCGCTGTCTGGGCTAACAACACCTCTGCTAGCTTTGGTTATTTTACCCATAGAAAAAGAAGGTGCATTTCGGTCATGGGGATGCTTATTTGGTGGATGATAAGTTAATGGTGTTGGCCCCGATAGATCAAATGGGAGAGGTGGTCTCGATTCGATACAAGCTGCTATACCTATTACACGATAAAAAGAGCTTAACAGATTTTCATATAAGATGAAATAAATATCGTAAGTTATATCAAGAACTGACTTATCGGCTGATTTCTTTGCGTTTGACAGCTTCTTTTAACTACCGCTGAGGCTACCTTTTCGTTATTTGCTTTCCTATAACACAGATTATGTACGGTAGGATCAATTTATCATATCATCATACACAACATTATTTTGTTTTTTATAATATAGAATATACAGTATACAGTTATTATCCGTACACCTATGAAATTCTAATCTGTGTCAAAATTATTTTAAGGATATTACGACCTATAAATTATTCTGCGAATGTAAGATTTTCAATTAATAAAGCTACTACGTGCATACTGCAAACTTTCATTATATAATGACTTATGTGTTGTAAGGTAGTTGTACCAAGTTAATGAAGTAATACAGTTAAGAAACTCATAACTTTACGAACGATAAGAAAATAGGCTTATATATGCCAAAATAGGAGAAAGATATGAGATATATCCTCGAGATATCAATGGTGATTGATTATTCACTAATTTCTTAAGAAATATTATAGTAAATATTTGAGAAAATAGGCATATCTTGTACTTCATATTAACACATTTTAAATTAGCGTTATTGCACCTCTAAATGTACATTTATCGTTCAAGAAAACTTATGGACGTAAGTCAATTAAAGAATTAATTATATAAGCAACTAGTCATACATTAAAGTGCCCTTTTACTTATATCCTTGCAATTTTAAAGGAACTATTACATAACGATGATATAACCATTAATTTTGTTTTAATCACAGCTGAAAAAATTAAAGTATCCTTCTTTAACGCTTTAAATTATAGAGAAAAATGAATGTAAATTATTATTGATTTTATTACCAAAGTATCAGTATAGAACAGTGTAAGACAAATTAGCAGGTAAGGTCTATTATTACCTTCTCTCAGCCAATATTTTATTTAATCTTATTAATTTAGTGGGAAGTTTTCTTTCGTAACGAAATCGTGGCGACGTAGTATATGTTAGTGCTTCATTCTCTCTTGAACTAGCTAATTCTCCTCCTATAATATGAGGGTTCATTTCGAATACAGATCGAGGCATGGAACTTGATGTATGTCCACAAACGCTTTACATCCAATATGAGCGAATAAAATAAAATCTCAGCCAAGATTGAATGTTAACTCTATTTATTGCTACAAATATAAACATAGATAGTAATATCTAATGTATGATTTACGTAGCTTTCAACTAATTAATTGCATTAACGAGATTATGTAAAAATTGTGCTATAGTAACAAAGTTAAGTTGTTGAAATATTAGGTTAAAATAGCTTGCAGTGGACTATAACACTCATTACAAGTATGGAAAGGAAAAGATCTTTCTCAGACCTATTTTTTAACTCTAAGTTAATTTATTCTGATAGCTAAACTATTGTCATGTAAAATAGTATTTCTCAATAAGGATAATATAAAGTAACGAGACGTTGCTATGGGCATTGATGACTTTTCGATTGTTTAACCATTCTCATTAGTCAATTTTAGGTAAAGATTATTAGCTGAAAATGGCATAACATGAAATATAAAACTGTAATAAAATTTTTTTCATCAATGTAACTTTAGAAAATTGGTCTGCTTATGATCGCTTTTCTAATTGAGAGCATTATTACATCAGATTTGATCTAATATGATACGAATTACTAATCGACGAAATCAATTTAAACTAGATCAGTTGAAGAGTCAATAACACTAACTATTACAGTAAACAACTAATCAATTATTCAACAGCTTTGTAAAATGACTTGCTTTATAACAATATAATTTTATCAGCTTTTCAATCCGGTTTTAAACATATTATTAGTCATGGCCATTATGTCATTCAGAGTTCATTTATAGTTTACTCTACTTGCTAGCACTTGAAAAAAGAGAGAGAGAGAAAAAAATAGGCTCTATATCATACTATTGATTCTAGATTTGTCAGTGTACATGCCGTAATGTATAGTACACAAGCATTTTATGTATGGAGTAATAGAACAATAGCAGCACTGTATGATTTTGGTATCTGTGTCATCGTTCGTATACTGTACTCATATCGGTCTAATATAATTTATTTTGTAATTCAGTCTAAAATTTTAATCTAATATTAAAGAAACACTACTATAACTGTAACTTGGGTTATGATGTTAGCTAGTTTATGCTTCTACTTGAAATTATGCCTTATTACACATAATTTGTTTTGCAATCATGCAATATTGGCAATACGACTACCAATAGTACCTAAACTCGCTATAAGTAACACATTTTATAATCTTATTTAAAACAAATTCAAATTTGATATCATGGAGTCAGTATGATGTAAAACTTTTATACTAGTGATTTATTAACTTTATGAGTTAATCCTAAGTATATAAATGATTTCGACATTTAATTTCTCACTTAGATCTAGCAACATCATATTTATCAATTCCAGATTTAAAAGATTACCGTACACGTAATATTTATCTAAATTTCCCTTATCAGACGGTAGACAAGTTTGTTGGGACAAAACATAATAACAAAAGCTATAGTAAAACAAGATATAACCATAAATGGTCTATAATTGAAAAACAGTATATCTTCTTCATATTAATCTGTATTCTTCGCGCCGAAATAGGATATTCTATAAATTCAACGTTATTCCTTTTAATTTTCTGCCATACCTATCATTTTAGATGAAGGGAATATTAGGCTAATATAAATTACTCGTACTTCTAATGTTAAATCAAAAATAATAAAAATTTTGTAAGACCTCCTATTACATTTTGTTAAGAAATAGCGTAAATTGAGAATCACTTATATATCCACAAAGATCGACCTTATGAATGTGATCTAATCAACAAAAGGAATATCAAACACTTACGTTAATAATCCTTTCTGGATTTCCTCGACTTTACCAGGATTACAGCAAACTACGCAGCTAGAACGTTGACAGTCGAATAATGACGTAAAATAAATATCCAATCGATCAGTCTACCACAGATTACAGAGATCTAGTAAAATATTGAATATATTATAAAGGCAACTATTAAGACATAATAAGTTAAGATGCATATTATAGCCAAGCAACCTCCTCAGCAGCAGATGAAGCGGTCTCTTCACGTTCGATTATTTCGAATATCACGCTACTCTTTGCAGATTCAATTTGAACTTCATCAAATTCACTTCTTCCATCCACGTAACTTTCCTGTAATACAAATCCGTTTAGAAAATATAGCAACCCTTGTAATGTAATTAGACCTCTATTTTCGAGCTTGATTGCTAAAAGTTTGATAAATCTGCTTAGTTTAAATACTAGATACTTATAACGAGTTCAAAGAGAATTCAAGCTAGGCTAAAAATATTTGTAACGTCAGTCATATCTTACTATAGTTTTGACAGTAATTTCTGTGCAAGATACCTACCACGATAGTTTTAGCTTCTCTATATGCATTCACGAGCTGCGTCGATTTAAACAGCTTAAGATATAAAAGCCCGTGTTCCACAGAATAATGCATGCTGTTTAAGAATCAAATAAAGTATGCTTGAGTGTTAATTACTTTACATTTTTAGTGTGTGATAAAATGTAACTGCGTACAAAACTGAAATTAAGTATTGAACGTTGCACCTGTAGTGATATGATAATCCTAAACCTCTGATCTGTCGCCACATGGGACCCTGCAAAAAATGAAGTCTCAATTATGCTACAAGGCCTGTCATTGTCGCTAAAAATTTTTACAAATATCAAATGAGATCATTACCTCCAGAGCAATTAGATACTCGATAAATACCATCAATGGAGCGCAATCAGGATGATTATAATCGTTAACGCACGGAGAATTTTGTATGAGAAACGAAGATTCAACCGATGATACACCAACGATAATATTAGACAGTGTTGGCGAAAATGTGCGATATTTACTACTATATTCAGGGACTATCAATCTAAAATTATGTTGGGTTAAGAAATCGTTTAGATTCAGATAAACGAAATAGGTGGTCATTCAATGAAGATAGCCTTTACCTTTTCTCAGATGGAATGCTGAATGAAGATGGAACAAAGTTAGAAAATAAAGAAGCCACAGAGATCTTAGGCAGTCGATGCAAATCACAAGTTATATGAATAAAAACATTCGATGGGTCAAAAAGGATTCTTCGAAGCTTTTCTAATTTTTCGATGACCTTTTAAAAGTATTGATAATTTAGTTATCACCTGGCTAAACTTATTAAAAAGGCTACTATATAATCTAGCCTATGCATTCTTACTATAGCAGGAGCAGTATTGATATCGGTTAGAACTTCCTTTAAGAATTTACTTTGTCTAATCATATTGTACTGATACTGATTGCATTCTAATAAAAATAATAAATTAGATTCAACTTGATAAATCACAGCATCCGTATAAGATATAACAAGTACAGAAAGAACGAATCACTTATTGAGTAATTAACCTTTGTTGAATATTACGTCTTTCATTAATGCTTGCGCTACTTTGCCACCACTCCGTTTCATCCTTTTGATGTAAGTAATATGATAAAAAATCAATTATTACTTAGTATTGTAAAAGTACAGTGATGAAAAACAATCAATGAGAAGTAAGTTATCCAATGAAACCTTGCGATGTCTTTTTTAATTTTGGTGCCAACACTTTTCAATCGCTCTGCAGTGATTTGTGATCTGTATACCAGTTCATGCATCCACTTTACGCAACGGTCATACTTAGCAGCATCGGCCTGGCAATTAATAACACACGCAGGCAAAAAATCTCACATTAATATTGCTAAAACAACAAGCCTACAGCTCAAGACTGGAAAGTCATACTTTTAACGTGATAACAGCTGCCTGAGCAAAGGAGCCGCAACCTAGTCTACTTCCATTGAACCCCAAAGTTTGATCCATAGATATGATGTCATTGTGTAGTTGTTTAATAACTTCTTCATAAGGTATAACCTCTACAAATTTTTAACGATTAAAGTTGCTGATATTTTACATTGCTATACTCTACTCATATTTCCAATATTCTATTAATTTTATATACCTTCGCCTCTCAATACAGGAGACTCAAATATGACTTCCAGCAGCAACGATAGATATGGTTTTAGTTCCGTTCCTATAATGGATGTATTTCCAAGAAGTGAAACCTACGCATAAAGATATGCGTTTATGATATTTCGAAAATTAGAAATTGCAGCTAAATATGCTAGTAGTAGATCGTAAAAAATTTAAACGAAAGGCAATAGTCATTCACACTTACGGTGAAAAAACGCGTACGAATACAATCTAATTGCATTGGCAAAGGCACTTCGCCAATATTAAATTTCGTAGCTATGTCCGCAGTATCGCTATCCATATTTTCACAATTAGAGAAAGTGAGAACTGGATGAAAGTTAATACTTTCAATATTTGGGACATCAAAACTACGAATTAGATCATCAGGTGGATCGACCTATGTTAACAAAATCGAAAATATTTTAGGCTAGATTAAAATACTAAACGCAGCCACTAACTTTCTTTTTAAGGTGTTAAACGAGATTCGTACATCATTGTCATCAACCGCCTTATCTAATCGTGCTCCTAATTTTTCCAAACGGTCGCTACCTAATTCTTTTATTTGTTTTTCAACTCTTTGCTTTTCATTAGTAGTCATCTGCTTGCCAAGATCTTTACTTGGTTGGGCAACAATCTATAGATATACAGTATAGGGTCGATAATGAAAATTTATATCACACTCAAATATAAAAAGAGTAATTGACAATGACCGCAACAAAACATAAACATACAGTCACTGATGGGGATGATATTAAGTATTTATTCATAAAATTAAGCCAAAACTTGGTTGGTTCTTTCTTCAGTTTGTCCAAGTATTCAATTTCGTCCACTTTTTTGCGTAGCTAAGTTATGTTTTCGAGTATTTGCGATATAATAAATTAGGTGAGTTTAACAGTGGGTTAAAATTTTTTATCCTATACATCACAATTGTACTTGTTTATGGATAGACGAATGAAAATTTTTTCCGTAATCTTGCATTTTAGTTACGTTAAATTACGGTAATCAAAGGATTTAGGTCTCAATTGTTTTCATAAAGTTGATACCTACATCGTCTATCGACTTAGAGTATAAAAAGTCGGCAATGCAGTATCCAGCAATGGCGTTATGTGGGCTATCTTCCAACTTAAATATACATAAATATAAAACTTTTAGTCTCATTGACAAATTCCTAGTACATTCCATGATAGGCATATTAAAAATACGATTTACTAAAATATGTTTTGCATTATAAATACGTACGCTATCCTCGTATTCTAAAACACTAGTGGAAATTATAGACTGGAGGCGTGTCATATCGATAGGTTCTTGTCCAGTAGCAATTTTATTTATGATCTCATCCATTCTGTTTTAAAAAATGGCATAATTAGCATCCAAAGACAAACGAATTTAGAAATTGTATTTCAAAGGAAAACAATCGAAGATTAATACTTTGGTTTAACATCATTTAAGACACCAGTAGGTACGTTTTTGAAGTGTAGGTGGATACAAGATTCGGAATTTTCGTGAAAACCAAAACCAATCTAGAAAATGGAAAAGTCACGAAGCGATCTTACATTGCTAGGTAGTGTTAGAATCTATAAGTCTACTTTAAGGTGTACGTATTTAGCTCTTACATCGTTGCAATACGGTTCGTCAATTTCAACCATATCACGCTGCAAAGGAGCAACTGGAGTATCGGTCAAATACTTGAAAAGAATACCTATGGTAACCATATTATGGTAATCCTAAAAAATAATAGTGGATGCTAATCAGTGAGCATCCAGTTTACGATATGAATCGTAGATTAACAATCACCCATTTTTGCTTTTTAATCTACGTTTCACTAACATTAGCCGAACAACCACGCCATCCATGAATAACTAAACCGACGCTATCGTCGTCATTTGGAAATTGAATGTTACGATACACTGAGGATGAGATAGGAGGTACAGGTGATTGCCACGGTCTATCAAAGGTAGGTAATTTGCCCTATGAAACGATATGATTGTCATCAATTTGCTAAATTAATTACCTTACATGACGTCAACATAATCATATCCATTAATAATAGAAAGTAGCAAAAAAATACCATCTGCAAGATACGCTTTTCGAATGATTCCAATTTTTGAAAGACATCTTGAGGTTTAATTTGTCCGGTTATAATAAGGCCTAAATTATCTGGACGATAGAAGGAGCGATGATAGTCGCAAACCTAAGACGAAATATATTAAAAGAACAATACGTTTCAATCTTAATGGAGGTATTAAAGGGATATTTAAATTCGACATTCAGTTATTAAGATAATCAACAAAAGATAAGTTGGAGAACCTTTTGATGCGATGTAGAAGACCTTAAATTCTCTAATATTCCACCAGTTTCCGACTTTTGTTCGAAAATAGAATGAATACCGTATTTTTTATAGATTTGCTTATGACATATCGACAAAAGAAACCGCAACTAAGAAATAATTAACGCAGCAATAGCAGTTTCCCTACCTTATAACCGCAATGGCCAGGATACATATCTCTTGCAAAAGCAAGACGAGCACGACTCTCGCCAGTATTTTCCCGAGCCTGCATCTCGCAATATACTACTCCAGCATCATCGCCATCATTAGTTATGTGATGAACTTCAGTGATATAGCTCGACTCCTAAATGATACACATTTAATACTGTTGTTACATAAGTTAATGGTGCTATCGACATTACTTGAAGATAAAATTTTATTTTTATTTTTATTGGTTCGTACAGGTTTTAATGTGAGTGAAGACATTTGGTCCATAGTATACATACACTGTTAGAAATCAAAATGTATAATTCATTTCTATATTTATAAATAACATACCGTTAACGTGGGATATAATACATGATCCAGATAGACGTTCAAAAGATTTAAAAATCCTTCACTGCCTGCAGTTGTAACGGTATAGCAAGTATGATCGGTATCCGTCCATGCGTTAGTACCTTGTGCAAAACATCGATTTGCAATTAAGTCTAGTACACCCTGAAAACAACATGGTCAAATATGATAGTAGTTAGTTGTTAACACACAACGATATTGTAGAATGTACATCATCACTTCGGTAGCAGTTAGCTATATATACTGTCGCATGTAGAAATAAAAATGTTTCCTCCAAAATACTAGGCAAAAGTGCTATACTTGTCGAGAAGTCCTTGACTGGTATCAAGAATTGTAGGTTAAGAACGTATTGATAATAAATTAAGGCAAGCAAATACAGTTCTTGTCTTCATAATGATATTAATGTACAGTATGAACACCTACTAGTAAGCTAAAACTTTGATAATAATATGAAGATCTTGCTGATATACATGATAACAAATATCGCTGTGTAAAGGGTAAAAGCTGTCCGAATTTTGGATAGCTTGAAGTCTTACCTTGTATGGGTAAGTTTTGCTACCCATGAATACCAGATGTTCCAATGTATGTGGTAGTCCATCGTCATCATGAGCTTCCGTTGCTGCAATAAGATAGCGTTGCTGCATTAATTTGAGTTCACTTAAAATTGGCATAGCAATGAGTATTGAGTGTGAAGCAAAAAAGTTTAATCTTTACAGTACAAGATTATCCACAGTACATTTACACTTTGTAAGTTGTAGGATATGTTGTAATTGATCAGTCCTTCGAAATTTCTCTCCTGAGACTCGGTATTGTAACTTGCAATGGAATGTTCAAATAACAGTCCCAATGTCTACACTTTAAATGTTATAAAGTACATATATCATTGCTTCATTGACTGTCAGTATGAACTAATCCAATGCAAACTCTCCAAAAGGAAATTTCAATTTAGTTTGTATGATTGACCAGTAAAGCCAATGATCGATGGTTGGGTTTATTGACCAGTTATCTTATGAAATTTTCTGTAGCTCAATAGATGTTGGTTTAAACTTCATAATAAATTACTAGCTACAACTACTACTCAATAAGTATAAGAATAAGTTCTTTTGCGTAGCCTACAGAGAGTGAAAGTTCTCCTACTCTCCATCAACTATTATTGATACTGTAGAGTGTTAGTAGTACAGTACTCCTATACGAGACTATCAACAGAGCGTGGAAACTAATTGTGTCCTGATATCCTTCTTTACCAGCGCTAGCCTGCCTAAACAGATAGAACAGTAATTACACCTTCAGCAGAGGAATTCTCACTTGCATACAAAGAATATCTATGCCTTCTTATTAACTGTTCAATGCTAATTTTTGTCATACTCTTGATTAAATCAATCAATCTGGATGATGAATTCACGATCGATTGAACTGTGCTAAAGGGAGAATGAAAATGAAGCAAATGACCCATGTTATTTCCTCTTGCCCCATTAAGGCTAGACGAATAAAGACGAATAGTCTAGCTATTTTACCAGAAGTATTGGTAACGCTGATCTCAAGCCAATAGAACTAGCAATAAGAATATCAGCAGGGAGAATGATTTATTCAATGTTTCAGTTCTGTCGTGAGTGCAAGTAGTGCAACATGTTCTCCATGCAATGCATACATAAGTCAAATAAGTGTTAGTATTACCTAAACAAAAGTATCCATTTACTAGTGGACCATCCACTTCAGCAATATATAGAATGACTCCAGTTAGTTTGGATTTGTACTTATGTATTGGAATTTGATTGTTGATTCGAAAGCTTGAAAGTAGTTGATAGTTCTTTTCCGCCATTTTCAGTCTAGGATAACAGTCTTACTTCCTACAGCACTGCGACTGCCTGAGGCTATTCGCAGCGATTGGTTGAATCTGGCTTGAGCGATACAGTACAGTATGATGCTTACTCAATACCATACCGTAGATAGTCGACAGTATTGTATTGGGGCAAGACACAAGGTAGTGATGGCGTGTGCAAAAAGTACTATATTGTGCACTGGACAGTACAGCAAAGCCATATTGTACATTAGAAGTCCATGGACAATTCAGGACGAATCCTTGATTTAATCGATGGACATGTTGCTAGGGCAGCCTTGTCCATTTTCCCAATGGACAAGCAGAAAAAGGATACGACAAGTCATGGACTACTAGAAAAGTAATTTTAACTTTTCTAGTAGTCCATGGACATTGGACAAGTCGATAGCCAATGGAAAGATGTCCATCATTCGATGATATGGCAGCCTGCCAGCTGTTTTGAAAGGATGGATGATGGTCGATCATCTCATCATATCGCCTAGACCATATTCAGAGAGGCGCTGCAATCAATCACTTCTGGATCGACCTTGCTGACATCGATTGGCTGCTACATATATAGCATGCTATCTAATCATATTATACAGTATTTTAATATGATATGCATGAATTCAAAGCTGATATACAGTGCTGTACAGTATATTGAACAACATTCATTTCTTAAAGGTATAAATTTACAATATTCTACGTAAACGCAGATATTCTCAATTTGTAAAGATCGGAATACAACGAGATCATCCCTACTCACAGTTTACTATATTGCATATGGAAATCATTGATGGGATAGTGATCAGTTTCATTTAGCTGGCACATTTTATCACGTTTTCAACTTACTATTTCGGAATAGAATACTGTATAATGTATATTCCCATGCTACGCACTGCCCTAGCGCTGCATTGCACAAACAAAACCAAACTATCAGCTTTCCCAAACCTAGAAATCATATTATACAGTATTTTAATATGATATGCATGAATTTAAAGCTGATAGACAGTGATGTACAGTATATTGAACAGCATTCATTTGTAAAAGTTGTAAATTTACAATATTCTCAATTTGTAAAGATCGGAATACAATGAGATCATCCCTACTCACAGTTTACTATATTGCATATGGAAATCATTTTTGGGATAGTGATCAGTTTCATTTAGCTGGCGTATTTTATCACGTTTTCAACTTACTATTTCGGAATAGAATACTGTATAATGTATATTCCCATGCTACGCACTGCCCTAGCGCTGCATTGCACAAACAAAACCAAATTATCAGCTTTCCCAAACCTAGAAATCTAGAATAGAATATACTGTATCGGGATTGAGCCAACCCGGTTTCATCTGTAATTTAAGCGGCAGATTTTAAACTTCACTTGTCTATGTATCTTATTGAGTTATTACAATTGTAGAATATTCGTACGAGTATATATCAATAATTCAGCAAAATAATCAGTTGCATCATCAATCCGCACCTCAATATCATGGCTCAATAGGTATGCATTGCTATTACGCCAACGATAGAAATAGGAATACCATAGTATCGAAAGGCAATGTTAGAATTTCATATTTACCATAAGTCATTTGAATCTTGCTAGTTGTATGTGCTAATTTGCTATGCCACAATCATTGACGTGTCTTGCGCAATTATACCACACACTACAGTGTATCTCAAATGAAATGATCTATTGAGACAGCATGCACAAATGTTTCAAAATACAACAGAACTACAAAAAATAATCTACAGTGTATCTCAAATGAAATGATCTATTGAGACAGCATGTACAAATGTTTCAAAATAGAGCAGAACTACAGACAATAATCTACAGTGTATCTCAAATGAAATGATCTATTTTGACAGCATGCACAAATGTTTCAAAATAGAACAGAACTACAGACAATAATCTACAGTGTATCTCAAATGAAATGATCTATTGAGACAGCATGCACAAATGTTTCAAAATAGAACAGAACTACAGAAAATAATCTACAGTGTATCTCAAATGAAATGATCTATTTTGACAGCATTGTTACAGTGTTAAATACTGTATTACAGTAGAAATAACTATGTTAGGATAATTCTGTTAGACTATCCTTATTTAGTTAACTTCTAATTTAGATATACTGTATTTTAATATAGCACTGACTTTTTATGACAGTGACACTTATACACATACTGAAATTATAATAGTTATAATAGGGAATGCAAATCATCTGCTTACAGTTCGAATCATTGTGATTGTAATTTACTTATGATAGACTGTAAATTATCATGGAAATGTTCCGTGATAGGACATATCGTAATCTGACTATTCTGTATTAGTTATTACATGTCTATGTTCGTAAATACTGTTGTCTGCATTAAGAGAGCAGTAGCTAAAATTAATATCTAATTCAGTAAATGATTCTAATGTTAATTGTATTAACTATGACTCATGAACTATTGAGGAATAGTATATAAATGCAGTATATCGTGAAATAAAGAAGAATTTCTCCAACTTAGTGTTTAACGTAAAATACGAGGCGTTTAAGTCTTTGTGTAGTCTGCTAGTAGAGCAAAAGTGCTCGTGATAGTGCAGATATCGTTCCTTGATACGTAGTTCAAGGAATTGACTTATTGATCGTAGATTACGTTATCTTGTTGCAAAGCTGTTTTGTGACAAGCATGTACAAATGTTTCAAAATAGAACAGAACTACAGACAATAATCTACAGTGTATCTCAAATGAAATGATCTATTTTGACAGCATGCACAAATGTTTCAAAATAGAACAGAACTACAGACAATAATCTACAGTGTATCTCAAATGAAATGATCTATTGAGACAGCATGCGCAAATGTTTCAAAATACAACAGAACTACAAAAAATAATCTACCGTGTATCTCGAATGAAATGATCTATTTTGATAGCGTGCACAAATGTTTCAAAATACGACGGAACTACAGAAAATATTCTAAATTTGCAGATGTTCAATTGACCTTTGTGAGTACATTAGTTGTAGCAGTCTAGCACTATCGTATAATGTGTACATCAGGACTAAACTCAGCAGTATTACATTGCGATTGACTGATTGAGACAGGTTGCTAAATGAAAAAAATAATTAAAGCTCATCGAAATACAGTAAGTAGATAAGTTTCTTGTTTTATCACTCTACTTAATAATAACAGTGATCAGTGTCACTACAGTTTGTTGGAGAAGCACTACCTGAATCAGTTTCATGTCCATTGATTAATAGACAATTTATGCTACAGTAGTGCACTGGCTGCACCATGTGCTGCCATAAACTACTAGGCCGTAGTACTGTATTACAAAATGGTATGACCACAGTCTTTCGATTTATGCTATGACATTATTACTGTGATCCCTACTTCGTAAAATGAAGTTTTGCAATTTGTAAATCTACTGTGGATTGTATGTAAAACGAAATGGTCCAACTGTTGATGTCGGCCAATCCTTGGAATTGTATTCAAATGGTAAGTTTTATTTTACTTTTCTATCACCCTATGCAGCGGAAATTTCTGTCATATAGGGATATATACCCGTCTACGGTGTACTGTACACCTACTTGTATACGGTACATATAAGCGTATATCATGATGTGAAGTTGCAGATATTTAAGAAATCGATATCCATTTTGTTCTTTCTGTGTCTGTATGACTCTAAAAGCAATAATCATTGAACAATTCCATTATTAACGGGTTATAGAAACATTTGACGACGAATTCTCGTCAATCAACTCATTCTGTTTCGTTTGGTATTAAAATTTAAAATTTATAAAATTTATTACGGAAAGAACCAATTTTTGATGCATTTGCTTTTACATAAATCACTCCCAATTTCACTAGTCACACCTAGTTACACCAGTGCTGTACAGTATGACTCTAAAAGTAATAATCATTGAACAATTCTATTATTAACGAGTCATAGAAACATTTGACGACAAATTCTCGTCAATCAACTCATTCTGTTTCGTTTAGTATTAAAGGTAAAATTTCAAATTGATTACAGGAAGAACCAATTTTTGATGCATTTGCTTTTACATAAATCACCCCCAATTTCACTAGTCACACCTAGTTACACCAGTGCTGTACAGTATGACTCTAAAAGTAATAATCATTGAACAATTCCATTATTAACGGGTTATAGAAACATTTGACGACAAATTCTCGTCAATCAACTCATTCTGTTTCGTTTAGTATTAAAATTTCAAATTGATTACAGAAAGAATCAATTTTTGATGCATTTGCTTTTACAAAAATTACCCCCAATTTCACTAGTCACACCTAGTTACACCAGTGCTGTACAGTAGTGGGTAAAACTTGGAACTCAAGGTTTTTTCCCGTGCTAAAGCTTATTGACTCCTTTCTAATGAAGCTAAGAAACACCATGGACTACTGGAAAAAATAGCAGAAAAAATTTTCTAGTAGACCATGAAAAAATACCAGGAAAGCTTGGTGGAAATGAGCTAAGAAGTAATTACAGTCCAGTACTGTACAGTGCGACGAAATGGTTGAGTTTGCACTGTAAATACTGTACAGTATTGTACAGTACTGTACTGTCCACTGTCCACTGTCCAGTCAACAGTTACCTAGAGATAAGAAGTAACAGTATACGTACTGTACTGTACAGTACTGTGCGAGGAAATGGTTGAGTTTGCACTGTAAAGACTGTACTGTACTGTCCACTGTCCACTGTCCAGCCAACAGTTACCTAGAGACAGCGGACCTTCAACCTAGTTACTGTACGCACAAGTAGCGACAGGCGTTACGCGTCGCAGACATTCAGGACCGTCTTGACTACCATGATTGCCGAGATGCGCAGAGACTGCAGAGATTGATAGGGCGGTAGAGGTGAAGAGTTCTTCTTTTACCATCGCTAGCGAATGAGCAATGGTACAGCAAGCGTCCTATCACTAGCACTAGTATGCCTACAGTGAGCAATAGTGCAATAATCTAATGATGGCAGACCTATTCAAAGAATGGAGGACACCCATTTTACCTCGATGCTATTAGGCAAGGACTTGTCAAAAGGCAACTTGCTCTTACAAGTCACTGTCCTAACCAGACAGTATAGACTGGTGAAATCAGCGCCACTCAACTACTGTATTACCACTGTGGTGGATGACACTGTACACAGTGTACAGTACTGTACGGGTAGCCGTGCCGACGAGTGGTGACCATAGGGAAAGCAACGTTGCAAAATGCAACTCACTCGCAAGCCGAGTGACACCTACCTACCAATGGTACCTATGGATACACAGGGACCGGGAGGTACCGCAACAGGGTACGTGTGTGGCAACTCACTCGCAAGCCGAGTGACCTACCTACCAATGGTACCTATGAATACACAGGGACGGGGAGGTACCGCAATAGGGTACGTGTGTGGCAACTCACTCGAAAGTCGAGTGACCTACCTACCAATGGTACCTATGAATACACAGGGACGGGGAGGTACCGCAATAGGGTACGTGTGTGGCAACTCACTCGCAAGCCGAGTGACCTACCTACCAATGGTACCTATGAATACACAGGGACGGGGAGGTACCGCAATACGGTACGTCAGTCGACAGACGGAACTTTTGAAATCACTGGCCGATTTCAATGAAATCTTTTTTTTCACAGTCTTCTCCATTTTTTCATGAAATTCATTTTATAACCCTGAACCCTGTATATATCTTTGCCAGGAAAACATTTCTCCAAGTATTTTTGGTATTATTGACCCTTGATATCCATTTCTCGCCTCGTTCTTTACATTATTTCACTGAAAAATCGCTTTCCTAGCCACTCATTTTGTTATTGCTTTGGCCATTTTCTTGTTGGTTCAAAGAATACAGTAAAAGTAGGAAAACACCATTTTTTTCTTTCAATTCAACTCAACGTGCCAAGATATTATCCACTACAAGTTCAATCGATCACAGGTATTACTCTCTACAAAATGAGATGACCTCTACCTTGGATCACTTTTAGCCCTAATAGGAGTATCTAAGTTGTTTATAACCCTAATTATAACCATTTTATTTAGACGAATTCAAATTGTACATACGCGCACATTTCCCCTTCAATGACGATGGAACAAGATCCTAATGCTGTAAATTGTGTACGTCCAGATATGGGCTACAATTGGCTAGGCAATTATGTTATTGAAAAAAAGATTGGCCAAGGACAATTTAGTGTTGTCTATAAAGCACGATGCTTGCTAGATAATTCACTAGTAGCTTTAAAAAAGGTTCAGGTAAGATTCATCATAATCCATTCGTTCCTTCTGCGCGTCGAATTGTAGCGTATCATCTCTGCTTGCACATTTGTCAACAAGTAACGGTCTGCCGTGCTCATTTTGGATGTTCTTTCATTCAAATTCTTGACCAATGCCACCTTCGTACTGCTCTTGATAGCATTTGATACAGTGCAATCTACCTTGTTTAAAATCGGTTAACCAATTTTTAATTTTCTTCCATTTTTACACCAAAGAAAGGGAATGGGTAGGACCTGATTGAAATACAGTACATGCGTACCCTAAGTAAATACCGGTTCAACCCCAAAATAAACGTTCTGTTGCTTTTTTCCCCTTTCCTTCTCCAACTCGATCACTCCTCTCGATTTTGTTATACGTCGTGATTGATGATGGAGAAGAAATCAATCCATGTAGTTGGACAACATTCTTTTCTTACTGGCGAAATAGTTTTGCATTGCAGTATTACGAAATTGCTTAACTACATTTGTTGTCCACATCAGCAGTTTAATTGATTTACTGTGATACCTTGACTTCGGTCATATGTCTTTTAATCGGACTGCAAGACAAAGCCTTATCATAAGATAGTTTTATTTGATATCTGTATATGGACTCAGCGAACTTCCTAGTTACTTTTTCTTTCTTTCTTTAAATACACGACAACTAAATCATTGAATCTTCTTTAACCTAACCTTCATGATCATTCCATTTTATAATTTCAAATGAATTACTTTACTTTCCATTACAATGTTTTGCTGAAAATCAACTTTTGCACTTTCAATGACTTAATAATCTACAGTTAGCATTGATCATCACTCACAATTTTATATTACCACATCCAATCAATTGTTTTCGACTAGACCTGAGAAAGACTCCGTGACTACTTTCTGTTCAAACGGAGCATTCCTTTACTCGTAATAATGAAAACTTCGATCTATGTTCCACCGGAGTAATCATTCTGAATACACCAGACATTTATCCTGTATATCAATCCATTCTACTGTATTATTTTGGAAATTTTTTCCATAGCTGATTGTGATGGTTTCTACCTACTGCCAACCAATGATCGCACATTCTCTACCATGATTTTTGATACAGTACCATTTAAAAATGAAATCAAGTAGAATCATTCTAACTAGAGTTAACATCTTTTATCTTGTGCCATGTTTTGGCTTCTAACGAATGTATCCGTATTACTGTAATCAATCTTGATGTTGCCATTGTATCAACTCTTGTAAGATCACAGTAAAAAAAGTCAAGACAACTACTTTGGGCGTCATATAAATTCCCATCAAGTAGTGTAATTAAGTATATTATGTACTGTGTATCCTCATATACAAAAGCGTATCGATCCATGACACAAGTTAAATTAATTATCCATTTTATTATAATACCGCTAGATATTTGAAATGATGGACGCTAAAGCGCGTCAAGATTGTCTCAAAGAAATAGACTTGTTGAAGGTAAGTTGTGAATAATATTATTTTAACTCTATTACCATTAATTATCTGCTTACATTTCCATGATTTGCGCTTAAAATTCACACTCTTTCACGCTACCCGTGTTATGTTAAAACCGGAAAAATATCTAGGCCTTTTAGATATGACTGTAGTATAGACTTTATTAACAGATTGATAATACAGTCTTACTGCGAATTTTATTCTTATTGTAGGACAACGCCTACAATAGTATTGTAGAATTCGTCAATTCGTTAATGCTAATCAACGTTATGTTATACTACCTTCTTTTTTTAATATGTCCTAACTAATAATAATTGATTATATAGCATGATATTCTTTTCGTACATGTAAATGTCCCTGATTGTAATGAAATACTTAGATAGGACTGCTTATAATGCTGCTATAGCAGCAAGTCATCATAAAAGTACAAAGTTGTACCTTACAACAATTTTAGTTAGGAAGAACGACATAGACATCCAAGATTTATTTCTTTTATGTTGTTTTTATATATTTCCCTAATTATTGTAATATTGTCAAAAGTTTCATGGTCTTTTCTTAGTATGTATGCGACACCTTAATTGTAATTAGCCTTGTTATCCGTTAATGACAATAAAAATAAATTCATCGTTCTGTAATTAACCTGAAAAAAAGATAACACTTTATAAGATTGTTTAGTTAACTTAAATTTAGTTAATTAAAAGGCTAAGTGTTCGCTGATATCTAATCTCCTATACATTTGAAGCACTTTCTAAAATTTATCCACTTTTTTTGCTACATCTATACTCAAAGTCATTGGAGCATCCAAATATTATTAAATATGTGGCATCTTTTATTGAAAATAATGAAGTAAGTTGCGACAAGCTATTTGAAATTAGATCTACTCTGCTGAGGCAAAAATATAAAGAGTGATTGATAAATATACCATCATATGGCTTTTTATTTAAATAGAATTATATCATGAAAATATCTATTACTTGTATAGCATAATTTTTAATAACTCTGTCAATTGACATTTTTCTCTATCTACTGGACATTTTGCAATAATTTTAGCTAAACATTGTTCTAGAATTAGCTGATGCTGGCGATCTATCAAGAATGATCAAGGTTTGCTACCAATAAGTATATCTGGGATATATATATATAGCTTACTCGTAATTTTACCTTTCAAACACATATCATAGACGTATTGCTAGCCCTCATCAGCTTGAAGTTAGAATTTGTATGAATATTAAGTTATTGTTATAATTTCTCATAGTAACAAATTTAACAGGTGTACATTAAAAATGGTGTATCATCCTTAATTCTAAAACCCGGAATTTCAATATGTGTAAAAAGTTGATAGTTCTGCGTTGATCATGTCATCTAGCAAGTGGAGAATGTACTACTCTAATACTTGCATGAGCGAGATTACCTTACTTATTTTAAGATATTGGTAATCTGTTGTAACCGTCCTGAACGTTTTATTTCTGGATATTAATTTTAAAAAAATGTAACTAAATCCTCGTTGCTTATTTCATGCATTAAAGCTTGCGATCGTAAAGTACTATGAACTATCTGTTGCTCTAGTTTCATTTTCACAAATTTGATATACAGCAATGGCATTAATTAAAGTAGTACTTCCGTATAGTATCGTTATGGAAGGTAATGTGTATGCATTCTATACTATCCTCTGCCTTTTTTTCATTTCTAATTGTTGAAATTTCGTCGTGTAATATACGCATATACCAAGATTGTGAATACTAAATTCAATTTTTTAACCTTATTAGTAAGAATATACTGTTAATTTTATACCTTAAATCTTTCGAAACACCAAGATAATAAGTCTTATCTCTGTTTTTATTTTAGCATTTTAAGAAGCAAAGACGGCTTATACCGGAGAAAACTGTTTGGTAAGTTCCAATTATTTTACTAGTCAAATAAAAATTAATCAAGGAAAAACTTTTTGCTGGAGCAGTTGCAATTATCGCAATGATACTTTCGCAAGTTTTATATATGGACTCTCAATCTTCTCGTAGGAAGTACTTCGTACAATTATGCAATGCCCTAGAACATATGCACTCACGTCGCGTTATGCATAGAGGTTAGTAACTCCACAAAGTTTTATGCTAGCTTAATTTATCAGAATTTACGAATCCATACTAGCATGTTAATTAAAAGTATATGTATTATATTTTACAATCTTGACGGACATAGACTCACTTTTATTATATTAATTATAATCTCATTGGATTTAAGCTTTATCAACTAATACCTTTGTAAATTATACCACCTTAAATTCTTAACTAGATATTAAACCTGCTAACGTCTTTATAACTGCAACTGGTATTGTTAAACTGGGAGATCTTGGATTAGGCAGATATTTTAGTTCCAAAACAACTGCTGCCCATTCTTTAGGTGGAAAATTTAGACTGTTTTAAATTAATTGATATTGTTCTATATCGATATAAATTATTTTGAATACTCTATAATGGATGACTATTTTATCTTGATTCTAATAGTGGGGACACCATATTATATGTCACCGGAAAGAATACATGAGACTGGATATAACTTTAAGTCTGATATATGGTCTCTTGGCTGCTTATTGTATGAGGTCAGTATGGTATCTTCAAGCCTTGAGCTAATTTTGAATTATATTTCATACTATAAATAATATTGAGATATTAAAAAAGTAAATAATTTCGTTATGTTTACGTACAGATGGCAGCATTACAATCTCCATTTTATGGCGATAAGATGAATTTATATTCATTATGTAAAAAAATTGAACAATGCGATTACCCTCCGTTGCCTGCTGACTATTACTCGGAAGAGGTAAAATAAAATTGTTTTCTTACAATTACATCCATATTTTTCATTTCTTTCATAAAGTTATGATTTTACTGACTTCTTTAATGTACTATAACAGTTAAGGGGACTTGTCAATGCTTGTATTAATCCCGATCCAGAAAAAAGATGGGATATTACATATGTTAGTAATATTGCTCGCCAAATGAATGCACGTTTCCAGCAACAAGCACCGCTGAAGTAAAGTGGATTCAACAGCTTTGGTCGCAAAGTGACTTAGGATCTCATCGATCTTGTATAGAATTATCATTATTTGAATAAGATTTTAAAATCATTCGTATTCCAATACTTAATTGTAATGGTGACTAAAAAATATTATTGATAATATTCATGTACTACAGATAAAGATGATAAATGCATGACTGCGCATTTAAATATATTGTAACGCTCAGAAAATAGCTATTTTAAATTCTAGGTCTATGTACTTTATCTGTGCATATCTAATCTTAACTTTTATCGTTTGTTATGTATTCCATCTTAGATTTATTATTAAGCAGCTGTTTCTTGATTATAATCGCCGCTTCGAAGCGATCTCAATTTATCATTTTCAGTCAACCTGATTTTGCGTGAATTACGTAGTAATTTTATTTCAAATTCTTATATATAGCCCAAAGCTCCCTTCTTACTAGACAAAAAGATAGAAAGCTGTAATTCTTTCAGTTATCGATGACAAGCTTTAATCACAGAAAAATAGAATAAAGTTCTAGGGCGACCGTAAATCTAATTTTTCCTTTGTTTTTAAACTGGATTCTCCGATGGCAAAAACCTTTCTAATATCATTACGAAATAGATTTCCTTAGCAATAGAAAATTTGCTAATTCACCGTAAAGATTGAACGTACTAAGTCACATCTACAAATACTTACCTATTCGTAAGCTATGAATGGGTGCTACTGCTATTATAGATTGAGGATATTCTTATGTCAAGTAATTTAATAGCTAATGCACTACTATCCCAACATGCATTCATTGAAACATCTTAATTTTATTATAATACCTTGTACGTTACTTTCATTCCAAAATAGTGGCAAATACAAATGCAGTATTAGTAGCAATACCCAATTACTAAATAAATGATATTACGTTAAAATATATTAGGTTATTTTCATCAAGCATATACACATTACAACAACTATAATCGAAATATTTGAACATTTCCATAAATGCTATCATATGAGTAGAAAAGTTACATTGACCCTTCCAAGAAACTATTATAAATTTATATTTCTAATTTTAGCTATTCCATCTGCAATTTCTTTCAAAATTTGTTGATCTTTTACACTTTGCTGAAATTCTCTATAAAAAAAACATGCATTTATCGTATGTTACTTTATAGATACAGATAATACTGAAGACCAATAAAAAAGAAATGCTTACGAAGACGGAGACTTTAATAGTAAAACGATTTGCTTAAGTTTTATCCCTGGTGATATTTCTAGTGCTTCCAGGATATTAAATAAGTATTCTGAAATAGGTAAAGTGATCGCATTAAATTATCTTGATTTTGCTTTCTGTTATTTCATTTGAAACCAACCTATATCTTCAATTAACTGTCTAGCTGCGTGATCAGTTAAAGTGGGTATTTTCATAATGTTCTCGACGTACGTCAGTACAGTTCCTCTAGCAACAGCACCCAACCAGTAGATTGTAGTATCGTTTACGTTTAATGAAGTATCTTCGTTATCTAATTTGAAGATATAGCAATATAATCAATTATCCTAAATTAAAGCATAGTATACTGATGCTATTTAGTTAACCAGAAGTATCCGGGTAAGGCAATTTTCCTTCCTTCAGAGCCATTTCAAGGGAAGGATTATTTTGAGTAGCGAATGGCTCCAGCTGTTGCGGTAAGTTAAGTAAATAATCGCCAATCTAAATTAGATAATTCACATAGATAACAAGATATAAAGTATTTAGCCATTTAATATCTAATGTCTATTCAATAATCAGATTACGAGTATATATATACTTGGGTAATATAACTTGAAGGAGATATAAATGTGGGTAAATCTTCATTAGATACATCAGAAACTTCTTTTTCAGCACTCCAAACCTACGGATATTGGAGTGTATTTAGTAGATAAAAAAATGTAATGGATAACAATCATGAACACAAATGGCACTGTAATAAAATCTTGCCTCCATCATCGGCATGGCTGATAATTGCTGTTGGACTTTGGAGAATATTAAATCGAAAGCAAACAAGTGGCAAGACTCATTTAAATCACAGCATCGTTGACGAACACTTGGCAAGAAAACGAAGTCGTGCCCTTCTGTAATTAAATTAGGGAAATTCTAAGCACAGACCTTGACAGATTTAAGGGCTCATAAAGATTATGTACAATCAGGAATGAGTTTCTTACGTTCGTAAAATGTGATTATAACTAGTCATTATATCTTTTTTGTTTCATACCTTGTTGGCATCTTTCAACTAAATACGACAAGGAAGACATCTCTTCTGAATCGTCATCTACAAGATAGTTGTAATGGACTAAAGTTCTCTGCAAATTTGCGGGTGCCAGTAGTTTGTCCGCCTGATTGTTAATACTTTTCTGTAATCGCGCGCTTAAGCTATTAGATTTAATTATTATATCACCTGCAAATTTTGTAACATAAGCGATAGATTAAATACTGCAGTTATCGAATTTGAAAATATTTAATAAAAACGAACGCATTTTTAAATTATAAAACAAGTAATGAAACATTATCGTACAGTACCGCAAGTTTGAATTAATCGAAAAGCGTTCTGAAAAACTGTCCAGTCATCTTGAAACTCGGTATTTTGACTAGCAGGTGAAGGAGCTGTTATATTTGAAAGGACCCCAATACGACATAAATCGCGTAAATTTTTTACGATATCAAAGTGTTCGTTTAGGTACTTGATGAAATACGTCTGCAAGTGGAGATTTTAACGATTACTATTACACTTAATTTAAGGTATTCACAACTAACATAATCTTACCTCTAATGCACTCCCTAGCCCATAAATACCACAACCCTGAGTTAGATCAAAGCATCTGTTTCTAGCCTGACAGAATTAAATAGAGCAGAGAGTAACAATTAAGCAGGCTTTCACATGACGTTAGCAATCAAAGTTGTCCAATTACTTCAAGAACCGCAAATAAGAAATGTGCGCATATTTATAAGATAGACGGAGCATACATATAACTTAAAAGAATTTTAACTGATATTATGGCTTTAAATGGTTAGAAAATTTTGAGCGAAAACTCATGTTACGCGCATAATACCTCATTCGCCCACGTAAACGCCTTACCAACGTATTCATTAATTCGACTCACTGTGTCAAGAATACCATCTATCTCCTATGCGTAACAAAATATAAGTATATCAATACGCTAGGTCATATAAGAGCCTTAAGGTAATAATTTGTAACTATTATAATATTCTAAATCTGATGAAAACGTACAAAACTTAATGATTTAAGATTAGCCATAAGATTTTCTTTCTCCCAGTCAGAGTATTTCAGTAAAAGTTTTGTAAATGGAGAATGGATAGCTTGTACAAGTTGATTTGTTGTTCTTGGATCATTAACTGTCGTTTTTATAAGTAACGAAATTAGGTTAGATTATTTACATTTTTTGTTGAATCATAGCAAAAAAGGATATGGTAGATAAACCAGTCCTCTCAGTTACATATACAAAGCCCTTATTTCTTACTTTGCTGGTTGCTTAAAGCAGTATCGAGACCTTCAGCAAATCTAAATGTACACTGGTAAAGCGGAACAAAAAATATAAATACTACTGTAGTGATTAATACGTAAGATATGCAGTATTGAATAGTGGTTGTGAATTCATACATTGAAAAACTAGAAAGAGCTAACAAGTACCTTTCTAAAAGCAGTTAGCTGTTCAATTTTCATTACTGGATTAGCAAAGTCGTTGATGTAGTCACTTATGTATTGATATATGGACGGGTCTAAAGCAGATAAACTTTGTGCAAGCACGCTATTAACTAAATCAATTGCATTCGGAAATATCTGTACACACCAAGAAACCTATTAATGAATCACGAATTAGTACAATGTAAGTAATTATCACATAATTAATTTCATATTGGACACCTAAGTAGATATATTATAGAGCGAAATGATAACTGATTCTAATCAATCCAGTACCTCTGCATGCCAGCTCGATAAAACTAAGTCATAAAATTCTTCAAACATTGGTAACGTTTCCATATCTTCTCTAATTAACGCTGACCAGGCATCCTGTAGAACACTTTTACGACAATGATTGTAGTAACGTTCTAAGAAGTTCATGCGATAGATATCCTGAAATATTCTGACATAATCGCGTGTTGCTTCTATGAAAGACAAATTTGCAACGTATTCTCACTTATGGATATTTAGCTGATAAATAATTTGAAAGTAAAAAAATTTTCTAACCTATATCATGATCATTAAAAGCAGCGATGAGTTTCGGCGATACTAAAGCTTCTAATTTATCTTTTAATTTTTCTAACGTTTGTTTACGCTTTTCATAATCCGGTAAGTAGTTAAGAACTTCCTATAATACCAATAAATTAATTACGATATCTCTTATTAAGACGCATTCTGTTTACATATAAATGGGTAAAAAAGTAATAACTTAAGAAACTTTGCTTTTCGTTTCAAACATACAGCATTATTGAAAGTTCTATTTACTACATGTCGTATACTTACAAGGCTGTGTTGCATACTTGTGAGCATACTAGCAATCTGTAAAGAAAACCGTTATTAACTTTTGTATAAACCCATCTCCAAATAAACTTTATTCACCACCAGTCCCAGCAGATACACTGACCGGTTAAGGCTACACTATATCAAGACTCACTTTTAAATACTTACAGCATCAATATCTCCACGCTTACAGATACCATCCACATCTGACACTAAAACGCTCCAATTATCAGCTTCCTGCATATTCAATAAATCCATATTAAAAGATTTTGATATGATAAAAATGCTTTAAATATTGATTCATTAGGTGACGTTATTTACATTATAGCATTACTATTACTATAATACTATAGTTACACACTTGTATGACATTAGAGGCAGCTTGCATCCGAGATTTAATGCTGTCTAATTCAACTAGCATTTTCATGGATTCAGATGTTTCTATCTCCACCTATAAGGGTAATATGCAACAATACCATCATCTCTTAGGGGTTAAAAATAAATAAATCTAATAAAATTTAGCTATTCTTGTATTCGTATAAAACCCTATCATTGTATCAATCAACAAAACTATACGTATATCGTAACTTAGTACATTTCTGCATTAGCAGCTAAAATGGAGTAGTCTACCCGCTTGCAATAGTGAAAAATAGTAATAAAGATACCTTCTCTATATCGTTTTTGACAGAGTTCATCTGATCTTTTAATAAAGTTGTCTCTTTATAGACCCCTTCAATTTCACGTAGAACCCTAAATATGACATCAATTACTAATCCATAAGTAATCAATCGAACATTTATAACGATTCCTACAGCACATTTACAAGCAATCAGCATTAATAGCTGTGTACTACAAGGGTATGTAAATCTTTATCATTAAATATCATAGTGAACATATCGAGCCTATAAACGATGAGTAATACTAATGCATCTCATTTTAAGAGTACGTATGTCATTTGTATACAACAGGAATGAAGAGTAGCATTTGTAAACAGTAACGACAGGTACCTAGGTAGATTTTGAACCATTTGCTGGCTTTCTTCTTCTAATGTATTATTGGCTTCCTGTAGATTAGATAAAGTAAACATTCATCTTTTTAACTATCTTTAAAGCTACTATGACGTTTAGCTGTATAGACGCGTATATATACGATACGTTGTAACACTGTGCTGAAGAAGGAGGTAAATTAAACCTTATTACCTGAATATAAAGTTGTAATTTCATGACTAGAGTTGATGCATGAGCCTGCAAGACAATATAAGTTGATGCAAATTATCAATACTTCATTTATCTACAGTAGTAGTATGTTATCAATCATACTAAATATGTTCCATCATTGTTAGTTGATATTTATTTATTTACATCTAAGGCAACGTTGGGATCTTTATTTGATCGAAGAGCTGCGTTAACCCATTTTTTTACATCGAAATCGCTATCGGAAAATCTGGAGAAATCCTACACAGCAAAAACAAACATTATACAACCTCTCTCTCTCTTTTTCTATAGCTAATGAAAAAATCAGACTAAGACACTTCAATATCGAAAGGAAAATGTTGAAATGGGTAGCCCAACAAATGATTGTACAATCATAGTAAACTATTTATCGTCTTCAAGAGGAAATTACCCCTATCTGCAACTGTTCGACTGTCGCTATGCAAAATTATCGTCGTCGAATGCAGAAACTAAAGTAGAAAATAAGCAATTCCTTTCTAATATGAGTGTAATATCCATACTAGTAGCTGCAAGCTATTGAAAATAAAGCAATATAACGAACGACTAAAATTTTTGAAAGTAATGTCTTACGCATACATGGCATAGCACCATACTGTGACCTAAACGTCATTGCACTAGCTCGTCTTTTTACAAGCCTATTTAATCCCTACATTCATTTACCATGACGTTAACGGCGTGTAAATCTTGCAGATATGTCTTGAAAAGCTTAAGACCAGCAGTTTTTCTTAGACTTTTTACGTCAATATTCACTACAACATCATCATCTCCTTAGATATTCGACCATTTCATTGAGGCAGCACAACTTTCAATGGCGGCTGTCCAACTTGTGAAAGCTGGACCAATACCGACCTGGGGAGAAGTGATCGCTATGGGAATGACTTAGTACCGAAAACTGTACCCTTGACTGGACTACAGTACCGTAGACTGGTACTGTATGAGTGGCAGTACTAACGCGTCATCATTATTCGATTGTATACGGACGGTACAGCAGGTGGGACAAGATACGGCTGGTTGGTTTCTTTTGTATGGCAACTCGGCCGTGGTAGGAGTCACACGAGTTGGGTAGCAGGTGTGCGACAGTACCGTGTACTGTACGAACTCAGCCTGTACTGTACACTGTACACTGTATAGGATGATACCTTGCTCCACTACACTGATGATGCGCAATTTAGCAAATGCTCAAAATGGCTAATCGTGCCGGGAACAACCTTGGCAATCGCTACTCGGATGAACTTACAAGCACTTTAATCACTCTTCCAAGCAAGAGATTAGCATTAGCCAAGTCTACATTAGATGCAATACGAGATAAGCACTTTGTATGTCCTGGTAATACAATCACAGAAGATATTGGTTATATGAGGTTATAATCCATGTACAGTAATTAAAATCGCTAAAATCTGCACAAAATGGCAATGAATATTATTATACCTTATATGCACAATGATACTTATATTTTCGCAACTCATATTCAACGTAAAATAGAACAAAGAATTGAGGATATTCATTAAAATATTATTATCTGCTCTTAACTTCTTGCCAATATCAAAATAGTGCATATATAAATATTGGTAATAAATGACAATTTTCCATTCATGTAGAGGCCATGGAACCTACCTACAAGACAACAAACTCAAGGCTTCTGTTGCAGGGTTCGTCGAAAAGGTCGGAAAGCTGATTTGCGTCAAGCCTGTCAAATCAAGGTACTACATTCCCTCTATCATAATTCATTCAAATATACAAAGCTAAGGTATACTAGTAGGCTATGATAGACTACACTTAAGTACTCCTTGCATATAATTATTAAATGCTCGTATAAATGAATTACTGTTTCATCAACTAACAATATGATAATATGCGTATCTCGATATCAATAATTCTGCAACGAAATTTCTAAAATTGCTAATTCTCATCTCATAGATATAACGGCGAAGTCGGTGATGTTGTGGTTGGTATAATTACTGAAGTAAGTGCATAATACACTTACTACTTTAAAGAAGCTTTAATTGCAAATTTGTTGTCAATTTTACGCATTGCAATCTTTATACAGTAATAAGTATATACTGTACTATGTATTTACTTGACTGCCACTTATTACTAAAGTAGTTTTCGATTGCACGCAACTACAGCACCATAGTACATTAATATAACTACATGATACTGTATGTACTGTATATTTAGGTTGGCCAGAGGCGTTGGAAAGTCGACACTTATTCTAGATTAGATTCACTTTTAATGCTATCGGCCGTAAATCTACCAGGTGGAGAATTGGTACGTTTCTACTGTAAATGATCAACAACGCCTGCGCTTTTTGTCTGCGTTAATGTGGCATTCAATTAGCATTATTGTTTTAAAACGTGAATTAAATAAGTAAAAAGCTCTCTTTTTCTTGATTTTTTACTAAAATCAACAGAGGCGGAGATCGGAGAAAGATGAACTAATGATGAGACAGCATCTAACTGAAGGAGATCTAATTAGTGTATCCTAATGACGTGTAGCCAGTAGTTAACACTGTATAATATTGCATAATTGTCAGAATTACTTCTACAAATTATCGCCATGCAGTAGATAGCAAATACATTCAATGGTTTAGTAGCTTCGTAATTCCACCAAAATCAGCTATTGCATATTACAGTATTTACCCTTGACGACAATTGCATCTAGGCTGAAGTACAATCCGTTCACGGTGATGGCTCATTAGCATTGCACACGAGAAGTCTAAAATATGGCAAGGTAAGGTAGTCCTATCTTTCATACGTAATCGTATGAAACTAAATCTGTACTGAGTTTGCCTACATCTATCGCTAACGTTATTGTATAATCCTATTCAATAGCTGATTCAGGGTACTTTGGTAACAGTAGCTCCAGCATTGATAAAAAGATGCAAGACGCATTTTCATAATCTAGAATGTGGAGCTAGCATTATTTTAGGAAATAATGGTTATATTTGGATTTCTCCGCTATTGAAGGAAGATGCGGAAAATCAAACAACAAAGTCGGATACCTCAACACGTAGCGATCCCTTAAAGGTATAATTAGCTTGATTTCTATCAGATTTTACCACAACTTTATAATTGACAACCTGATGATTAATTAACGTCAATATTTTTATGTTTCTTTCCTTATCAGGAGATAAGTTTAGTCGAACGTGAAATTGTAGCTAGATTAAGAAATTGTATTATGGCATTGGCCGAACGACAAATGTTACTATATGATACATCCATAACTTATACATACGAAGCATCTCTAAATTATCAAGTAAGTCAACATAAGAAGTGAATCAATCATTAAATAATTATTTATGAAACAATAATGGAATTTAAAGATCAGAAACTGATTAAAAATATTACGATATTTTATCAGGTCAGAGAACTGCTACAAGCAGACGTAATCGAAGAAATTACTGATAAATGCTGTCAAAGATTACTTTAACTCATGTTCAAACAGTAAATGCTACTTTTCTGATATTTCTAATCTTATTCAATCATGGATAAAGACGTATATTTACAAGGTATTTTTATTGTTTCTTAATGGTAAATAAATAATATAAAAGTATTATTGTACTGTACAACGTGTTCATAGTTACATAAATTACTCCTGTATTTTAGACGATGCCAAAGGGCATTACATTATTTATCGAAAGCAATAAATTGCACTTTCTCCGTTTTATTTCGCTTCTGAACATGCTCAGCGAGTCTTTCAAGATACCTACTCAAGGACTCGGATGAGTTGTTATTATTACGTGCAGTGTAGAGAGGAGGTGGAGTTGCAATTGACGAATGCTCAGCCTCTTTAAATACAGAATTTCCAAAACCTAAAGCGTTCTTCTTTTTCCGTTTTAAATGATCCAGTGGATACATGATTATTCCCGATTCAGGATCATCTTCTGTTTTTACATTACTTTTGCATATCGCGTTAGTATCATTATTTGTACTACCCTCTGGCGAATATCCCACAGTGGTATCATTAGATTTAGTATTAGATGATGTAGAAGATTTTTCTTGAGCATTAACTGTCAATTTCGCTTCAGGATTCTTTTCTTTCAAGTAACTCTGAGCCAGTAACTTGATACGTGGATCTTTCGCAGCAGCTTTCTGTTTCTTTAGCACAGTAGTCACGCATTCTTCGTAATTGCCTGTCACGCACGGATTGATCTTATAACCTTTAAATAAGAATTCGAAAATACGTCAGGATGCAATATATTCATTAATTAATTATTCCACTTTAATCTTACGCAATGTCGATACAAGCAATAACACTATCTTTGTACGTTGTTTATACTCAATAAAGCAATGATTGCTAGCAATTGGTTCATTACAGCGCTACTTGTCATACGTATATGTCCAATATCTTGTTAGTACATCAAAATTTTTCAAGACACATTGTCCAATCAAGTTTTAAAGAATTGATAATTCAATATTGTGAGTGACTTTACCAACTAGTCTATATATTAAACATAAATTATAATTCAGCAATACAGACCACAAGAAATCTACGCTGCTACGAAACCCATTAACATCTTGAAAACGTTAATAGCAATAGTAATAATTCTTAATGTCTTTCTATACTTGGTATACATATATGCATATGATAGATGCAGAGGCTGTTCACATACTATGCAAACGGAAATAAAATGCTGTCAATTACTTCTAATTACATCGTATACAGTTTTAATGGCAATAACAATCTACGGTCTACTGTCGACCGAGGTTTCACCACTTAAAAATTGACTTCACTACATTCGACTAAAATCTCGAGTATTCGGAGTAGAAAGGTGAGACTCGATATGACCTCCAATGGCGGATATAAAATTGTTATCATGGGATCAATCAGCATGAAATTGTTTCCAAATTGTAATTGATTAATTCATATGGTTACCATGATGCTCCTAAGCACTTTTATGAAGTGTACCGTAAACAGTACTGCATATACTGTAGTCTAGATGTGTAAATGTGTACATGCACTGTTGTGTATGGTCCGTGTTAAGGGGAGAAGTTAGATAAATCCTTCCTCCATCCCTCTATATTTTCTAGTTTCTATGTACTGTAATTTTATTACTCCGCATACTGCTAGCTTTCCGTCTGGTAAATTAATTATCTCAGCGCAAAATTCAAATGGTACAACAAACAAATAAACACTACGTTTCACAACTTACAGTACATAGTCGAAAGACAAAACATGCAATAAAAACTTGGCTACTGTATTTCCATCGCCAACAATTTATTTACTGAAATAGTGAGATTTCTACTCCATTTTACAAAGTAGCAGTATAAACTATTGACCTAAACTGGCCTTAAAAGCATTGACAGGGGCGACTCTTTATCCTAATAAATTATCATAAACCATTCAAATACGATTATAAAATTTGACTATGACTATCGATTATGCATCAATTTGCGCCAAAATAATAATAGTCAGTAGACGTAATTTTATCATGACGTTCTAAACAACCGTACGCTATGATACTCTGCTGTTGAACAGCAATTTATGTCAAAGTATCGGCTAGAGAAATTGCACATAAGAAGTAATAGATCATATTTGCCTTTATCGTTGTCATCGGATTCTTTCTTCCTGATATAATCCAGGGCAGAAGCTCCAGTACGTGTTTTCTTACTTTCAGTAGGACCCGAGTTATTCGTACTGGCCAAACGATCCCTATATTCAGCCATTGATATTTTCTTCTTTTTGGATACCTGCTTATCCTCCTCAACCGTTTTTTGTAAATCATCATAAGGTTGATCTAACCAGTAATACTGACAATCATCCAAGTTGATGATATGATCAAAGTTCACATCTGATTGATCTTTCATCGATTTACAGCTCACTATCTTCATACCACAACCGTTATTACTTTGTATTTGTCCATCTTGGATATGGGTGTTATTTTGTGCACCAATATTGGAATTAGCAGGTTTTATGCCAGCATTGGTAGTATCATTAGCATGTTCATAGACAGTAACATGAGCTGTTTTGCGCGACGCAGTTCGATGCTCTTGGCTATCATTCCTATTAGCGGATGATTCATTGGTAGACGATAATTTCACTGTTGGAAATGCAACATGAGATGCAACGGCCACCACAAGAGATGCGATATACACTTCTAAGCCAAGTTCACTTTGTTCATTAACATCTTGATCGTCCGTACTTGCTAATTTGGATGATTCTGTCCTTATAAGTTGTAGCGACCAAAAGGCTAAATTGGCTAAAATCTCTTCCTTCCTATACGTATTTTCCAGGCCGCCATGTTTGTATTTCGCTAATAAAAAAGAAGCTAATTGTCCTACCACGGCGCATTTACGTCTAAGATCAGCAATACTGATTGAATGGGGCGATATAGAAGTGATGGAAGAAATTAAAGAGTCACAAAGAGAGGAGATACTATAAGGAGAGGTAAGACTTAATTTTTCAAAATTATCTAAAAACTGATTGATGGTGTTATTCATGTCTGCCATGGCTGGATCAATGAGAACTGCAGGTAGTCAGGAATTGTACTGTTCTACAACATCGATATTTAGTAATGCCTCAATCTACCAATCGATCGTGTATTCTGACAATAATTTTCAGCCCTTCAATACTCTACTCTATTCGATATCATCAATTGATCGACTGTAGGATATTAGCGGAAAACTCTGGCATCAGTTTTGGAAAATAATTTCAAACTACAGTAATGCAGCGCTGGCCGTTTCGCACCAGTACAGTGCAGATGACTGTAGGGTGGTACAGTACCTTGGTTCAAGCAAAGCTGTCCTAAATTCTATCCAGATATGGCGTAGGCCTACCCGATGCAGTATTCTCCAAAGCGACAGTGTTTTATCCTTATTCGGTCAATGCGATTCTGCTGAGTTATCCTGCCGGATTTCAAGATTCTCGAGTGTAAGAAGCTACGGTAGAACTGCAGCACTGAAATAGGTTAAGCACACTCTATTTCACAAATTGAGACTGGAACTAGAGCAGTAAACGACAGTAATTAATAATTACTATGATTATTACAGTAATTAATTACTGTGATGGAATCACGCTCAGCTTCAGCTTTGGTTTCATGCTCAGTAGCCTTGCCCTAGTCGATGATCTTGTCCAAGGTGAAAAGTGCTGTATGATTTGAAATTCATTTCATGTTCGACCTTATGGTGGATAGGACGATCGGATCTAGAAATCGAGGGCTCAATATTGCTCCCATCTTGGTATTGCTACTGTATTTTCTTGACTGAACTTCGAATAGAATGTGTTGTATGATTAGAAATTCATTTCACATTAGACCTTCCGATCGAATCTAAAAATCGAGGGCTCAATATTGCTGCCATTTTGGTATTGCTACTCTATTTCCTTGACTGAACTTCGAATAGAATGTGTTGTATGATTTGAAATTCATTTCACATTAGACCTTATGATCGAATCTAAAAATCGAGGGCTCAATACTGCTCCCATCTTGGTATTGCTACTCTATTTCCTTGACTGAAATTCGAATAGAATGTGTTGTATGATTTGAAATTCATTTCATATTAGACCTTATGATCGAATCTAAAAATCGAGGGCTCAATTTTTGCTCCAATTTTGGCATTGCTACTCTATTTCCTTGACTGAAATCGGAGTAGAATGTGTTGTAAGATTTGAAATTCATTTCACATTAGACCTTATGATGGATAGGACGATCGGATCTAAAAATTGCGGGCTCAATATTGCTGCCATTTTGGTATTGCTATTCTATTTCCTTGACTGAAATTGGAGTAGAATGTGTTGTATGATTTGAAATTCATTTCATATTAGACCTTCTGATCGAATCTAAACATCGAGGGCTCAATATTGCTGCCATTTTGGTATTGCTACTCTATTTCCTTGACTGAACTTCGAATAGAATGTGTTGTATGATTTGAAATTCATTTCACATTAGACCTTATGATCGAATCTAAAAATCGAGGGCTCAATATTGCTCCCATCTTGGTATTGCTACTCATTTCCTTGACTGAAATTCGAATAGAATGTGTTATATGATTTGAAATTCATTTCATATTAGACCTTCTGATCGAATCTAAACATCGAGGGCTCAATATTGCTCCCATCTTGGTATTGCTACTCTATTTCCTTGACTGCAATTGGAGTAGAATGTATTGTATGATTTGAAATTCATTTCATATTAGACCTTCTGATCGAATCTAAACATCGAGGGCTCAATATTGCTCCCATTTTGGTATTGCTACTCTATTTCCTTGACTGAAATTGGAGTAGAATATCTTATTATTAATTAATTGACTACGCTATATGGAGTCGACGACGAACGCCATGATTTGGACATTTCCTGGGCGCTGCGTCCGTGGACCGGATGCTCATCGCATAGCGTCCTGTACTATGTTGGACTGAAACATGCAATCCATTTCCTTGGTTCAGTATACGCTACTCCTGTGATATTGCACTACTGTACTGGAGATTGATCTTGCTCCGATGGAACGCAAACATACGGACAGTATGGATGGACAGTATCGTGCAGGATTGGACCCGGGGGGGATCCATTTTCTCCATAGTTATCCCTGGTAAGGTACGCGAACAGTGTCATCATCGTACTGTACCATAGTCGATCAATGACTAGGAGTAGAGTACACCACCCGTACACTACCTACAGCGCAGTCAAAGCGCTTGATCTGAAAGTTGAACCCGGTAATCGCCTGGACTAAAATCGGACGGAGTCGATCAAGCAACATGGCGAAGCAAACTGGTCGCGAGCAGGAACAGCTACAACAGAAATTACAAGCTGAAGTAGAGAAGTATAAGGAGCTACAAAATGGTATGCAAGCATTTGATATCATGTAGTGCTACAGAAAGAGAAATTACTGAACGTATAATGCGATTTTACGATCCAATACATGACCTTCTATCTCGTCGTAGCAAGGTGATTGATCACTCCATTTTCCAAAACCATTTCATATTCGTTCTCGTATTGTAGAGTTCATCACTTACTCTCAATCAAGTCTCTACAAGTTTCAATTGAAACGATGTCAAAATGAAACACTCATTGTATCAATTAGCTATTACTTTACACAGTTCTTTTCATGAGATGGATCATGTTCATGGTGATTGATCACTCCATTTTCCAAAACCATTTCACATACGTACTCGTATTGTAGAGTTCATCACTTACTCTCAATCAAGTCTCTACAAGTTTCAATTGAAACGATGCCAAAATGAAACACTCATTGTATCAATTAGCTATTACTTTACACAGTTCTTTTCATGAGATGGATCACTCCATTTTCCAAACCATTTCACATACGTACTCGTATTGTAGAGTTCATCACTTACTCTCAATCAAGTCTCTACAAGTTTCAATTGAAACGATGCCAAAATGAAACACTCATTGTATCAATTAGCTATTACTTTACACAGTTCTTTTCATGAGATAAAGATCATGCTTTCTATTTAACCTTACCCTTGATGGACTTTTTAATTACAGACGTTCAAAAATCGGTCTCCTCGAGAAACCAACTCGATGCTCAATTGAATGAAAATCAAATCGTTAAAAATGTAAGTACAGTAGTATCTTTCAAGGAATAACCTATCTATGGGTAGACTTACTTCAAGTACAAACCAAGATCTGATTGAACATTATCTACAGTTTGAACACGATGATACATCTTGTGCTCGTCTAGCGGTAACGATAATACACTGATTGAGTATCACGTATTCCATGACACTAACAATTAGCATTGTAAATCAGGAATTAGATAGGCTGGATAGCAGCAATAATGTTTACAAGTTGATTGGGCCTGTATTGGTCAAGCAAGATCTATTAGAAGCAAAGCAAAACGTTCAGAAGCGGATTGAATATATAGAAAATGAGATGTAAGATATCTTATTATGCCATGTTGCTAAACTGACGATATCATGCTCAACTGCAAAGCATGAGAATAATTTTTGGGACATATCTTAGCTCTAGGCAAGAAAAGACTACCAAGGATTTGAAGAAAAAGCAAGATAGTATTCGAGAGGATGTTACTAATCTACAACAGCAATTTCAAAAGGCTCAGTTAAGAGCAGCTGGAGTCAGATAATATGTACTATAATAAACTGAGACTGATTCGCAATCCCTTTGCTGTATTCCACATTAAAAATTTTTTGTGTATTTAAATGTATCTTGCGTATGCTCTATACGTGTATAGTATTTGCATGCTACTCTAACCTCTACGTATTACTGTAATGTAGTTACTTGATTTGATTATTTCAACAATTAATTTTATTGCCACCCTAATCTGTATACCTGACAAGATACTAATAATAAAACAATCGTGCATTCATTCTCTACTCTATTCTTGCAGATACTAGCCAACCTTGACTTGAGTACATATACCAATACCGTAAAATCAGAAGAACTATAATTAATTAAGAACTGCACTTTCTGTACAATAATGACTAACAATGTTTCATCTGATAACATGGCCATAAAAACCTCAAAGAGTCGACAATTTTGCTGTAGAGTATTAGCGTAAAAATTGGGGGTGAATGACTTTATTACAATAACAATATTTTAATCGTCAAAATCCTATCCATAAGGCTTCACTATGCCAATCATAGGTTATTTACGTGATGATAATCCATATATTTGAACAGTGCCAGCATCTCGATCATGCTTGTCCTAATTGAACAAATAAGAATTTAAAATCCTTTTGGTAACCTTCTCATACCATCAAATACATTCATTCACATCCACTACCTTGTCATCACAAGCAAACGCTAGTAATGGTTTATTAGGACTCCATGCGACAGCAAATGTTGGAGCATTACAACCAACTTCAGCAACATGTTCACCAGTTTGAATATGCGACTAGAATTTAAGAAAGTAATCAGTACATTTGTAATACCAAAAAACCAATAAAAGATTAAAACCTACAATATCAATAGCGAGATCCTCTGATCCTGATGCCAAAAGTCTACTATCATAGCTAAAGCTAACAGTTCTGACGGGCCAGCTATGAGAAATAACCAGTTTAATTATTATGAGCCATGGATCATTGACTAGAAATAACTTAACGGTTACCGTTCGACCTTCGAATAAACTTACTCTAAACGCGAGAAAGTTCTCAAGCAAACAAGTTCGTCAGTATCCCACAAAGAAACCAAGGCGTCAGCACTCCCAGTAGCAAAGTACCTAAATATTTTTAGACCGATGTGAAACACTGCTACAAAATTAATTATTACTTAAAACGTTTACAATAAACTTACTTTCCAGTTAAATCAAATTTAAGACAAATACAATTAGCGGGATGAGCTTTCAGAGACTGTACAAATTCTAGATCAGGGTATCTGCATAAATAGGTTACAAAAAAAATTTACAACATCTCTTGATGCTAGAACTTAAATTACAGTCTTGTACTCGTATAAAGTCCGAATCCTTTGAATATTGATAATTACCTTAAAATATCTATGCAGCCGTGACCATTGGACATAAAAAATAAATCGCTACATCGATTCCAAGAAATCTCATTGACCTATAAGTAGCATATTTACAATCGTTATGGTACAAATTCCTACATAGATCGTCCATTGAACACATCAATTTTCTAGAGGGCACTTTAAAAGAAGAAAGGGGAGAATAATAGTACCTCTATCTTACAACTGTGTTCTTTAACAATTTCGAAACTTTCCGCATCAATAAAAGTTATGAGATCATCCTAGCCAATGTGCAACGATTTAAAATTATGATAAAACCGTCGTCATAATGATGATGATAATAACTGTACATCAATTAGGGTTACCTTATTGCCGATAGCAATAGATTTCCCATCGGAACTCCAAGTAACATTAATATTTTCTCCTTTCGTTGTTTTACTATGTACACATCTATTAACTATATATATAGTTTGTGAGATTACCTATTTCGTCCTTGAATATGAGACTTAGACTATGCCTAAAGAACTACTTTAGTAAAAATAAGCTAAAATGAAAAATTCAATTACAATGCCTTACTTCGAGCGTCCCACATTTTCACAGTTTTGTCAGTAGATGCAGTAATTAACAGATTTTGATTATGTGGATGCCAACACAACTGATCAACGCTTTCGTCATGACCTTTACAATTTGCTACAACTTTCTAAAAGTACAAAAATCATCGAACGTTAAGAACTGGCGTAGGGAAATGAAGGCCGTGAAAGATGGTGTCTTCAATATAATTAATATAAAACAAGGCTAAAAAGGTAAACGAAACATTTTGTAATTCACCAACCGCTGTTTCATTATCAACATTATAAATAGAGACAGTCCTATCAAATGAGCCAGTAGCAAGTCTAGTTCCACAGCAACTCCAACCAACAGCATGGACCTATCGAAATTAATATTCGATGTGAGTCATATTCAATTTATTTATCTTTATTGCATTGCGTAGTAAATGATTGCATTTATCAACATTCCCTAAGCCCGAATTGAGATGTCCAATAGAAAGGTAGAATCTGTAAACTAGAAGTATGCCTATTATACGGTAACTTGGATATAGTAAAAGAGTGGTTTTATCAAATATACTTCAATACTTCATGCTGCAATAGCATAACGAATTTACGTGCATAAATCAATTTATTAATATGACAGCGGTGCAATTATTTATAATCAATTACTTGGATAAGGACAGATCCGATAGTTATCAAAATAGCTTTTAACTACCAATACCGTACAGTAATTTAGCAGTTTATTCAGTCAATAATCATGATATTACTAGTGTATGAGAGTAAAGCTATCTTCCTGTAGACAGGCGAATAAAATCTTCACATAACGTAAGGTTACATTGCAGAGGTATGCAAGACATTTTGATTCTACTCTCTCTTATCCCTGATTGGCACATTAATGAATTAGGCTCAAAAAATGCTACTAACACGTACCACGAGTATCTGCAATTCATTAATTCTATCATGCAAGAGCCAGAATATGGTACTGTATATCCATGCAAGCCGAATATAATGATTAATACTCTGTTATCCTACGAATAATATTATTATCCAGATACGAAAACTAACTTTAGCTTCATGTCCTTGTACTTCTAATCTACCGTTATGTCTGGCGAAATACTCTCGTTGGCGCTTTAAATCCACCCAATGCTCCTCCAATTCACGGCTATTACTATTCAATAACTCCATCATCGAATAGTATTCCTCTTTAACAGCAGTAAATAGGTTAATATTGACCAAAGCTGATAGTTTGTTGCTGTGCTCCAATCTTGAAACGATTGAACAGGCAAAATCTCCACAGCAACTCTACCAGTTCCTTCCTGGACCTGGGCTGCCTCGAAGTCTCGTCGCCATACTGTACTCAGTATACTGTATGAAAAAGGACCATAGCTAGCATACAGTATATAGCATACAGTGTACAGTGTGCAGCCTACAGTATAAGTGTACACTGTACACTCTGGTACTGAGTGTACTGACAGTGTACACTGTTCACTATAGAGAAATGGTGGCCGTCAATTCTGGAAGCGGAAAGGTGGCCGAATCAATGTCTCTCTCTTCCGAATTGATTGCCTTCGTATATTGCAAATCGTATAATGCCAATTGAATATACCAAAGTAGCTGATCCAACATAATATCGAGATATCTGAACAGTGTACACTGTACAGTTTATAGAAATGGTGGCCGAATCAATGTCTCTCTTCCGAATTGATTGCCTTTATTATTTTAATCATCGTAGGCAGAGAAAGAAGGCAAATCGTATCATGCCAATTGAATATACCAAAGTAGCTGATCTAACATAATATCGAGATATTGGGAAGAACGTCTAGTACAGTATAACCCTAAAACAATGCCAGTATCAATGGATAGACATAGCGCATGGTTTGAGCTACCCAAACTGTTTAGTATTAGACCGATCCAATCTTACTCATTTCGTTAGGACATAAAATATCCTTCTTACTGTTAATAACAGTAAAGTCGATTTTAAAAATGAAATCATTTCATTGGAAACACCATTTGCCATTGCATTTGATAACAGATTAATAAAAGTAAATAAATTCGTCAAGATTTACAGTACTGCATACTGCATTTAATTTTAGCATAGGCTGACTCTGGGATTTGTTCGCAACTATATCCGAATAAGGAAATGAAACCCTTTGAATTCTAATTATAATATGTATATAATTAGTAGCACAAAAAGCAAATAAATTCGTCAAGATTTACAGCACTGTACAGTATACTGCATTTAATTTTGGCATAGGCTAACTCTGGGATTTGTCCGCAACTACATCCGAATAAGGAAATAAAACCCTTCGAATTCTAATTAGAATATGTATATAGTTAGTAGCACAAAATCTCATTCTACGAACGGGCAACTACTACGTGAACAAACATAATTTATAAGAAAAAATCCTTTGAATTATAATTATATGTATCTATAGTTATTAGCACAAAATCTCATTCTACAAACAGTTAGCCACTACATGAACTAACGTAATTTATAAGAAAAAAATCCTTTGAATTTTAATTACATGTACTGTATATATAGTTATTAGCGCAAATCTCATTCTACGTACGGTTAGCCACTACATGCACTAACGTAATTTATAAGAAAAAAATCCTTTGAATTTTAATGATATGTATATATAGTTATTAGCGCAAATCTCATTCTACAAACGGTTAGCCCCTACAATGAACTAGCGTCATTTAAAAGAAAAAAAAACTTAAATAGCAAGAAAAAATTTCAATTTCAAACTTCTTTACTGTACTTGTATTCTCGATTGACTCAGTAAAAGGAATAATAATTTGAAGGAGACCTAACACTAAGTAAATAGTTTGACATGCATATACCTGTAATTATGTACAAGAACAACCAGAGTATTTACGTTATAGCAGCAATGGTGAAATCCGAACTAGATGTCATTCCAACACAAAGACACGCAATAGACTTATATGCTCAATATATTGCAAAAATTTATTACTATTAAAATCATAGCAAAGCAATTAGAAATGACAACTTTCTTAGGTCTTGGTAGACCTTAGCCCTTTGATGAACAGTTCGATGGCAATTTCGCTATATTAAATTTCTTTGAATGAGTAGCAGCAGACGAAAGGAGTTAGAAACATTGCATGAACTCAATATACAACGTTTATACGAGTACACCAACAGAAACTAATTATCATTAAAATTAGAGCTAGACAACCAGAACTGAAACTACTTTAGTTATTGGATAAAGGCTTTGGTCGCCATTCCAATGATTTTCAGTTTATCTCTATTGAGTAATGTATGGTAAGTAGCTGAAATCATTACAAGTAATAGATCTATCTAGTAACAACAGACCAAAGAAGTAGCCACTTAATATTAACTATGTTATTGATCTTTGTTATATACGCATATCATTATCCAATCATTAACATGAGTTAATTAAATTGGCTAGTAGTGAAAAAATGGAGGAAGGATGATTCCTCTGTAGCACGGCCAGTAATGCCAAATAAATAGATAAAATTGCATCTAATATATGAATAGTATTGACGGCTGTGCAATAAAGATTTAAATGAATCCATCCGAGTTATCATCATCATAAAATAAGTATGCTATAATTTCTTAAATTCTAATAAGTGAAATTTATTCGTACCTAATACAATTTGCTTTATTGCTCTTGTTGAGTGTATGAAGATGCTATGTATTAACATCTTACAATTAAATCCCTTCATTTCTTGTAGTTATCACTGCTAAAGTATAACTTCACTCTTACCTCTAACTGATCATCTATAAAAATATATTAATTCTGGTACACTGTACACCTTAGGTTGACCAGGTTAAACAAATTTTAAAAATGGATAAAAATTGCTAATTTGAGAAGTACTTTCAGCAGGTTGAAAGCGTAATCATAGCATTTTTGATTCACAATTATCAACAGTATTTTTACGGAAGATTTTATCCTATATTAATAAGACGTACAAAATATATATTGAAATAGTAATAGAATAGTTTTACTCCTTATCATACACTAGTTTGATAACTTTATTATCTAGCTCTTTTATATCATTATTTACAATATTGTCTGCGAAAATAATCACCACTAAATGTCCTCCAGCATTATTGTTTTACCGGAAAAATTAATTTTGTTACTAGAGATTATTCATTAATGCATGGAACTAGCTGTCTAGATTTAGCTCTCAGTATAAAATAATCCTAAAAATTTAATAATGTGTAATATAAAATGATTTACATATCACTTTGGTGCCATCTATTGGAGATAGCTTATTAAACTGAATCACAAATTCGCCACACAGTTTCTGAACATGAATAATATTCTTCTTGTTATCCCCATATAGACGCAATCGCATGATCATATTTGGTAGCATTGCCTTAGTTATTCCTTGGAACGTAGCTGTTTCGTTAATAACTCCATTAATTAAGGAACAAGTTTTAGTCTTAAATCTCCTTTTCTTAACTTCATCTTGTACTAATCCATGTATTGAAATAGTATCCAAATTCAATTTGTCAGAAATGTTGATAACTTTGATAAAATGCATCTTTAATATGGTAGAAAATGCATTAAAAAATACTGTAAACTGCACTTGTCCAATTTTATTATTCTTGTTGGAAGGAAGAACGGAATTTTTACCCATCTTTTGGCGGATATCCTCCGTCATCGATGATGATCTCGATCTCGTATTTGAATTACGGCTAAACCCCTGAAAAGAAACACTATGGGACACCTTGTCTGGATTTTTGTTCAGATCTTCGCTATCGATAGAATCTTGGGTACTACCATTTGATATTAAGCACTCTGAAGAATTGGTCCATTCAGTCGGTGTATTCGCCACTACTGGCTCAAAAGATGTTTTAGGATTAATCCTATTCAATAAGGAAGCTTGTATTGATTGAAAGTAGTTATCATTGTTTGTTAATCTACTCAGATATGATTGGGAGTCCATGCTATAGTTCATCTTTTCATCTTCAATTAGGCAATTTAGCGTTTCATCGGATTTTATCATTAAACGGTTCTTATAGTAGACAAAGATAACGCAAGCAATCGCAATGATAAGCATGCCAACATTTTCGAATAGATCCATAGTTATGATTCCGTACAGCATCTTGCCTAAAACTTCCTAAGGAGTTTTTAAACATATATATTGTAGCCGTCGTACCTGCAAAATAGGCAATATGTCCTTTATAAATAGCGTATAAAAGTTTATAATCCTATCAAGACTGTATCTAATCTACTATGCAAAACTTTAATTTTAAAATAGCGTCATGCCATAAAAAATATCACAACAATTACACGATAAAGTAGAAAGTATTAATGATTCAATAACCACCTAGCTAGTAGTACCGTTCAGCCCATAATAAATTGATTTAAAGAGAAGTAAAATTTACGAAATTTAAGGTAGAAATTTCTTCATCTACGATAACCTTAATTTCTATATTATCTTTCGTAGCAGGATCTAAACCTAAGAATAATGGTGCAACTTTTCCGTATATAACGCAAGCACGTATGTAACGAACAACATCCATGTACAATTAATCATCATTTAATCTTAAAAGAATAATTGGTTAACAAATTTAGCTCTAACTGCCTTATACATATTATAGAAATATATTCCTCATCACTTCACCAATCTCTGAGGAATAACTCACCAATAGATTTATTTAAATCGTTAGGGCTATTCTATATTATCTTACTAGAGCACTTTGGGAATAAAAGTAACCTTAACTATCAAGTGAAACACTTAAAGTTATTTTTTAAGAATTAATTAACACCATATACAGTAATTTTCTCGGCACCCTAAATACCTTTTGTAATCAGCAATTAAGTCGTAAAATCTGCTCTCATGTTGATAATAAAATATAAAAATTGTCAAAGTACTACCTGTAACGCTACCTAAACTAAACTGTAAGTTCTTTATTATTATTCATATGATAGGCCTCTTTTAATTCTATGATAACAATCTATTTACATCTACTGAGAACATAAATATTTTTATTCCGTTGTTAGATTTTACATTATGTAACATCATTCTCATACTAATTAAAAGGCTAAACTAGAACAAAAAAAACATGATTTCAGCAATAGATCCATCAGCAATGGTAATTCTATCCAATCCAACGAATTTATTAGACTATTAGGATACTATAATAAGTTGGTGTATAATAGAAGCTTACATAGAAGAGATAATGAATGATTTTGGTTCCACTTTTTAAGAATTCAATTTTAATGTAAAAAGGAATTAAAATATTAATTTTATATGATTGCAATTTTCAGTGCCTCTGATGTTTCTTGATTTGCGTTAAAGATGAAGCTTAACATGATTAAATTATTTAATGACGACATTTCAAAGGATTTACTACTGATTACAGCCTTTTGTTATTTGATAGATTATGTTAATTTATTCAAATTGAAATCAGCCTGCTATCCCGTAGAATAATGATTTTCCTGATATATTATTATGGCAATAAAGTCTTAATAGTTATAACTATTTATTACCACTTTACTTTCTACCTATATAACATCTTAAAGCTTGTTAGTACATAACTTGGATTATCAACATAAATCATCTCTATGATTTTTAATTCCCTCATCCTAATTTTATAACAGTCTACAGGTATATACCAATAGAAATTCTTCTGAGTAACTGTACGAGAAACAGTGAAAGTAATAGTTCTAGAAATTTTCATTAAATGTTTTAATGAAAATGGTAAACTGTTTATCGATTGAACTTGTTGCAAAATGGCAAAATTAGAAATGTGATCAACTGATTTTTGTATCACAGGCTTCTTTTCTCGTACTAGCAATAGCATATTATCACATTACTGTAATGATTTACGTCGTCTTTGAAATTTTTACGCAAGATTTCAGGTGTCTCCGCTTCTTGGATATACTTATGTGTTGGTAATGAGATTGTTCAGTAATTTTGAAGATATCAATATCAGAATTACGAGCTCAGAATCAAGGAAAGTAAGTCAACTCTATCCTGCCATTTTCTAGCTAAAGGCAGCTACGTAGGATAAAGGTATATAAAATATGTAAAGTCTATAATGGAACTACTGCAATATATTTTTTAAAGAAAGAAGCTGTATAGCCACCCTAATATTATAGTAGCAAAGTTACGATATTCAAGTTACTATTAAGAATAAATCAATTCTACCCTTGCCGATTTCTATAAAATTTTACGGTATCGATGACATGAAAATTAAGTAAATGAATCGAATATAAGAATTCATCACGAAAATATATCTTAAAAATTAAATGCTTGTAAATTAAAGTGTAAGTTTTAGGCTAGACATGAATCTCCAGCCAATACATCCAACTAGTTTAAAGTAATGAATTAAAATATACAGAGCCATAGATATAGATAGAAGCTTTTTTGTGATTTCGATGCGAATAAAATTTTTAAAATAAAGCTAAGCAATCTTGATTAAATATTATGTTGAATACCTTCCATACCCATATGTTGTCAGAATACAACTATTTAATGAAGATAATAGGTATGATCGCAAGATTTACGATACGTCATCCGTTGGGAAGCTAGACGGCCTATTATCTAATCATTTCTTTTTAGGTCTAGACTCCATCTGATCATTTTTATGAAAGACTGACTTCCATTGCACAACTCTAACTGATCATATTCATGAAAGACTAACTTCTATTACATAAGATAAACGATTAACATGCAGTTTAAATTTATAATTATAACAATTTGTTGTCAGTTGTCGTCATGTAATTATTATCCAGTGATAGTTTTCAAGACTATTAGCCATTGTGAAAGATTACTGCGTTTATTGATAGAAACTATTTCGAAAAAAGTTATCATACACGAGCAATCTGTTATGCGTTATAGCCTTAAATAAAATGGATGTTAGCCTTAAGAAATATTTTTTTTCTTACTTTTAGTAATTAAAAAATATACACTAGTTGCTAGATTACGAACCAAAATCTAGTAGCGCCAAGTTAAATAATCAAGTTATTTTCTCGTACGTTTACATTAAACATTTTTTGATTAAAATTTAAATCCTACGGTACCTTAAAGAAGTGATCCTACATCAGTAGTGAGAATTCAGCTCGGGAATTATAATCATAAAAGTTTTTAATCACTATGTAACCGAAAGAAAGGAATTGTTGACGTAAATTTCCTTTTAAATCCTTTCCAAAATTACGCGGAAATACTTCGTGCTACTGTTCACTGGTATAATATAGATTTGACTTTGACCTAATGAAACATAACTTACACTAGGCCACTATTTATTCTTATCGCAATAGCTTTTACAGCTAGCAGTGTTATAATATTCAATGTAAATTAGCCGCGTATCATAATGATTGATAATAACAGCAAGAACCATATGCATATTGATTTATATTACAGCATAAGAGTATAAAAATAGATGTACCGTACGGTTAACTAATGATGCGATTCATATTACTGGTCTAAATTCAATCGATGAAGTAGAGGAATGCCAAGTAGGGAGGCCAAGTTAATGTTGTATTGTATATACATTTAATCTCACATCGTTTCTCCCCATGAGGTATTAATACGGAAGGAAGTGTTCGTAAATTAAATTATTTATATAGTGAAGTACGAGACAATAATCTTAATCGGAACAATTTTAAAAGCTCTTTTTGCTGTACAGATGTGCCTAATAAGGTTATATACAATAATAAGAAATACATCAGAATCTGATTGTAAAAACAAAATAATGTTTGTTTGTACTGGTGTTGCCGTCGATTTACGTATACACTGATGTGTAATTGACCATTTCGCTGTTAAAGTACAGTACAAAATTTTAGTAGTATATTTGTACGACCTTCTTACCAGAGAGACATAAAACTTAAACTCTTATGGTAAACAGTTCGGCGTAGGAGTTGCCGCAATACGTAATGCAAACTTTGAGTAGGATGTACTCCTTCTTTACTAATCCTTCATAGACGGTTACGGATATGATATGATTATAATATTACACTATTACTTATTCTAATTATTATATGCTCATTCTCCTATTATCTATTCATATTCTCCAATTCACTATTTTAATATTGAATAGGAATGCTAATGTATCCATTGTGGCTGCATAACTCGTGAGCAAATAAAATATGTGCATTAAATAATCTCAACACAGGCGGCATACCACACAGTATACAGTACATTACTGTACTTTTAGATGAATAAATTTAGTATAACGAATGACGAACGTACAGTGTGTATATTCTATTAGCTTTATATAAACTTTAAAATGTTTCATACCCTCTTTCTTACCCCTTCCATACCCATTTAGTGTATTGTGGAGAATATGCGCTACCCTTAAAATTTTACGGATAAAAATAGATGAATTGTTCCAGACAACCTATAGATGGATATTTATTTACAGACGTGGGATATCTATGTGGATATTGGTATCTTAAAATAAGAAGGAAATGAGTTATTTAATACCGCATAACCAATTAAAAATTTCTTCTGCAGATATGAATAACAAGGTTAATATCGTTTCTTAGTTCTCATTATCTAAGAGATATAACAGAATTTGTACCTGATAATACTTTCAAGATTCCATATATCTCAAAAAAACAAAATATCGAATTCCCATTGTTGTATATTCAGAAAAGAAGCAGCTAATTCTACAGTGTATCACAAGTAAAGCAGGCAATATCTTACCATATAGTAGCATGCCAAAAGAAAGCATATAATCAACTACAGTATACTATACCCATGATTAAATATACATGTAGATAGAAACAGCTCTAAACTTTTTGATTTTGTCAAAAAGCACAATGCATCTACATTTATACTGAATGAAATAGAGCATTAATAATATCTTTATCGATTACAGCTTTAGTTAATCATCTTGTCATAGTGACTAGGTGTATATACATACTACCCCCTCCCCCCATTCGTTTCTTAATTTCAGCAACTTAAAAATTAATGCTCACTATATGATAACATGATCATTTACAAGCAGTATAATACCCCTAATACATTTCGCCAAGCGATATTAAACTACTGTACAATGACTCATATATAACATTTCTAACTTTCGCCAAATTGAATACGAACAATACGAAGTTATTGTGAATGCAGCAAACATATTGCATTTTGTATGATAGGAAAAAAGTCTGTCCTAATGGTACAGTAAAGAAAATGTAATTAATAACTCTTTGATCTGTTTATATAGTATATCAAAAGCGTTGCGTTTAACTTCACAAATCTGGTGATTGAGACTTCAATTTCAACTGTAAACGGATACTATTATTACAGAAAATTATATTTGAAAATTTTATCTTCCAGACTTGCTACTAGAGGATACAAGCATGTTGTCCTAATGTAGTCACGTGAAATTTTGACTAATGCTTGAAAGGTATAAAGGTAGTATTATATATCGTCCAATTATCAAGTAATATTAGATACAGTAATGAAGATGCAATTAATTATCATCACCAACTCGTTCAAATTTTAAACTTTTAAGAGTTATCTAAATGACCTATTATCATCAATTAGCCGTTCTTTTATAAATTCTAGAAGTCGTTACAACCGATATCGAAAAAATAATAAAATACACATATTCCAAATATTCGAGTCATCATACATATTGTATGAGAATTTCGACCAATAGCAATCTGGCGCAACCGTGTATCAATTGGAGCCAGAGATAGTTTAATACAGAAAATGATTTATTTACAATTCAGTAGGATATACTATCAATAGCAATTGTTTTACTCTAAGGATATAACATTTCTTGCAAAAGATGTGCAGTGCAATTTTTATTTAGTGATTTTTAACATGACCATTATAGTTGGAAGTATGTGATTTTAGAATGTCACCTAAATATCATAAAATTCTACCAAAAATATACTCATTTCGTAATAGACCTAATTCGAGATTTATAATCATCAATTAAATTTAGATACTAAATTTTGCAAAGATACTTTATCAAGAAAGTCAAGCTCAAATATATTATCTTAATACTTTAACTTTTACTACCAAAGCACCAAATTGTCAATCTGCCTTCACGTTTTACCTTCCCGGAGTTTAGAATTTGATTATAAGTATCGCTGCTATCTATGCATACAGGGATTTCATCTTGCTTGGTCCTTTGAAGAGTTGTAAAGCAAAATAATTGCATTAACACATTCAAGATTGGTTCACAAGCTCTAATAATGATGCATATGCAAAGTGATTACCATAACGAAATAATTTGTCCCACCGGTGGCTCAAAAGACCCTCTGATTAGCTCTTTTAACTCATCTACTCTAATGCTTGTCTTTATTCTAAATGCACGCGTATATGTGCAATGTATCTTGACGATCACATAACTCTAATAAACGGAATTATCGGAATATAAATGCGTTAGAGAAATTTTATAAATCAGGTATTAATTTCATATACGATGAATATTCGCTTTCTTTTGTGTGAGAATACTATACTTTTAAGAATAGAGTAACATTAATAATAAATTATAAAGATTACGATAACATCCTCTATCCTCAACAGGTGTATTTTTTAATTCTCAGAGCATTGCATACCTTTTCACTAGCAGAAAGAGCTTTGGCATCTGCTGAGAAATTAACATTTTGATCGGGAATATTCTTAGTTATAATAGGTGGGATACGCGGTGTTGTTCTCTTAGGTGGAGGTACTTTGGGAGGAGGAGGTCGACTTGGGTTAACTTGTGACGACGACGACGAAGAAGCAACGATGGAAGCGGTAGCTCTACTAGCAGAGTTTGCTAAGCTTCGAACGGAAGATTCTATTTTGCTTGAAGATGTCGTATTTTTATTCGATTTAGGTGGACAAGAAGGTGGCGGGGGACGTTTTGGTGTTTTTTTATCCGGACCATTAACATCATCAGTACGCATGATACGAGGAGGTCGATTAGGGGGTGGAGGCCTAGCGGGAACTGGTGATTTCGTAGCAGGTGAAGGGACAGGTGATGCAGTGGGTGAATTCTTGGCACTTTTAGAGCCTTTCTTACTTGCCGGAGGCTTGTAAATAGGTGGAGGAGGTCTGCCGGGCAACTTTGCAGAAGGCGAAAATGAAGCTGACAAATTCTTACAATCTAAAGGATTCTAATTCACAATAAAATTTCTTCTCACTACAATTATATGACTGCCATTGACCGTTATCTATTAACTCGTAATGAACGGTAAATCCAATACCTGTGAATTTGGGCTAGATGGAGATTCTGGTAGATCATAAATTTTAACAGATGTAACTACCTATAAAATGTCACGCAGTAAAGCATTGAAATAATATTTAAATATATTGCAAGAAAGTTACAAATTGCTACTGACTTACTTTTGCCTTTCCTAGAAAATCCAGCCTTTTATCTAGTTGAGAAGTTTTATAGACAGGAGGCTTAAAGACTTGCATTTCAGTTGGATAACATAAAGATTTACTGGGCAATGAACCATTCTATTATGTTAAGCGCGATAGTAGTAAGATTAGTTTATTGCTAATAAAATGATACCATATGCGATCAAATCAAGAATTACCTGCAGTTTCTCTAAAGCGTCCTGGACAAACTTTAGTTGCTTAGCATTAACCGTATATTCTTTTGCACATTCTAACATTTCTTTTGCATCATCCTTCATATTAAGCATGCTTTCTACTACAGCAATATTATACAGTACCTGCAAAATAATCATTTAACGTTATGGATTAACAAGTAGTGAGTGATTAAGCCAAAAAAAATGAAGTCACCATCTATATAAGAAATTGAATTGCAAAACTACTGTATCATACGCGTAGCCGAGAAATGGATTATATGATGACTATCAGCTAGTATGTAGAGTTTTATTAGTTATTGCTACATGTAAGTACCACAAAGAGGAGTGTCATACCTGGTAGCACCATAACTTGTAAGGCATTCCTATTTGTTTATAATCGATAAATGAATTGCTTCGCAAGCATTGAACAACTTGGTTAAAGTTACGGAGGGATTCTTCTAAACTGTTGTGTAGGCATAATTGTAGTTTTGTTTATACATAGCAAGATCAATGAATAGTGTTAGCTTAACCGTTGGATTATTATATCACAATGATGTATTTTAATACTGTATCATTTCAGCAGAATTTTAATCCTGTTAAACTAGAACATATATGTAAGTCTTGTAAATATTGACATCCCGCATACGCGTAGATTGATAAGTTTCTATCAGATATGATACATACACACACGTTTGTATAACTAACCATTTGATTTATTAGCTAGCAGTTGCATTAGCAAGCCTATCATCAATGCATAATTAAAGTGAAAATTAATCCAGTCGTATTGTAACATACGTGTATATCGTTGCTACTACTGTATGAGTATATAAGTCTTGTAAATTGTAACAATCTGAATAAATGAACATGTTTTTCTCGAATGATATATTACTGATATGATTTGATTTAGTAGCTAGCATTTGTACTGTAGCAAGCTCTTTTCAGATGTACTACGTTATTTGCTCGTTCTTTGGACCTATACTTTCAGTGATGATATGAAATTAAAGCAATTTAAGAAAATCCAAACTACTGTAGTGTTTACATGCACCTGTTCTGAGTACAACATGTTAAAAGTACTTATGATTGTATGCAAGGTGATTTGACAATTACTCTAGAGATAACATAGGTGATAGGCGTACGATTTGGGAAAACAATGTTATACGCGTGTAGTACTAACTTGTCTTGTAAAGCGTGCAAGATTCCAAGTTGCAAATAGGCCACAGCAAAATATTGATCTCTTTCCACGCTATATGTGAGAACCTATAGCAGATGATAAAAGGTATTAATGTTGACAATTTTTGACAAAAATGCATGATTCACTGACATGCAGTAAGCGTATATGGCTATCTTATAATACACTGTAGTAAACTTTTATTTGGAATCATATCAATGAACTGCAAAAAACGAAAGTAATTTATCACTCAGAGTGTGATTATTCGTGGCTCATCGATTCAAGTAAAAGTGAACACTTGCACTCTACTGTATGATGCAGTCCATTCAATCAGTCGAAACTATCTTATCATCGTGAGCGGAAGTAAGACAAACTGTTGCATGACAGCCCAAGCAAAAACTGTTCACATTCCATCATGTTTTCTCTCCTACTTTGATCGCTTCAGAATAATTGCCAGTAGACCAAAACGCCATTGCAATATCATACCAAATCTTGGCTAATGGGGTAGTAATTTTATGGTAAAAGTCCAACGCTGCATCAACATTGCCTTGCTCGAATTGAATGATCGCCTCATGCCAATGTCTAATATCCAAAGCAGATGTCATGGTATCAATAATAATAGCTCACAATCAGCGAAGAATCATGGATCAACATGGTTGCTTATGTCGACATTTTAACAGCCTCTCTGTTGGCTTGATGGCGGCTACTTTAACTCCATCCAGGATTGTTTGCAAATCCAGTCTCAAGGGTTAAGCTTTCAAGTTTTGGCGATGACACCGGTACGGTACAGCGCAAGTCCAGTAGCAGATGACTACGGTTCATACTGGTGGCACAGCCATGGACAGCTAGACACCTGGACAGTTTCGTATGAACTATTGTACTGTAGAAAAGTGAATCCTGTCGTGCACAAAATACTGTATAAAGCTGCCGAAATTTTTGAATTTTGGGTTCATTTAGAATCTACTGCTCACTACTCAGTGTGTACACTACATTATATGCTTTTATGATTCTGTATGAGCATGATTGCTATTCATTCAATCTGATTACGCCAAGTGATTTCGTTCTACTGCAGGACTGTATACTGTGCTATACACTGTATACAGTATACTGTTCAGTACAGTACTGTATCTCTATATTGACAGTACTATACTTACAGTACAGGTGGCAGTCCGCAGTCCAGTCCAGTACAGTACGCACTGTACTGGACAGACAGACATAGGAGACTGGGAGAAGGTCAAGCAACCATGAATGATCACATGATCGTCCTGGCTCAAAACGTACTGTACACTGTACTGTAGGGTACAGTAGTAAGTACCAATTGATTTCGTTCTACAGTACAGTACAGTACAGTACAGTACTGTACAGTACAAGTGGTAGTCCACAGTCCAGCACTGTCCAGTACGCACTGTACTGGACAGACAGATATAGGAGACAGGGATACGTATACTGTACAGTACAGTACAGTGCTGTATCTTGACAGTACTTTACAGTACAGTACTATACTGTACTGTACTTACAGTACTGTACAAGTGGTAGTCCACAGTCCAGTCCTGCACAGTACGCACTGTACAGTACTGGACAGGCAGATACAGGACACAGGGAGAACGTCAAGCAACCATGAATGATCACATGATCGTCCTGGCTCAAAACGTACTGTACACTGCAGAGTACAGTAGTAAGTATCGTAGTACTACAGTACAGTATACTGTACTCGACTGGACTGTAGACGCTGTGATTGGATTGCATGTTGTTGTTATTCGTGGTGAAACTCCCCAACTCCCCCCCCCCCATTGCCTTGATGTCAAGATGAATGGTGGAAGCCTTTAATGTTGCTGTCCAATCTAATTCAAGTACTCGTATTAGCCTTAGGGAAAGACCAACTATGGCCGACGAAAACTCAATCGATGACAGTTTGTGGTTAATCTCTTATGATTTGAGTGATTTAATTGAAAGATTTTACGCCTCTTTGGTAAGTACGAGTGTAGTAGGTGAATTGGCCCTATTTTGCCCATACAGTACTGTACGGCGTGTACGCGGACGCAATTTGCCATGAGATTGGTCAAAGTTTGCGACCGGATATTCCATAGTTAGTCAATGCTCCCGATAGTACAGTGTCCCGATTAGGCAGCAATATAGCCTTCCTTGAGAAAGAGAATGGTTCTTGCTTGAATGGAGATGTTGATTATCCTTGTATTATGGCCAATTTTACTCCACTACACTCATCTTTTTCTATCGAATAATAGCAAGCTGCCAAGATCTGACGTAATACGTTGTACTGTTGACCAGATCGTCGACATAATCGAGCAATGCATGCTGTTTAAAATTTCAATCTTGATGAGTTAAACGAGTCATGCTGTCTTGAACAAGTAGTTTACAGATACATTACATGAATAACGAATATTCCTGTCTATCTTGTTACTACAAGAACACAGACATACGCATGCTGTACATACCCACTACACCAACAGCAAGGTTGCTAAGAATGATCATGAATGGAATAGACTCCAGTGCTATTTTGACCTACTGTACAGTATATATATACAATTTGCCATAACTGCGAAATCAAATAGTCATCGTTGGACAGGAATCAGCCAGTTGAGAAATTTCCACCCATTGCAATATTACAGCAATGTGATAAACAGGTTGATGAAACTATCCATATATTACTAATACACTACTCTACTAGATGCAAGTACAGTCATCACATACTTTAAAGATTGTTACCTATCCCAATAAAACATTATTGTAAATGAATTGATGAATCGAACGTTTAACTTGAAACGAAACTTGCTTGTTGTAAATTGCTTTCCATCAATCTGTGTCATTTTTAGCTGTTGTATGGGCCTGTATCGAACTGATATCAGCGTAATGGAACTTGTTCCACTTACTGTGATTGATCAATTCTTTACATCCTTATAGTATACAGTATGTATACAGACAGACAATTGCTGTTTTATAATTGCCTTCTTACAAATGAACTACAAAGAACCCTTAAATTACTTCTAGCACCAGACCAAATCACGCAGACTAGAAATGGATTAATAAAACGGAAATCATTTTAATATCAGGCTTAAATCACTTCATGCCTTTGTACTGATTTCAACTTTTAAACGAATCATTTTCAGCCATTGGTTGTTGTTTACCTCGTAGTCCTATCATTGTACAAGTTATTCAACTATTGGCGCTCTGGAAAATTTCAAAATCTAGGTACAGTAGATCATTGTTACATTGTTATAAGATGGTTATACAAATAGTTTCATCTACTGTACTGATAGTAAACTATTAGTTTAGTGTGAAGAAAGTGAACGCAGTAAGTAAAATATTTTAAAAATGGATAAAGTAAGACCATAGTAAGGATGGAATATTATTCCAACTGACGTAGATCTCAGATTTTCTACAGTAGATATGTCCTTGGTTATAACTATCACTTCTTTGCGTGTTGCATAATTAGTAATATTATTTCAAAATTAATAAACATGACTAATGGTAATTACACATTCATTTCTTTAGGTTTTGAATATGAGCATGAAAGCATTCCGAAACCTCGCTTTCGGAAGCGAGATAAAGTTATGTTTTACGGGAGGAAAATGTTAAGAACGGTAAGATTAAAACTTCATTTGGAATCTAGTATGCTCGTTTAGTTGGCATTTTAATAGTATTCAGTTAAAACACTGTACTATACAATGTACATACAGTACAGCAATTATTATAATATGTAACTTTATACACTACAATATACTACGCTCTGAAAATTCTAACACGATACTATTTTAGTAACACGGAGATATAGTACTGTGAATGCAGTACTATATTGCAAGGCTAAGTACCCTTTCCTGTACTATATAACGAATAAAGTAACACCTATCGTTTGTGCTCAATGTTAACATTTAGCACGTTTGCAAATACTGAACTACTTAGTAATAGTCTACGAAGATAAATCAGTAGGCTAAATTAATTACGGCGTAATGTAAAACAAAGTTACCTGTCTAATGATACAGTATTGCTAAATCGCTTATGCTCAAGGTTGGCATCGAATACGTTATTGACTCCTGGACTATTTGGTGATAGCCTGTAGGAGATAATTTGGCACTATATGAATGATGCTATATAGTCATAGATTGAGAATTGTACACCACAACTAGCATATATTAATCATTCATTATTCGTTAGATATGATGTGCTATATAATGTAATATTGCGTTTATTATAATTTTAGCAATAATTAGAATTTCTGATTACATCTTACTTTATTTACACCAACAGCATTCAGCTTTTTCCTACAGTAGATCATGTTAATTAATCAAGTCATACAAATTAATTTTAAGAGATTTCAAATTCTTGTAACGTAAATATCGTATGCAGGTACAAATGTTAATAAGACTGTCCTTCTTTTTAATTAAAAAATGTTGATCATGTTCGATAGGTTAAACAGATTTCCTCCGCACGCAATTCCTTGAAGAAAAAGCACAAATCTAATAATGATAATTTAGCAAGGAAGTACGTCAATCATAATTACAAATTATGCCTTTATTCCGTATTGTATCTCTTGTAATATCCCCTTGCAATAGGCCGATATAAAAACTTTTAAGTTTCACCTCTAATGAACATTGTGACTGATAATTCTTACTTTTGTAGTATCTGACCAAATATCAGTTCACAAATTTCTTTACGTTGATACGAAACCACATAATTAAGAGATAGCGTACGAATTTTGATGCTTTTTACTATGCGTATAGTGTTTGCTTTCAGTAAAGCAGTACCTAAATCTATCAAATTCAATTTATGCCTACAAGATTACAATTTTTCGCAAACGTATATCGTGATAATGTAGCGTAAATTGAAGTCCCCAATATATTTACGCTTTACTGTATAAATTCATATAGCTTAGGCGAATACACTCAGGTATTATGTAATATACTATGCATTGCATCAATTAACAGATTATTGATGCTGTTTGACGATGAGGTTGAAAGATTGAAAAAAGAGCCGCCTCCATCTGTTGTTGAAGCTGACTGGGCTGAGGTAGATTAATCGTGAAATATGTATTTTATCAATCAGTATTGTTATTGCTGGTATTGATGCCTTCTATTGGTATATTTATTATGCTATGAGCCATATTGAAATCAATAACCTTATGAATTGAATTAGTGGATTTTTAGTTAGTAAATTACAATAGAGATATTAGATAATCTCGATGTCTATTTGAACTATGCTAGCCTGATCAGCACAGTGCACCTTTCCCGGCCGAGGTTCTATACATGTTAAGAAATGTTAGGTAATGTCTCGTTCATATTACAGTACTTGGTCAAGACAATGCCACTTTTTGCATACTTATAGTATAATAAAATCTTATACGTCATCATGAATAGAATTTACTAAGCTTTGCAAAGCTTTTAGGATATTGAACTATAACCTATTTTCGGTTAACAGAGTATTTGGACACTTTGAAGAACCATTATTTATCGAGCTTTGCAAACACATAGAAACGAAGCATGTGCCAGCCAATGCGAATCTATTTTATCCTGGAGATGTTAGTCATTTAATGCGTTAATTTAGCCTAATGCTAAATATTACATACATACATAAAGGTCCAGTAGGTGTCTAGCATATTGTCCTACTGTAGATTATGGCATAAATAGTATAGCATTACAATTTTTTCAATTTTATGCCCCTCTTATAACATCTTTCTCTATTTGTTCCGGTATAAATTTCCATGTTTAGCCTGACGATAGTATTTACGTAGTACAGAGCGGACACATTTCTGTCTATGTAACAGAAAAGGTTAGTACCTAAATAAATTAGATGATAAATTAATATAATAAAAAATTCATACATGCGAGAGATGAAGCGCAACATTAAACTCTAGTTCCGTGTGCATTCTTTGTTTCAGGATGGAACTCGATTACCGTTGAAAGAAGTTAAAAATGGCGATAGCATACAAAGTTTACTAAGTGTTTTAGACGTTATAACGGTAGGTCAAGAAAAGAAATTTGTAAATTTTATCAAATTCTAAAAAATTTTAACTTTAGTAACTCTTTATTTGTACTACAATTGCCTTTGTAATTATTGTTAGGGATATCCACATCCTTTTTATACCGTTACAGCTAAAGCTGTGGAAGACTCGATTATACTCAGGTAGATGAAAAGTAATACCATCAGCTTTTTTCTGCCCATCAAATATTTCTCATTTACTCATTGATATTATGAATATTGTAATCTCAATATACAGTACAATATAATTCAGTAACAATTAGTCTACCTATTAGTATATGGCACAATGTTTATTTATCTATTTGAATATGAATTATTGTGTAAGCTTTGTTATACTAAAGTATAGATTGAATTATTCAGGTTACCTTGTAGAGCATTTCAGGACTTATTCCGTGAATACCCTGAATTTATGATGCGAATCGTTCAAGTAAGAGTTTAATAGCCAACAGTAAGCTGACTTTCGATCGGTTTATTATAAAAAATTTAATAGGAATCGACCTTCTATCTATCTTTATAGGTCATAATGGTGAGAATACAACGTGTTACATTTTTAGCGCTGCATAATTACTTAGGTCTTGGAAATGAATTAATCACGCAGGTGAGACAATTTTCGAATTTCTTGTTTAGTCGATGGTCATTGATCATTGAAACTGGTAATCGCATATTTCAATGTAACTTAACATTGTATCAATTGTAAGGCTATTGACGAACGTCGGGTTGACAGTGAAACTTCTTTGACTGAATCAGAAATTCGAAATAACAATTATAGAGAGTCAGGTAATAATAATAAACACAATATTTCCTCAAGAAATGGAAGGCAGAACTCTTCTGATACTCCGAGATATGAAAGTCAGACTAATAAAAGTGAGATACCTGCTTCGAAAAATGAAACTTGGAATCCCGATCAAAATAACGTTACTGACGGAGAAAAATTAGCACGTAGTAATAGAGTTGGGTATCTGAAATTTAAAGCTCTAAGTTCAAGGCAACGACTAAAATCATCAGAAGGGTTTAAACTGGAACCCCTTCCGACTCGAGAGCCGATCGCTGACTGTGCTAGTGATGTTGAGCATGTTGATAGTGAAACACTTAGAAGAAGGCACGCACGTCGGACAAAATCAGTTGGTGATGACAATGTCAATGGCTCTGTTGACTCTATTATAGACGACATAATTGAAAGTTGTAAAACTGCATCTAAGAAACAAGATGCAAATATTAGTGGTAGAAAGAAAAATGAGGAACGTATCAACTTTGTTGTCAGTGAATGCCCAAATGATGATAGAGAGAGCGTCAATAGTTCATGCGATGACTTTGGTCGCCGAAGCTCTCGACAGCTCGAGTCATGTACACCAAGTAGCGGTAGAGATACCGATATGGAAGATGATGATACTTCACAATTTAGCCAAAGATCTCAAACAGAAATGTCGGAGGATGATGAATTACTTCGATCTGTCTCTGATGGTGTTAGCAATGTTCTTGGTTTACAGGTTACTTTCAAGGATTTTAATAATTAATATACCTTTCTTGATTAATTTATACATTTGATTTGATCGTTTGAAATATGCTATAGAGCCCCGCTCCACTGCAAGATCGCCTTGCCCTAGCTCAAATACCGGCGGGGACGATACTAACCAAAGAAGGAGATATTGTATGTTACATATTGTTTATAACTGTTATTATGATACACCTTCAGCATAGAACAGTTACTCTGAGTGATTTTATTAACTTGCAATCTTATTTTTAAATTAGAATTGTAGCTTGTATTATGTAGTAAGTGGTTCACTGCAAATTAGCCAAAGAGATGTCAACAAATCTTATGAGGTGCAATGATTAAAGCAATTAAATTCATATTTCCTTTCTATGAGACTTTGAATTGCGTTCTAATTTATATCATGTACGTATGTTGGACTCGCTGCAATTAGTGTACCTTATTCCACGCGGTTCCTGGGGAACTAGTTGGAAGCCTGGAGATGTTGACCGGTGAACCATCTCTGTTTAGCATCCGCGCGCCACATGAGTGCAAAGTTATAATAATAACAAAGTCTAATTTTTTCAGGTCAATTTCTTAAAAATTAGATTTTTGTTAATGATACATATTTGAAAACAACAGTCTGCTTTGATCTTTCAGTCTGATGAAAGAAACTCCGTCGGTGGTATTGAATGTAGCACACTCTTTGGTAAGGAGGATGTCTCCATTTTCTCGTCAGGCAGACTTTGGAATTGATTGGATGTTTGTTGAAGCAGGACGTGCTCTATATAGGTCAAAAATTTATCCTATATCTTGGAAGCTCAAACTATCCTATATGTGACGGTAGAAATATTGTTGACAATTTTTTAATATGAATGACGTGATTTAACAGACCAGGAGAACCTTCTGAAAATATCTACATTGTTGTAAGCGGACGGTTGCGTGAAGTTCTTACTGGAAAAGATGGTAAAAAGGAAATAATAGGCGAACACGGTCGTGGCGAACTTGTTGGTGTGGTAAGCAATACTAATTATCCCTTAACTCTTAATAGCCTCTACCTCTAATTGTATTTTTTGCATTATTTATTTAATCTGGTAGGTAGAGGTTATGACCAAAAGTCAAAGAGCTACTACAGTTTTGGCTGTCAGGTGATTATCAAAGTAAGTGGATTTGTAATCTTAGAAAGTGACTGATTTTGATGTTCATTTTTATAGAGACACGGAAGTAGCCAAAATTCCATCTGGGCTACTTGAAACTATTAAGGTGAAATTTCCTCAAGTTGTCACACGCTTAATACATTTGCTAGGAGAACGTTTGATTGGTAGTTATCAACAGCGTACCAATTTAGCAAGTGGGTTATCATCGACTCTATAGTTCGAAATAATTCTGCACGAATTTATTTAATAAACTGAGTATCTTTACTTTCAGCTAAACCAATAGGTGAAAATCACGCAGTCACTAGCAATCTATCAGCAGTTGCTATAATACCAACCGATACCACCGTTCCGCTTACAAATTTTACATTGGAGCTAGCGAGCGCCTTAAATACAATATGTAAATATTTTTGATTACTTTGATTTTGCATTCAATTTGAGATTCGTTTGATAGATAGCGTTTAACAATAAGGATTTCTTTGGTATGCTGTTCATAGGTCCAACGTTATACCTTACTAGTTCTTTAATTAAACGAAAGTTAGGATCATCAATTCTCGATCGGTATGCCTTAAATTCATTTTTATATAATCCTATAATGCCATCTTCACAATTTAGTTCTATACCTATATACGGTGTATAGTTCTATAAATCTACAATATAACATGCTAATATTATGACTATGTAATAGTTTTTACAGCTAATCGCAATTTTAATTTTGTAATCCGCTTTTGTAGGGCTAATGAATACAGGCTGACAAATTGGTTGGCACAACAAGAAGATGCTCACCGCATAGTATTGTATCAAGCTGATAGTTCCTTGACCAATTGGACGAGACGTTGTGTAAGACAGGTTAGTTAGAATTAAAATTGCCACAAGTACCTCCTGAGTGGATATAAATTACATGTAATAACATTATGTGATACAACGATATCATAGGCAGATACTATTCTAATCGTTGGGGTTGCTATGAAAGATCCCGCACCTGGGAAGGTATGTTGTAGAACTAAACATTGCTTTTTGTAAATTCCAGTAAAAAACGTTTTAAAGGCAGCATTATTTTGATATTTTTTTGTACACAGATTGAGAAGCAGCTGGAATCTCTTTCTATGAGAGCACAAAAGGAACTTATATTATTACATAATTCAAGGCAATTACAACGGCCACGCAACACCGTGGAATGGATCAATGAACGTGGATGGTGTTCCGCTCACTATCATGTAAGACTCTTTATCTGTTAGCTCCTTATAGGTTACTAATTGTGATACCTTTTTTGACCTTATATAAATTCAGATTCGTTGTCCACCAAGAATTTTCGGGAAGTTAATGACATCTGATTTGGTGTGTACATTATTCTATGCAATTTTATACTTCAATTTTTTAATAAATGAGCCTAATTATCGTATATCCACTTCTTTAATCCTACAAAATACTAACGCTCTCTTACTACACATATTAGAACAACAGATCTAGTTTTCAAACTCCAGTTCCTGATGTGTAGGGATACCAAATATTACATATTTCATATCTTAGCTAGTTCTACTAGGGACCGCTAAAATCTTTCATTTTAGTGGTCCCTGGTTTTAAGAACACTGACATCAAAGTGCAATTTTTGAAATTTTGTAATTTCTATGTAATAGAAATTCCGATTTTGCTCGTTTGGCTCGTCATCTCAGTGGAACAGCAATCGGACTTGTGCTCTCAGGAGGTGGTGCAAGGTAATTCAATCACCACTTTCGGTTAATAAAATTAGCAATAGTATACGGTTGTACGATTAAAGCAACTTTCTAATCATTTTTATTTATTTATATAAAGGGGACTTGCTCATTTAGGTCTTATTAAAGCAATGCGAGAATTTGGTAATTAACTGTAGCTTATTTCTTACATTTGCATTCCTTCTTATTCTTACTTAAAAATAATTTTTTTCTTCGCTATACACGTAAGCACAAATAACGATGATTGTATTTACATATAGGAATCCCCATTGACATGGTTGGCGGAACCAGTATTGGAGCTTTAATGGGTGCATTGTATTGCATTGATTCCGACCTAGACGACTACACAGCGAAAGCTAAACAATTTTCAGAAGTAATGTCTCCTTTATTCTATTTATCATAAATTCTTAACTAATAAATCATATTTTATCTCTAGGAAATGTCATCGATTATACCGAAAGTCCTTGATCTAACTTATCCGGTAACCGCCACTTTTACAGGTAAGCTAAAGGCTTCAGAAATACTATTAGAAATCGATGGTATAATAACTGGAAAGTTGTAGCACAGCAAAAATAAAAATTAGCTTTTCGTTCATAATTGAAATAATATTATGCATCTAACAGGTAAAGCTTTCAATAGCGGTATTCAACGAGTCATCGGCGATGTCCAGATAGAGGTCAGAATACAGTTTTGATCATGGAAGATGATAGCATTTGTTTACTAACTTTATTGTATGTAGGACTTATGGATTCCTTACTTCACTGTAACTACCGATGTCACTGATTCTAAAATGCGGATTCATACTCAAGGTTTGACCGGAATGTGATGTTTTCTTTTCTTTACATTATCTAATGTTATGGATGTAAATAACATCAATATGATTGTAAGGTTCCTTATGGCGTTACGTCCGTTCAAGTATGTCACTCTCTGGGTACTTACCTCCACTGTGTGATCCTACTGACGGTCACCTGCTGCTAGATGGAGGATATATCAACAATTTGCCAGGTATGAGTAAAACTTAATCTTTTATTTACTGTTAATTTATATTTGAAATTGCTAATCGTAATAGTGATTATACACCTATTATTCATCATCATTAAAATCCCCTTTATTGAGGCACACTCGCTAAAAAGATTTTCGAGCTGTGTAAAGGCTAGGGGTATATTTCTTGCTGGCAGTGTTCTATATGCAGTGTATATGTATATAGCAACATTATAGTTCTACAATATTACTCATTTGCTGTACTACAAATGATTTATGTCTACTTGAATTATAGCGGATATCATGAAGTCCATGGGCGCACAAACAATCATTGCTGTGGATGTTGGGGCTAATTCTGGACCAACGGACCTTGATAACTATGGAGATTATCTTTCGGGGTGGTGGCTTTTGTGGAAAAAAATTAATCCCTTTTCTGAACCACCAAAAGTATAAACATTTGCGATTCGTTTAGAATGTTCATTTAGTGATTACTACTGTTAAAACGAAATATTGCATTTACATCATTTATCAGATACTAAATTTAGCCGAAATACAATCACGCCTAGCCTATGTATCATGCGAACGACAACTGGAAGAAATTCGAAACTGTTCTGCTTACCGATATTTAAAACCTCCAGTACAAAGGTAGGTGCATAAAATAATTCGATAGAAAATGTTTATCATGGTCTGAAATAGTTCATCTTATCGATTATTTAGATTTATAATTTCTACTCTGTTTATTTTACCAGATTTAAAACTCTACAGTTCAACAAATTTGATGAAATTGCGGTAATGAATAAAAATTAATTGAAACGATTGAAACTATATTGTATGTTCTTTCTATTTTAATGATGTATCATTTAATAATGAACTCTTTGAAATAGTACAGACATGTAAATATATTTATGTCATCGTATTGTTATCATTTATACTTTACTCATCAGGAGGTAGGTTATGAATACGCGACAACAGTTTTTACTGGTTGGCAAGAAGGCAATCTGATGCCTAAAAGCATGCGATCTAAATATGATGATACTGATGGAACTACTACCCAGGTTGGGGAGGTAGGCTGTCAATATAACCGTCGTTATGGGCATGATTTGACTTTGATAAGTTGATTTTTGTACTACACGACAAGAAATATTACACATGACCTTTACTCTATTCGTAATAATATTGAACATTAGGAATCGTTTGGACGAACTGTTGATAGTCATAACTTTACGGATCTAGCTGAAATCGTTTCTCGCATACCACGGGTGGTACAAAATGAAGACGAAAAAGTAATAGATCATTACAAATTAAAAATAATATCGAAAGATCCAAGCCTGCCGAAAAATTTAAATAAGCTAAGCCTGAGAATGGTAATGGACTTTATTATTACTTCAACTGCATAGAATTACTTATTTAATTAGTAAAGAAATTTTATGATATTGTTCTACGTCAACTGGCTTGTTCCGATCTGTTATGAGCAGTTAGTACGTAGTAGTACGAGCATTTGTAGTACTATATTACTCGACGTTATTAAATCACATCAATTTAAAAAGAATCTCAGATAAAATTAGTGACTGTAAACCAGCTTTATTTCATTATAATATGGCGAATCAATTGACTTGTCATGTCTATTCTGAACAGTTAGTAACGAGTGGTTTATTTAATATCGAGTAATAGTATTACTTATGTCATACTCTCTTTAGCAAGACTAAATTACTTACTAATTTGCTACTAATTTAGTCAGGATCTATTCTGAACAGTTAGTACCGAGTGATTTATTCAACGTAGAGTAGTTGCATTGCATACATCAAACCCTTTAGCAAGACTAAATTATTTACTGATTTGTTCTGATTTAAATCATAATCTATTCTGAATAGCTAGTAATGAGTGATTTTTTTAATTTAGAGTAGGAGTATTGCATATATCAAACCCTTTAGCAAGACTAATTACTGACTAATTTGCTACTACTTTAATCATGATTTAATCTGAACAGTTAGTAACGAGTGATTTATTCAAAGTAGAATAGTAGTATTACATGTATCAAACCACTCATCGAGACTAAATGACTTACTGATTTACTACTAATTTAAATCATGATATATTCTGAATAGTTAGTAATTTATTCAATGTAGAGTAACAGTATTGCATACGTATGTCCTACCCTTTGGCAAGATTAAATTATTTACTGATTTGCTATTAATATGAATCATGATCTATTCTGAACAGTTAACGATTTATTCAATTTAGAGCAGTAGTGTTGCATACATATGTCTTACCCTTTAGCAAGACTAAATTAATTCGTTATTTGCTGATTTGCTTCTAATTTAACTGTGATGTGCACATATCAATATAGAAAACGAAAACGAAAACAAAGAAGAAAAAGCTTCATAGGAGATAAATTTTCTTAAATGACTAAAAATAAATGTTTTACACGCAAATATTTTATGTTGATTAAATTATCGGGAATGTCCTAATTGAATGTTTTAGCCAATTGATTGAAAATTAAAGTAGCATTTCCAAATTTATTATTTGAATATTCATACGGAAATTACGACTATATACCTTTATGCAATATTGTACATTGTTTATTTAGTAAAATGATGGATATGGCATGCTTTGGCTGTAGCAATCAAGCTTTAATACTTACTTACGTGTTTGAGGTGGACTAATCTATTTCATGACGGATGATATCTGTTATGACTATCCGGCTTAAAATTGTTAATGTAATGTTACTTTTATTTTGCGCTAGCCCATTGATTCCAGCCCTATAGAGATGGATTTGTACTAATTCACTATATTCAATAACAGACCGAACTATCAGATTGTATGTCACTAATCAAATTGAAACTAACTTTTCTACACCACTTTTCTCTCTGTATTAATGCATGTCAATGCTTTGAAAGAATTTATTTTCTCGCTAGATCTCTATCGTGTCAATATAAATAAAATAAATAAGCTACCCCTACCGATTCAGTGTCATGCTATTCTGGCTGTAGTGTAGATGTTTTTATTTGCAGTTTATCCATTCGTCCTTGCAGATAGAACATCTAGTCGCAAGGTAGCATTGCGATCCACTGTGCAGATTCAATCGAAAGTCATTGTGCAATCCAATAATTTAATTACTTTGATTGTACAAATGAACTTTCTACAACAGCCAAGGAACCGCTAAGTTTATCGTATCGTATTAGGGTTAGGGTTAGATAACTTCAGAGACGATAAAAGTAATGATATAATAATGAGCTCATTGCATTTTCCACTTCAATGCACTGCACCTATGTATATTATACAATATGTACTATGAGGTGTTTGCAGTAAATGATATTGTTGTAATGCGGAATGGATTAGAAGAGATTTTGATTTACAAAGTGATCCACCATATTAGCAGTACTCAGCACTAATACTATGCAACTAAAGCAAGTCTAGTGATCATACAAACGTTTTGGTCATGGTTATCGGATGGATTGTTCAAGAGATGATTTGCAAGCCAGTTGTTGAGCTTTAAGAGAGTTTTTAATTTTAATTTTATAGCATTGAAGATACAAACAACACCAATGACATTGTCTAGAAGTCTGTTTCTAAGAAAAGGCAGCTTTTAAGTGGTCAATCCTCTTAAGATTTATTCTTATTAAACAGCAAATAGTACAATTGATGATTAAGTACAAGAAGACGGCAATCCTAGCATAGAGTCAAGGCTATGATCATGTACCGTAAAAGTGCTCCATCATTTTTACTTCAAGTATTGGGTATTCAAGGTGGTTGAGCATAAATCAAGCAAAGGCTATGTTAATAGAATGGAATAGCAACAGAAAGGCTAAGACAGCTTATTCATATACTTCAATTAACATCCGATTGCAGTGTTCCATTAGTGTATTAATCTATCTTTGCCGAAAAGTAGCATTGCGAATAAACTAGCTTAAGATGTAGTTTGGTTACTAGACTATTTGGAAGGGGTTGGATAAATACCAAGTGGTTCGGTGAAGAGAGTCATCAAGGCTATTCGAATGACACTTTATCCATGCCAGGAAAGGCTATTGCTATTTATCCCTTGTCAGCATTGGCACAGGAATGATTGACTCCATATTAATACTGTAAAAGAAACTCTAAGTTATATTTCTTGAGATGAGGTTCAGCAAAATGACGACCATATTGAAATAGATCAAATCCTTGATGCCTCTTGACAGCCAAAGCAACCATGCCAATAATGGAGAATAATAACATTAATTGTAAAGCTTTGACTGTGCTCATAAAACCTGGAATACGGTCTTCAACAGCTTTAATATAGCCATTGAAATAAGAACGACGACCATTGATATAGTAGATGCCAAGCAAGCCGCCCATGATAGGATGGAAAAAGAGCGAGCAAGTCCACAACACCACCAAAAAGATGCTAAAAAATTCCAAACTGTTTTGTTGCGCACGAGCATATCGTTCAAATTCTCCATTACCTGTCATCTTAGGATAGTCGACCTTGAGTCGACGGCGTGCTCCACCAACACGGCCAGCAAAGGTGGTTAGTTGGTAAGCTCCAATCATGGAGACTGCGGAAGGAATGAGGATTGATTCCAAGGTGATGGCGGACATGATGGATTTCTTGCTGCTTGGGCTGGGCGTTAATGTTGTTGTGTTGATGTCCACAACGTACTACGCTAGGGTGACGTTAGTCGAACGTTTCCTATGCGACCGACGCCAGTGACGTTGAGTGCACAGATCTCGGGTACCGGTACGGTACCCAAACGGTATGCGCAGTAGGACAGCTCGTCGACTTCCACTCGTACAGTATGACGTTTGCAAACGGTGACGCCGTACAGCCATCCCGGACGGACCGATTTCTTGCTGAGTCAGTATAGTATCAATGGTATGCAACGTCACAAGCGATTTTGAGCGTGTTACGAGGGATGGATGGATGACCGGACTCTCAATGTCGACCAAAGCCCTATGCAGGATTACCACTGTCATGGAGACTGGAGCTCGCATAGGGTTAGATAGTGGACAACTTTCCATCAATAAAAAGAAAGCCACCATCATGATACCTTGATCGATGGATAATATACTCTCTCTCTCTGTGGTCAATCATGGAGTATGATGTAGAGTACAGTAGAAGAAATCCAGTAATAACGTGTCAAGAATATTCTTTTGCTCAGTGCACAACGATTGATTGTACTGTACTGTATACAGTAAGGGCCAGTTTCTGCCAGTCATCGACTACAAGCTCCAGCACCGCACTGCTATATGCAAGGGAAAATTCGTTTGGCTCACGCTTGTGCAGTGAGTGATACTGTACTTTCAACCACTATATCATTGAAACAAAAAAAATTGGACTAATTTGCCCTAGGGGAAGGAAATAGAGATTCATTTTTGCCCATTTGATCGATGATATTATCAATTCAACAACAACATTGAGCGAGGACCAACACAAGTCTAGTATAGAGTATGAATTTTCCTCTATCATCACTGTCATGATACGCAAAGCATTATCTGTGACTGGTATTCATCTAGTATTATAGCTCAAAATTACTGTACTGTAGTCCGTCGGTGGAGATAGTTCGATGGTCGATTTTCGACAGCTTTTTAGTGCTGCCATAGACCTCAAAGAAGGCATTTTTTAACGTCTATAATACTCTACTGTCTTAGAAGTTCCTGATATGGCTAAGGTTATGGTTAAGATTTCATTTGATGCAGTAAATAAAGTCACTTCGGTAGTGCTGCTATGGCCTGCTAAAGTAAACTCTGATTAAGGCAAGGCAAGGCGCAAGTGGTGTTCTCCTTGGTGACAGAATGTCCGTCCATCTGAGTGATGAAACGATGGCCTGTTCCGTTGATCCTTCCGAGTTCCGGCTGTAGCTTGCAAGATCGTGATCAACAGGCAGCAATATCGCGCCTAGGCATTAAACTGGAGACAAGTTGTCAAGTGGAACTTTGGTGGCTATCATGGCATGGATATTAAGAATTAAAGCAAGGTAAAGCCATCATATTCTCTCTATACTATCAATCTACCATCGAGGAGGGAAAAAGGAACACAAGATAAAATTATTTTAAAATTGAATTCCTTTTTTGACAATGTATGGTAGTCATATTAATTGAATTGGTAGATAGTTTACAGTGTCATGTTGATCCCCCCAAAATGGATCCGATTTCAGCTGTTGTGCATTCTAATTAATTCAAATCGGCCGAGTTCAACCAAGTCTAGACATGGATAGATTCGTAGTCGATATGGCTTAGCTCATGATAGACTGTAGGCATAGTATCTACTAGAATAAGCACTACAAGAAGACTTAAAAATGACTCTTCTATGATGGCATTACTTACACTAGACATGGTAAAGATACAAGTAAAATAATCCATCGATTCATCAAACGATCAAATGCCCTAATATGAATGTTAGTTGGATTCTTGAATCAAGTAGACTTTGGGAGAAATTGCTACATCAAGTAGGAGATAATACTAATGGAATGAGATCATGCTTTATACACCTTTATTATGAACTTTTCCTCCTTAAATTAGAACAGTTGCAGTCTATCGTTGTTAGTCCAATTTGTCATCAAGTATTAGAAGTTTTTTGGCAGTTGATCATCCACATCTGGTTAAAATGATTGCATAACATCATGGCTCATCAATGCAATTTTCAAGTAGAATTACAGTTGGACTAACCTACTCTTGCACTAGGCATTACACGTTTATTTTAATATCACTAATAGATACTTTTGGTCACTATTTTTCATGGCATGTTGTGACAATTTGAGAAACAAAGGATTCATTTTATACTATTGACTATCGACTAGGACAATATTAACTAGATAACGGTATGACAACCATATACGTAGTTAGAAATATACATAAAACACTTCTCATGATCAGCACATCAAAACTTTCATACTGTATTTAAAATATAAACAGAGAACCGATTGCAAAGCCTAAATTGAACAAGTCCATTTCCCCTTAATATTAACATTCTTATTCTTTATCTTGATGATGCAAAATCACAAACTACACTGCAAGAATTATAGTACTTGTTATTCACTTTATAACACTACATCAAGGCTTGATTGATCCACAAGCCGAATAAATTGAGAATTATTTACTACGCCTACATGGAGTATTGATATTTCCCTAGTAGGCATGATCCAATCTTGATGCAATACCATTTTAACACCTGTATATGCTCTTCATTATCTTAATGATACAAACGATACTTTCATAATTACTTGTTACTAACCGATTCCAATTTGTATTTTGAATCATGTATTAGATTTGAATAATCGTCTAAAATACCATACAGCGATGCACTGTAAATAGAAATGTCTAACAGAGACACCTCAATCAGTAAAAGCCAAGCTAAAAGTATTAATAAAATCAAATCCGAAAGCACAGGTATGTAATACGCTCATACATGCACTTTACCCAATTGATCGACTATAAAAATACTGCATTTCATAACAAACAAATCATTTTCTATTGATAAGCCTTAGCGTAAAATAAGAAAATCTTTAAAAATGTATAATCAGAATGATCTATGTTGTTAGTATTGTCCTCGATACTTGCTATAGCATTCTTTACATTAATGTAGCTCTTTGATCACATTTCTAACTTATACTTTCTTATATTATAGATAATGAAAGGCAACCTTGTTTAGATCGTGTATATGATAGTATCCCAAGTCTACGCAATCTATTTAAAATTATAAGAAAAGTTGGCGAAGGTCAGTTAGAAATTATCAAAAATTCGTACATTTGCAAAATGATAAACTATCATTACTTTCTCATGATATACACTTGTTCTTAATTATCTCCAATTTAAGTATGCTTTTATCCTGATGATACTTAGGTACATTTAGTAAAGTGTATCTGGCAGAATTACTCGAAGTGCCCAATAATTTTTTCGCCTTGAAACATTTGGTGCCTACGTCTTCACCTAAAAGGGTAGAAAACGAATTACGTTGTCTCCATGAACTTCGGTAAAATATCGTGTATCTTCATTTTCCTATATTAGGATGCTTTATCCCTTCAGCTAACTTTAAGTAAATGGCATTGTCAACCTTATTAAGCTATTATCTGAACTATATTACAGAGGGCAAAATAATATCATTGATGTTAAAGCCTGTATTCGTCATGAAGACAATATTGCTCTAGTAATGCCGTACATTCCACATGAAAAATTTCAGGTATAAATCCCATTGGAGTTAGTTTGATATAAATCTGGCAATACTATAGTAGTATTTTTCACTCTTATGAAGGTATTATTGATTAGGTATATTTGCTTTTCACTGTTTTTTCATAGGACTACGTATATAAAATGTCTGCTACAGATACTAGAAATTATATGAGAAACTTATTTATTGCATTAAAACATGTCCATTCCCATTCAATAATTCATCGAGATATTAAACCAAGCAACTTTTTATTATCAAGCGATACGGGAAAGTAAGAATTTATTCAATATAAAGCACTCTTGCAGTGATTTTAGTATTCGTTAAAATCATTGTTAAAGTATCTAAGCAATGATACTGATTAAATGCAAGTCAATATCAATTGCTACTATAGCTCATTCAGTGATAAATATTGTTATAACATATTGGATTACTTGCAGATATTTCTTGTTGGACTTTGGGCTTGCTCAAAATGCACCCCAAATGCCAACGGATGTAGTACATAATGGTATGCTAATTTATTATTATTACCATATAAATATAATTTTACTTGTTCTGCAAAGCATCTGAATCGGTCTCTATAATATTTGAATAGAAAATAAGTGCCCACAAAAAGCAACAGATTGTACATCTTTACACGGTGCTGATCAAATATGTAACCTATGTATAGCAAAGTAAGATACCCCTCAGTTTTCTTTTATTGATTGCTCAACAATCCCGTAGCCAATGCAGTTTTGTTAACACGCTATATTTTAGGAGAGAGCAAAAAGCCCCTCGTGAAGGTACACCAGGCTTTCGTCCGCCGGAAGTATTGCTGAGATATCCCCATCAAACAACAGGTATCACTGACTTTTTGTATCCTTTGGCATGTGATTTTAATCAGTATTTCACCTACTGTTACACTTACAAACACAGCCATTGACATTTGGTCTGCTGGAGTTGTGTTGTTGAGTATTTTAAGTGCTCACTACCCATTCTTTAAAGCCGAGGATGACATGACTGCCTTAGCACAGATTATGAGCATCACTGGAAGCAAAGAAATGGCTGCTACGGCTAAAAGTCTTGGTAATTTCATGTCACTACTATTACTTATAATTATATGCATTAAATCAAACATAATTTGCTCTTTATCTGAAAATCGATAGGCAAAAGGATATCTAATAATCCAGAAATCCCACCTTTAGACCTCAAGACTGTGTGTACTAAACTTCGTCGTAATCGTAGCAATGTATTGACTTCAAGTAGTACCAGCAATGTCAATTCTGATGAATTTAGTACTTATAACCCTACGACAACTAACGAAATCATGTTTCCGGATTCAGCTTATGATCTAGCAAAACGTTGTATAGATTTAGATCCTGCTTCTCGAATTACTGCTGCTGAAGCATTAAAACATCCATTCTTGAGCACAGATAGTCATTCTGAATGAACGCTAAGACGATGTAACTATATCAGATAGCTTTGTTCACTATTTAAGTTAAATTCAATATCGAAAGTAATTGTATTATATTGTAAATATTGAGAAATATGTTATTTCTCTTACCATGCTAAAGACAAAACACTACTGATGCGCCGTGTTATTGCTTTTGTGTACTCTACGTGTAAATATCCGCCTATATACTCATATAAGCTCATGGATATTGAATGTTTCTAGTTCTATGCATTTGGACCAATCAGAATAATCACATGTCTCATTAGCTTAAAAACCTAAGTAGGTGGTATTATATTATCTACGCCGCAGACTTTTCAAAATTATCTTTCCATTCATATTGAAACAATTTCTAGAATCAACTTGTAAAATTTGTCGTGATTACATTCATAATATGTATAAATATATATATATATACAGTGTATCATACGTACTTAAGGTACTTATCATTATTATACGTGTAAACATTCTATTTTGCTGTACAATATTAATTGATGTAATTGATTTGAACTTTCAAGTTTAATGTAATTTTTTTATAGCTCTTTTAATTATTAAACTGCTACAATCGATGAATACTTTAATGTGTTATACGAATATCATTATTTCTGAAGGAAAGTTGACGTACAGCATTTCCGACTCCGCGTTGTTTATTGACGTGATAAAAATAAATTAAAAGCAGAAACGCGAGCGTTATCATGTAAAAATTTCAACGTTTTTTAGCATAGGCATTCCACTTAAAGCGTATGTATATTAATTAAAAATATCGTTTCTTGAGGCCTTGCAATTTTAACATTAGTTGATTTTAGAGACCCATAATATTATACTGTTTAAAGTATTACAGAAAGTAGTTTTAATGCAGTGGACTTATATAGCATCATTTATTGTGCTAGTTTTGTTATTAAAGTTTATTAAAAATTCTATCTGCTCTCCAGGGATGTTTTAGGCTCAAGACCCAGTTTTGATAACTTTATTACTGTGGTATCCCTTCTAATTTTAAAATTTTATTAACTGACGAGTTACTTTACTACGGATACTGTATCAGAAATACCATATCCTACATTACAAAGATATATAGATGAAAATATCTAAGAATGATTGAACTGAATAATTCCTCCCCGATTTAAGAATTTAATTTAAGGAATACAGAAGACCAAGTGCATTTGTTATAGTACTAATTCCACTGTTATCTCTCAGTAATGCAGGAATCTTGACAGTATCAAACAATTAAAGATTGATAGTATTTCTAGTAATCTATGACAACATATGCAAAGTATCCGAATACAGCATACGCTCAAGATTTTTCACGTTACTGTCATGGTCAGTTTTTCGCTTTTTGATGACACGAAATACGCTACTGTAAATTTACTTTTATTTACCTACTTTTCTTAAAATTAGTAAAATAAAATATTGCAATTGTCTTATTGAAGATAAATAATCTGGTAGGTAATAAAATAATTTTGATTAAACTTAAGCTAATTCGTAGATGCGATGTTTCATAAAAAGATAACCCTAAATTAGGCAAGAGTGCATAAACAAGAAGGGATCGCGCTAACAAATTACTGAATACGACTAGCACATATGAACGCATCTAACTTATTATACTCGTACTTAATTATTAGCCTTAAGACAACCGCTTTGCTGACTGTTTACCTTATTCTTCCTAGACTAAATTCATCTTTGGAATCGCCACAGCTGGCGATTTACGCGTAAGTAACCGGACTCTTCTAACACATCTAATTGTATTGTATTTATTTCTTACGCTGCTCGTTTACAACTTTTAGATCCATAGATTTATATCGCTACCTGTCAATGTCTATGTTTGAAGACAATATTACTCAGCTACAATCGAGTCCAAGGTGCCTACTTTACGTACAGCAGTTGTAATACCAGCCATATATATAGTATATGAAATCATTTAATCTGTATAAGATATCTACTAGTATGTTGTAAATGCTAACCACCCAGACATTGCTAAATACAGTCAAACCCTAATTCTACTGTTAAAATACGATATGTTACTCGACTATACTGTAGTAATTCTAATCGCCAATTCTATTGTAAATTACTGTTAGAATGAAGTGATTTGTTCCCTCCTCAACTTATTATAAAAAACACTTACTGAATTATGAAATATAACAGTGGCAGTTCAGAACAATATGAAAATTAAAAGATTTAAAATCCACTTTGGATTAGAAGGTTTCTATTACTCTACGTTAAAAATTAATCACTTTCTAAGTTAGCAACATTAGTAGTAGTAGTATTATATTGGTACTCTGTGGTGTGATTGAATATTGCAAATTACTTTTAGCATCAACTTTGTGTTTCCTTTTTAATCTTAACATAAAAATCACATGCTGAATTATGGGGTATATCAGCAGCAATTATGAAGGAGAATACGAGATTTAAATCTATTTTAGGTTATAAGATTTGTATTAACTTCGTATAAGAACCAATCACTTTCCATGTTAACAACATTAGTAGTAGTATATCGGCATTTTACTGCGTAATTAAATATTGTAAATTACTTTTAGTATGAAGTTGTTCATTCTTTCTTAACTTACGATAAAACACTTACTGAATCACAAAGCATATCAGCGACAGTTATGAAGTAAAGTATGAAAACGGAAAGATATAAAATCTACTTTAGACTTGAGGGTTTTTATTTACTTCCTATTACAATTAACTACTTCCTTGATTAGCAATATTAGTAGTAATATTGTATTGACATTCTCCTGTGTGATTGAATATTATAAATTACTTTTAGCATGAGTCATTCATTTCCTTCTTAATTTATTATAAGAAACACTTCCTGACTTATAGAGTACATCAGCAGTAGTTATGAAGTAGAATATAAAAAATGGAAAGTAAAATTTAAAACCTACTTTGAACTAGAAGATTTCTTTTATTTAGACACTTGGTAGTTGTTTTAGTCAGGTCTTAAAATTTAAGTATTGGTTGATCTTTAAGACCTACAACATTATTTAAAAGTGCTACAAAAAGATAACTATAATCAGTGTCCTTATGCATCATCCATCATTCATTGTACTTGCTTCCACTGGAAAGAAGCTGTCAGATATATCTTTGATAACTCTTTTTCTACAGTATTCGTCGATAAGTTTGAAATTTCATCTGATGACTCAGGATACTTTCGAACGAGTTCACCTAGATGATGGCGGAATGTCTTAAAATCTTAAACTTTCTCGTTATCTGCAGTGTAATTTTGAGCAACTTTCTCTCTAAAGGCTATAGCTTCTCTATATATCTACCTTTCCCAATGTGGTCTCTATCCAGTCACGAATAGTATCGAAGGAAGATTCTTAATTTAACTCTTTTTTCCATCCACTTTTTTTCCATTTTCTTATTGCATAACTCACACAAAAACATCAGATTGCGAGTATCATTTTGTACTTGCACTGCGAATTCTTTTGTGGCTTAGACAAATATTTTGCTTATTTTATTACTTGGATTAGTATGTTTATCTCTTCTAAATGTTAGATTTAAAACGTTATAATTTAAACACTTGTTGATCTTCGAGATCCACAATACGATATTATTTAAAAGTGCCAAAAAAGTTACTAGAATACAGAATTCTTATGCAGCATCATTCATTGTACTGCTTTTTGCCGGAAGGAAACTGTGAGACTAAAGGTCCAGCTCTGATATCTTTTGCGTTATGGTATCCATCGCTAATTTTGAAATTTCTTTAACTGACTCAGGATACTTTTGAATGACTTCACCGAGATAATTACGGAATTTCTTAAAATCTTGTACTTTCTCTTCATCTATAGTGTAGGTTCGAACAACTTTCTCTCTGAAGACTACAGCTTCTTCGAGAATCAACCTTCTCGATACATCCGCCTTTCCCAATGTAGTCTCTATTAGGTCTTTAATAGGATAAAAAGAAGATAATCCAACTAACTCGTCCTTCCATCCACCTTTTTTCCTTCTCTCATTACATAAACTGCACATAAACATCAAATTGCGGGTATCATTTTGTACTTGCACTGCGAGAATTTTTGTGGCAAAGATAAATACTTTGCTTTTATTATCTCTTCTAAATGTTAGATTTAAAACGTAAAACTTATTTTTAGACAGTAAAAACTCATCATAGTCCTTCTTTTCTTGATCGCCACAAACTGATCTTAGTTTATTTAATAAATAAACAGAAGCCAATAGTTTCTCATGAATTTGTGTTTTAGGTAATACATGATCTACTTCTGGATCAGAGTTATGATCTTCACCTTTGATACTTTGAGAAAAAGGGCAAGAAAAGTTCTTTAAATCAACAGGCCTTCCTATTTTATCACTATATACTTTTTCCAACGCTTTTTTGGTAGCCTTGTTATAATTACTAACATATTTAGTGTGGATATCTCTACTGCATATATGATAGAAAGGTACAAAATCAACCCTTGATTCCTTAGCATTAGCAGCAGTAAATTTATTATTGCCGCAAATTACACCTTGAAACTCGTAATTTAATACAGAATCCAAAAAGTCCTTTACTGTCGCTACTGTATCAGAAGTATCCGAATTGCACCTTGCATTATGAATATAATCGTAATCGAGTTTCTTTATTTTAGAACCATCTTCATTTTTAATTTCTATAATGGTGGCACGAAGTACGCTTTTAAGAATACATTTTCGTTTACCTTTTTCTTCTTTGAATAGCTTAGGAAAGTAGAGCATCGCGCAAGCCTTGATACAGGCTCTAAAGTTTCTGTAATTAGAATAATCAATATTTGTTACAGTGCCCGCCTTAACACTTGCTATTAAAGACTTATTTCGATCCTTTTTTGCATCATATCTCGCAAAGATACTAACATTGGATGACATTTTATAAGCCATGTTATAAGATGCTTCAATATTTATTTATTAAATTCGAATTTCTGTACAGTATGTAAGCTGGAAAAGCTCAACGAATAAAATACTATTGGCCGTTGCATTCACGGAAAACCACAGTTTCGCAATGAGAGTATCAAATTTATGAAAGTAAATAAGCCAAATAGTTAAAAAGTTAAGACATCGGTCTTTAAAGGATTATTTTAGATGTCCATGTATTATAAATGAATTAAACTGGCCAGGATGCAGGTATTCCGAAAGCAACTTGAATATGATGGCATAATAAAAATGTAAATTTTGTTAATCAACGATGAAATCAAGTTTAATTAAGAATTTAACTCTATAATGAGCGCTTGGCTATGATGTTAGTTTACTTAAAATGATTACAATTAGCAGTGCATCAAGCATAACATAAGAAAGCTTTCTTTAGTAATAAAATACTCGTTCAAGAATTGAATTAAAAGATTTATGAGATAGTTTTTTGAAAACTAGTTCATCTTTTGGATCGCTATATTAAAGAAACAATACGAGTAAATAAAGTGCACGTTACATTATATAGTCATATCCCTTTCTAAAATTTTAATAACTTAAAGAAATGACTGTAGTGTTATCTATAAATGCTATTATTAGCATATATCTAGGTTAATATTTTCACTCTTTGTTTACCAGTCCTTTTGAATACATTCATCTCTATCGTATATCTATGTCTCCATTACTCCTGCAATTACTAAAGAGACAGGTTTACAATTATAATTTACGGGAAAAAATAGGTCATACACGCTCTTCATGTAACAAGAGAAAATACACTTGCAAACTTTCTGAAATTATCTACCTTAACCAAAGTAAACACCCGTGATTGGACTGCTAATATCGAGCAATAACAACTAATTACGCTTGATCACAGATAACTGCCGGCTAAATAGTGAATTTGCTATCATATAATTAACAGAATATGCAAAATGGAGTCTTGTAGAATTAGAAAAACAGCTTAATATCAATTCTACTGTATATATACACTTCTAAAATATATCAATAAGAATTCTTTTGACAGAATCCTACTATATACTATGATGTTATGCTATCAAGAATAGATTACATAAGGTACTCACATCCCATAGCGGAATAATTATCGCTTCCTTAGGTATTATATGAGTTTATGTTCAGCTTGGATGATAAATAGATAGATAATCGGATTATCGAATCGTCAGAGCATGGACGAAACGAATGATTCTAGTAAGTTTACTTCTAATGCAAATAATTTATAAATTCACAGCTCTATAACGGAGTATTTCCTCTACTTTATTCCACAGCGCAGAAACTAGGTAAATATAGTTATAACTTTTCTATAGCGAAAGCTCTGGTAACGCTGTTACCATGGAGACGAACTTGTATATTATACACAATATAGTATAGAGGGGCATATTATTATCAAAGAGCTGTACAGTACGTACACTCGAGAAGGTCAAGAGTATAACATAATCATATAGCCTTTAGCGAGCTACTAATTGTTCGCATTTACATATTTTAGCTTTTATTAAAGTATCGATCAAGCGCTTCACTAACTAGGCAATAGACGTCGCCGCATCTACCCTGTTAAAATCAGCGGGCGGAATTAGAATATGAGATAGAATCATTTTATAAATTAACATCATCAGTATTAGTAGTACGATATTAGTGTTATACTGTGGGATTGAATTCTATAAGTTACTTTTAGTATAAAATTATTAACTCTCTTTTTAATTATAATAATAAACTTACCAAAGTATGGAGTATATCGGTAGCAGTTATGAAGGAGAACATAAAAATGGAAGGTATGATTTTAACCCAACTTGTATTAGAACTATTATTATTTTTTTACTTAGAAATTTTAAGATTGATCTCATAGCCTTTTGTGTCGCCTAGAATTACCGGCACCTAAATTCAATTTTTAATGTTTTAAACCCGCATCTTAGTTTCAATTAATTCATTATGATACGTAATACGTTAGATCTGATTAAAATTAGACGGACATCTTCCATTAGGTTAACTTGCTACATAAAAATTGATTTAGGAGGTCTACACAATGCCAACAGCGATAAACCATATTTATTGACACCAAATACTACTATTAATTTATTCTCTACTCTTGTTAGCGGATATAAAATTTAATCTAACCATTAATAGTAAAATAGCAAACTCATCATCTTAACGCAATTGCACCCTTGTGTTAAGAGAATAGATTCAGTAGTAAGGTTTATTTCACAACCATAGAGCTATCTGCTCTAGCAGAGGATTCATTCATCTCCGTTGATTTTAATATAGTTTGCAATCCATTTTTTGAAGAAATGGACTTATCATTACCCTACTTAGAATCATTTCGTATTCAACATTCCATTATTTGCTGGTACTGGTAATTACTTGATAATTTAATAGATTTATTTCATGATACACTACGACCCCAAGATACTTAGTTATAGGCAGTTAGTTCAACCAGAGCTGGGGACTTCTCTAGCATCCATTTGAGCTATAAAGTATTGATCAAATCAGCTGTTTATAGCTATAAATTCTACTTAGCAAATTCTTTAAGTTTAGACATGTTGTTGATTTCAAGTGAAATATTTGTCTTATTAAATCCTTTGTATCATAGTAAAACAGTAAGATACGTCATTATTGTTAAGGTTTTGAAAGCTGACTACAGCACTGTACTTATTTCAATTCTCTGGATATCATTATTATTGTTTAATTGCTATGGTATAATCCCGTTACTTCCCATCTACTTGTAATGAGATACTCATTTAAAGTGTGAATGTCAGGATAGCTCTTCCATTATTTTCTCTATTTTCTGTAGACATATACGCGTATTGATAGCATAGCCAGTTATTACATCTGCCAATTATGACTAGAAAACAACTAACTCAAAATCTGGTAGTTTCAGTTCAAAGTATCATGCTACTGCATTTAATTATCCATACACTCGTAAGAACGACTAGATATTCCATGAAAGTTATCGGTAATTAATATAAATAAAATCCTTGTAACTAGGTTTATCAACTAGGTTATTGACAATCGTGCAATACAGTAGATCAAAAATATCAGCTATGACGAAAGGTTTCGGTCAAGATCGTAATAGTAAATTTTATGTTTTACTAATTATGGTATGTGACATAATAGAATGGACGGGAGAGGCCAATATAGCTTCCCTACAGGAACAAAATACGTAGGAGAAATGAAAGATGGAGTATTTCATGGTGAAGGAACGCTATATTTTACTACTGGTAGTCGTTACACAGCTACTTGGATTAATGGCATTGCCGTTAATGTAAGTAATATAGAGGAAGAAATCAGTGCAATAAGGAATTTAGATATCAACGTGATCGATCTTAAAGCTCCAAATTTTACGCTATTGATTGTTCATCTTTAGTGCGGAACTGTATTGCATACAGCTGCATCTTTAAAATCATTAGCGGTTACCTGTGCTATTAATAAAGAGGCTAAAATTCTTGTAAAATGATACTGTTTTGTATATACTGATGAATAACCTGTATGTAACTAATACCCATACGACAGGGAAAATATACATTCGAAGATGGATTAGATTACGATCAGACCGAGTGGTTATACTGTGATGGATACGATAGACGTTTCTACACCGAAATATGTAATGGACTCAAACCTGCAGGTACAACCTCTAAAAAATTCCTTTAGTTGTATACCTATAGCCGTTTTTTAGTTTTTAAAGCAATAATATTACCCTTAAGAAAATTAAAATTAGAAACGGTCATTTAATTAGAAGATCGATGAGAATTTAAGTATAAACTAAGAGATTGATAAATAGATCATGCGTCTCCGTACACAGTACGCACAACTTGCGTATTGGAGTAGTGCAAGGTAGCATAATCTCAAAAGTTCAACACCTGCTAATGATTAAAATCAATTAGGGCGCTCTCAACTGACCGATAACGAGCCTCCACCAAGCATACCTGAAGGTTGCTATGATTGTGGAGATGGATTTTATGATCCTAAAACAAGAGTTGTAACCGATTACGATGGAAAGTTCTTAAGAAATGCAGGTAAATACGGCAGTGATGTATTTCGATGTATATTTTGGTCGTTTCTCACTTCACTGTATACTTGAAGAATGCATGATATCGATCTAAAACGAAATCATTTATTTACTAATGTAGATGATGCTGAGGATGAATGGATTAGGTCGAAATGCCGTAAAGGCTGGGATGAATTCATTGGCTATCGATCGCAATATGGTTTATAAAATTATAGTTTTAATCGTATGCAATAACTTATAAAATGATCTCGAAGGTATACGAGAAAGGTATACTTACAATATGACCTACCGATTCTATAACGACAAGCTTCTAAAAGCCTGTATTTACTTTGTACATTGTACAAGTAATGAGTCTACTATATATTATATACTGTACTTTGGTGCGAAGATATTTTAGTAATTATTTTCCAATTTAAATTATCGATTTTATACGATGTTGACATGCTCCTGGCACATATTCATGGATGTATTCGCACATGAAAATAAACGAATTGTGAGAGTAATAATAAAAAATTCGACAGCAACTCGTAACATTTCCTTATAAAATTTTAAGGATATTTTAGAGATTTGCCCACGCTGCAACAATTTAAAATCGATCAACTTTGATTATACAATTTTCTTATATGTTAACGCTACAAAGTTGGTAATAGTGAAAAATAAAAGATCTCTTTATATCAAATTGACTAATGCATTTTATAAACAACTTTAAATAATAGTAGTTGTATAATTAATATATTACGGGTATAAGTTGATTTTCCATATGCATTTAGCTGCAGTAATTGTATAAAATACTATTTGCAGCTTTTTTAGGCATGATAAAATACAATACTGTACTGGAAATCGTAATTTCCAAACTGCTCTTCAGATATTGAAACTAAACCTTTCAGAGCTTCAGAGCTTAGCTTTATGAACGAGAAAAGCCGCCTTGATTCTTATTGAAAGCCTTCAGAAGAGTTTGATCTCATTACTAACATCATGCAGTACCACATAGCAACGTAAAATTTACTAGCTTGTTAGTTGCCCAGTTAGAGGAGCATTTGCCTTGCGAGGTCCTCATAATTGATGAAGGAAAGTTTACATAATCGTGAACGATTTTAAAAACAATTATGGATGGATTTTCTAACGTATAAATAACTTGAGGCGTACCGATTCCATTCCATTCAGAAATTTTTCTTGACTTAATCAACGCTCAACACGCTAATCTGACTATCCCTTCTTACTACAGATTACAGTTAAAACTACAGACTACTAGAAATTTTAACTCAATTATCGGGAATAAAAATAATATTGCATCCATCGTTTAATTAGAGATACAGAAAAATGCACCTTAGGGCCTTAGCCAAGTAAAATGTATCATTGCTCGGGAATCTTAAGATAAAGTATACGATACAATTCGAAATATTTTACCACCCAAAGTTAAAACTTTTTACAACATTCCTTTATTGGTAAAGTTGGTATCAATCTAATAACAATTTACAGTTGTTTAAACCATTTTAGCAGACAAATCCTTTGCTTTTGATTTTTCTATTTTTTTCATGGCAGCTATAGATTTGGCACCCATTTCACCACCACCCCAGTGCTTACGAATCTGTCATAAATCATAAATCATATACAAATTGTAAGATAACTTATAAAATGTTAATAACACATTATTTACAAATCGTACCTCGTCTCCACGATCATTATAATTGGATTTGACGGCATCAACCAAAGTAGCTAAGGCATTCTTATCTTCGCTGTAATAAGTATCATTCGAAAATAATAAATAAAAGATCAGTAATCAGAACGAGATTGGATATGACACTGACGGTGCCGTACCTGTTGACAGATGTAACGGCTAAACAGGTTGCAGTTTTTTGATGAACAACTTTTCCCAATCTATATAAGATTAAACTCTAGTAAGTACTACAATTACTTTTAAATTGAAAGTCGGCATAGGAACATCATTATAGCATTTGTTGCTACGTATAGCAATAATAAAAAGTGTCTTATTGTTAGCACCTAGCTTTTCCTTTGACTATGCAATAAGGTACTCCCATCTTACGACATAGGGCAGGCAGCCAAACAACAAGCTGTAAGCAAGGGTAAAATTGATAGATCATGGTTAGAAAAGATATTTATAAGTTAAAAGGTATCATTACCTAACAAATTCATAATACGATGCAAATCGTCATGCAATATAAAGGTAAATCTAAGCTAGATCACACACTACACAGGGTAGCTAATCAAAAACTTTTGGATTGTAATGTACGTTCAGTAAAATCAGAGCCTAGACATCTAACCTCGATGGGGTCAACATCGTGGGCAATAGCAACAAGGTTAGCTCTTTTTCCTTCTATCAAAGAAGTAACGTGATTGAGTCCAAACTTAACGACTGAAGGTTTCTTGCTCGGTTGAGAATCTTTTCCACTAGCTTTCTTTTCCGCAATTTCTGTTAAGCGTTGCTTTTTGGCTTGCTTGGTTTCAGGTCGATACTTGTTCAATAAACGGAACAATTTGACGGCTACAATGATAGGATAGGATCGTAAGATGAAGACTATAACGAATATTAAATGGATCATTTATAGGTAGAATTAAATTGATTCTTCTTACCTGTTTGTCTGTCTAAGGTATCGGAAAATTGATTAATACTAGGAGGAATTTTCAGACGCTTTTGTAAAGTCGATCTTTGTCGTTGCAATCTGATGTACTTGGGCCATCTCATGAAATGTGTAAGATCACGCTTTGGCTGGATATCGCAACCTATTAAGGCAAATGACGGAGGAAATAGGAAACAATTGAAAGGATACCTAGATGTTTCTAATTGATCCAGTTGCAGCTAGATATTTGTTAACTTTAAGGCTACCACTGATTCTATTCGTATCCTACTCTAGTCATTAATTGGATCACTTAGGACACTGTCGAAATGAAATGACTTACCAATACCAAAATTCTTCGGTCTACGCTCAATCAATGGATTGGTTACTTTCTTAGTAGCCTGCTTCTTGGCTACATAAGGAGCAGGGGCTACCTTGGACTTTCCTTTTCTAGTCTTAGCCTAAACAGTTTTAAAATATAAGTCAGAGGTTTAGGCTTACTTTGCCATCACGACCACGATTAATCGATGCTCTACTCTTCTTCTACAGTGATGAAGCAAAGTATAGACATGGCAAGAGATGTTGAAGGTAACTACAGGCAATTTCTTGTATACATAGAAGCAACTTTTGAATGACTTCAGCAATATAACATCGGTAGTGCAATAAAAAAGAACTCTTTGCTGTAGACCAGCAGTAGACCATGAATTAACAAGCATTTTTAGCTGATTCTACTGAAGGATAACTATCGAACAAGGAATTGACCACTACACTACTACGCAGTCCAACTGGAATGAAAAAAAAATGGCAATAAGCAAAGTAAAGTCAAAAAATCTTTCATGACTGCGTCCGCTATCAAATTAGCATGTCAAGAATCATTCTTAGAGTTAGTTATGGCATAAGATGTTGAAGATTTGATCAAGATACTTTCTCTATCGCCACGATTCTACTCACCATTGCTATCGAAAAAGGCAGAGGAGAGATCTTCAGTCTCGTCGGTCTGGTAATATCCACGCGTGGATCAAAGCTACAGTACCCCTGTACAATGCAACCATAGGGTTGTGGCTAGGCCGCTCGGGGTTGAGCCCATACACGTACAGTATACTGTAGTAAAATCAGTAGGACACGTGTAAAGTAGAGTACATAATGAAAAGTCGCACAGTACAGTACTGTACACAATCACAAAAAGTACTGTACGGTACTGTACTGTACTGTACATACAGTACATCATGAAAAGTCGCACAGTACCAGTACTGTACACAATCACAAAAAGTACTGTACGGTACTGTACAGTGAGTGTACAGTACAGTACAGTACAGCACTCGACCAGAAGAAGACCTGGACTGATTACTCTTGGATGGACAGACATTTTCGGCCTCATCTCCTCAAAATAATGCAGTATTGTACCAAACACTTCGTTATGACGGTACTTTTGTATGCAAATGGTCGATTTTAAATTGACCGATTTTTCCTAAATTAACTAATATGAATCTTATGATCTGTTACTAAGTTTCACTTGGAAAGAGTTGTAGAAGATCATCAAAACTATTCAAATTAGTGCCAGTGATTGAGAAAATAGACACACAAGATCCATACTAAGTAGTCATTTTTCGATCAATTAACTAATATCACGTTCAATCTTCTATTACTAAGTTCCGCTTGGAAAGAGTTATAGAAGATCATCAAAGCTATTCAAATTAGTACCAGTGATTGAGAAAACAGACACACAAGATCCATACTAAGTAGTCATTTTTCGATCAATTAACTAATATTACGTTCAATCTTCTATTACTAAGTTCCGCTTGGAAAGAGTTGTAGAAGATCATCAAAGCTATTCAAATTAGTACCAGTGACTGAGAAAACAGACACACAAGATCCATACTAAGTAGTCATTTTCCGATATGGACGGCCTCATTTGGTCAGGAAATCCGCACGTCCGAGGGAAGTAATCATTTTACTCTACAGTACTATGCAGTGTAAACGTTCGATATACCGTACACTGTACACTGTACGATACAGTACCGAACGGACGTGTTGTGGACTACTGGACAACCGGACTGTCCTGTTGTCCTTTTTCTACCTACAGTCTATATTTGCCGCTTGCTGGTGCGATCTTGACGCTTGGGCAAGACTAACTAAGATAGAATTTCAATTGATTCAAAGTGCGTTCTCCAAAGCAAAATGAGTCCCGTTGGAGGTGAACAACAAAGCAGATTACAAGAAATTAACTCTAAAAATTACCTACGAAGAGTGAAAGATGACGTGAAATCCATCTTGGATAACTTTACTAGCATTCTGTCTGCATCCAAGGTACTGTACTGTCTATTAGCAGTCGTTTATTCTTTGATTCCATGGGTCAATGAGATTGGTAGACAAAATTGGACTCATAATAATGTTGGAACATGGATACAAAAATTGACTCTATTCCGTTCATTCACTATACAGTATATACCAGAGTAGATATTATAACGGATCTTCTATAAAGATATGATACAATTTGTTTTAGATTCAAATAAATTTCCATACAACATTATGTCGTCTTTGAGAAAGCAAAATAATTTGTATTTGACGTATAATTCATTATTCGTGTTATTTCATTGGACTACAAGTTTGGAATTAAATTGAATGGTTGACTTTTTGCATAGGTGAAAGAAGAATCGCAATTGAATGGTTCTGCCCAGTCTGTCATGGACCGATACGAAATGCATGTTCGATCATCAAATATAGTAAGTTCATTGCCATGTCATCGAGATGAACGAGACTAAATCTTCTAACATTCTTAGCTTATGAATTGTATACTAGTCGATCACGGTATGACTGTATGCACAAATGATATCTATGTTAAGAGCATCACTAATAAATTATTTGGCCACGACGTGATCCATGTTACTTACAGTATGCTAATGTCTAATTTAGTGATAATGTTGTAAACTTAATTTTTTTATAGACACGAGCTGCAGAGTCATTAGTCCAGCTTATTGACGAATTGAAAGAATCGCTTATATTGGACGACTTTACTTCTCTGAATGAAGCCAACGACGCTAAGCGCAAGCAGTTTGAACAATATATACAACATTCCAATAGTGAATTGCAGAAAATAAAGCATGGCATTGGTCAAGATTTACAACAACTGGAAACTGAATATTATAATTCAGCTTATAAATAATTATTCAACGAGTCTATAGGATTCATGACTGTATAAAGAATGACGTACTGTACTGCTTGTAAATCGATTTAATGTACAGACGGTAAATTGCATCTTAGATGTCATTTTATTTGTAATAACTAATAAAGTGTAATCGGAATTATAATAGAAAATTACACATATGAAGATACTCTAACGTAATAACATCAGCCCCCTTCTGATTCTTGTAAAATAGACTACATATAATTCAGACTTCTTATTTCCAGAATCATTTACTATCGTAAAACAAAACTACGGTATAATTTTGCAACCTGTTCTCTTTGCCCACTGTTGTATACTTTACGGCATCCCTTTAATAAATTTCCTATTGTATTATAATGACTGCAGTTTGATAAATTCACTATAATAAATATACATTGCATTAGACTATCTTGCCTTATTATGCAATCATTAAAAGTTGTAGAAAGTTTTGCAATTTGCAAATCTTTGGAATGAAAGCACTCTAATCAATCGATTTTCTGTAACATTTGTTATACATAGATTTTATTCTTTACAGTGAACTCTATAATTCTGCAACGATTACATATTGAATCGTAATTTAATTAAATGATTCATAGCTGCTACATAACTTGTGTAGCAATCTTTATCGTAAAGTAGTAGTATGCATGCATCGGTCGATAATGGATTACAAAATAGTTGTGTTGATCGACTTCAACTTGTATTCCAATTTCTGTTACAGAATAACATACTTGTTAAATAGCCATGGATATGATTATTTGTAATCTATATAGCGGTACTTTTAATATTAGCTACATTATAAAAAAACAGTATGGACATCCTAAGTTATTTAAATTATTGATGGCATACAATCAAGCTGTTATGACCTATACAGCCAAGTAATAGCGCTGAAAATAATTGACATCATAGATCTTTCTAAGAGAACATAATCAAGCGCTTATAGAAATCTACCGTATTTTAGCAAAATGGGATATAGAATTCTTTAAATTTAGAGGCGGTGCTGGTTTCGGTTTTTTCCAAAATTTTACGTATAGGTAGAAAGTAATAAGGGATAAAGTATACCTATAAAACAAAAAGAGTTTAAAGGTTTATCTCATTTCAAAATGAGTAAAAAGACAGCTATAAAAACAGATTCACTTTGATAAAACTAAATACAGACCACGTAAATATATATTGCAGGTGTTCATTTCTTAGAGTTACTCGGGTTTGGCCTCCAATTGGACCCCCAGGCAAAGTAGACCCTGATTAAATTGTAGGCACGACAAACGAATAATACTATAAATTGCAGGTATAGGAGCTAATCGTCCATAAAATTTGTAATTACTATCAACATTTGCATGATTGATATCTTAATTAAATGTCCGCATTACTTGCGTCAGCATCAATGAACACGTTACTAGTCCCAAGTAAAGCTGCTAAAGCATTACTCTCCCTCCAGAACCAGCGACCTTTCTCAGGATCATTATGGGGCATAAATGGGCGTCTCTTTGTTACAGAAATAGTATTGAAAATGCATATTATACAAAGGATACTAAAAATGATTATTCAAAAGCAATTTCGAAAGATCAAAATGTAGAATTATACAATGCCTTTTAAGCTACAATGGGTACTAACCCTATCACTATGTCGTATTACTCCAGTTACTGTAGTTTCGCCTTCAATCTAGTCGAAATGAACATATTATTAACTATTAATATAGAAAAGGACAATCCTTGTTAACTGATCTATTTCTCTCAGATATTAAACCTGTCCTTCCTGTCTTGTTGAAGGATCAACCTTACTTCTAGGTACCCAACCGCGATTAACTAGTATGGTAATGCTACAATGACAATAAGGCTCGATTAAAAGACCGTGATTATTTACTTTCTTTGTAAATTTTTTGTACTTACTCAGGTTCGTTGCATATGAAAGGTGTAATCACATTCATTCCACTCTCACTCGGTTGCATACTGGTAACAGCAGTGTCTTTATGTAATGATCGCGGACCAATATACTGCTCCCGACTATGATCAAAATAGCCAGTAATAATAACCCGGTAATATTCCATATCATCCAGATTATCTATCCTAAAAACGAGTAATAGTGATATCTTCAAATTGTATTCCAGTTAATGTTATAAATAACTTAATATTAAAGACAAAAAAGGCAAGGAAAGTATTAAGACTGCTAGGATACAAACTTAAGACTAGCCTAAAGTAAATGTGTTGAATTCTATCTCATAAATAAGTGATGTATCGTAAATTAACACCAACAGCTATCATTATCTAATATTATAGTAAAGGCTTAAGCTGCTAACGTACACGGATGCCAAAGGAACTGCCCTTGTTGATGTTCGCATTTCCAGATCTTTAATTAGGCCCAATTTCCATTGCAAACGGAATATTTGCCAAGTACCCAAAGCAAAAGTGGTCATGGGGATAATCAGTAGGAACAATCTCCTACCTAAAGGACCTTCCCTGTTCACGGTAAGAGCTAATATACGCGCAGTATAAAATTTGATAAGGTATAGAAAACGCGACAGTTACAATTTTGCTTCATTCAATAATACAGTGTATACGGATATATCTAATTTTACCGGGCTTAGATTTTGTAGCATACGATCTAGATTGAAGGCAATGGATTCTATTACAGCTGCGACTCAGATTACCATTGCATCTTACAACCTGTGATTAAAATGAAGATTTACGCGAGTAGTGAGTAAATTGTAATAGGATTTAGAAATTTACAATTAAGAAACGCATTTTCAGCGGAATTGTACTTCGTTATCAATCTCTCAAACGGTGTATGTAGTCTGATAAGTTTCTATATTATACTATCAGAACCATCAATATTAAAATATTATACGATTAAAAACTATTATCGACCATTATGCAAATACTCAAAAGTTACTACTATACGATTAGTGTCATAATTGTACAAAAATAGTAACTCCAGAGCAAAATTTAAATTAACCATCTTTTCCGGATCACATTACTGTATTCACTAAGGGTTTCTCAGGGTCTCTAGTATTCGCTATATGCTGCAAAATCATGTACCTCGGTGTTATTATTAATTAATACAATAATTTAGCTTTACATATATGTGCATTTACTGCATCTCGTCACTGTAATCTCTTATTTACTTCAGCACACTTATAATTGCTATAAATCATCGTCATCTTTAAGTGTGGATATGCATAACTACAAAATTTAGCCATCAATAACGTAGTCTCTATAAAATATCCGGGGTAACGACTCCATTATGGACTTTACTGACTTGGGTCTGCTACATATTCTGTAGTAGTGATGTAGTTTTATACTGTATACATTATAAGAGTACTATACGCGTTCACTACCACTATACGAATCAGTTTAACTACATGTACTCTCCCGAGCAACTAATTATGCAGAAGGCAAATCATAACGAAGACCACGTTAATAAAACTATAATACTGTGCGAGTATCTACAATAAATTATAAACAGGTGTTCTCCCATTAGGAATGGTAGGATGAAACCGATACTAAGGACATTACTGCAAACGAACAGAGCAATTCCATGATCGCAAATATACTGCAGATAGTATTAAAAGCAACATTTCGGAATAAATACTGCATTCTAGTACTACTTTAACATTGCATGCTGTAAGCAAAAGATTTCTTACTAGGAATAAATCAGTTCATTTAGGCTCTTAATTGATATGTACAGTATTGTAATCGTCTGTAACTCTTAATATGGCTGTGTAAGATTTAACTATGTGAGACAGCATAGCCTACATTATAGCCCTAAATTTAGCTATTGAAATTCGCGTATCATGATGGCATGTTGTGCTATTAGTGGAAGTATACAGGCACAGGTTGATGAATGAAAAGGTCAATTTTTACCAGCTACTGTAGGAGTAACTCTAATAAGATAGTAACATAGATATATAACTTTAATAAATAGCTTATTTGTTTAGCTGATCACTTCGCAAACCACCATCCTAAGTGATTTGAAAAAGAATCAGAACAGTACAATTTCATATTGCAAACTGCCGCTTTCTAAACATGCAAGACAGTGTACAAATTCCACATCAAGAATTACGTAGTCTTAAAATCTATTCTTGTACAGTACAGTATAACAAATCAATCATAGCACATAATATAGCCATCTCATGCAAATTACTTATTACACATATTGACCAAAGTCTATAAAGTTGCCAAGGCAAATTTCATACATTCAACTTACCAATTGCGATGTAACCGTAGGGATCCTACACAAGCGATTCCACGCTATTAATACCATCTTTATAGCAAATTTTGACTTTTCGTGATTTTATAAAGTACAATTCGAAAGTAATATTACTGCCTTTTAACTTCCAATGTCTCAATAATTCTGACAGCTTTTGTGTTATGCTGTGGTGGCCATTACAGCAGGCATTGAATGTGACCGGCAACGGACAGGCGTACAGATGTACGTATGCAGACGCACAGTATATGCCCAACCAGCACGTACGCTTAGATCAACTGGAGTTACCATGCAGGTCAAGCCTTCTATACGTTACCATAGTATGCATTCACGATTGCCGTACTACTTTGTCGTATTCTACTATACAGTCTACAGTACTGTATATTGTTGCTGTTCTTGGTTTTAGTCCAACGCTAGCAACCATAAGAAGATTGCCTGAAATGAGAATCGACATCAAGTTTAGGTAAGTCAAGTAAATTAGAAATGCTTTCACCGTGAATAGAATATCATGCAAACAGTGAAAGCAGTAGAGTTACGTCTAGTTGCAGCAGTAGGTAGCTTGTGCAATAGATAGACAAAATGTGCGGCACCAGCTTGAATGCTGCAAGTTCTGCAAAGGACCTGCAGCTCATTGCAATGCAAGATCATGATACTCGCAGAATCCTGTAGTAGGATGTATCATTCTAGATTAAATAAGTATAACGCAAATTTAAGTGTAAAGTTACTAACATAGCATTCATGTAACATTCAATGGCATCCAGTGAATTATGTAGCAGATAAAAAATGTGCAGCTCCGGAATTTTGTATATTACAGACAGCTAATTTGTATAGTACAGTATGCTGCGATGTTTGAAAGACCTTGATAGAATATGTTGCGTATGATAGCAATTTACATGACTATAATATACTGTACATTAAATATATGTATTTGCAACACAAAGGACTATGGAGACTAGCGTATTAATTAAAATCCATGTACGAGTATAATGAAAAAGAGTTCAATGCTACGTATATGCTTGTCTTATATATTATTCTCTCTGTATGTACGCGTATATGATGGCAGCGGTGGAGCCGAATTGCTCTTTAATAAAATTACCCATCACCAGGTGGACCTATCTGACGACATTGAATGTAGGGATTTCTCGATTAACTTGGCTTAATACTGCTATACTTTTATTATAATTATCATTACAATCATCCTTTACCCAAGAAAGAATTATTGCCAACAAAATTCATGTGCATTTATGTTACTGTGTGTATTTGTCATAGGGGACATGAAGAAGCTCATTAGCTGGATTAAAGAGAACCTCTTGCAGGAAAGACCTGAACTCTTTGTACAAGGAGATAGTGTGTAAGTAAAATACTAATAAGAGAGCAGCCTAGTCAATAATTTCGAAATTCATAGTTTGATTAGCTTTATAACTCCGGTAATCGTCTGCATGTTTAAATGTGCGTAGTCCAAGTATTCATAATAAAGTAACAGACTACCTTTGCAACTTTAGGCGACCTGGTATTTTAGTATTAATTAATGAATCAGATTGGGAATTACTGGTAAGATAATGAAAATTGATAATCTATTAGGGTAGATATACATATGAATATGTATATGTATTTATTTACCATAAATCGTATTGCAGTTATAATGATGCTTAAACTGCTAGTTCGTATTCACACCTATATACACGTACGATGATATTGAAACATAATCTAATTACAGGGAGAGTTGGAGTATCACTTGGAAGAAAATGATTGCATACTATTTATTTCAACTCTACATGGCGGCTGATAATAATCAACTAGTACTATGTACACGGAATGCGTAACGGTAAAAAACATTTTTGCACAATACGAGGTCATGCAATAAAATATTGTCATTATAAATGAATCGTTGGTAGCCAGTGGTAAAAATTTTGTATAGCACGAAGGTATGCAGGAAGATATTGCCGTTATAATTAAATCGTTAGTAGTCACTCTTAATAAATCGATTAGTTACAATTAATTAAAATCACCATGTCCGCGTTTATTCTCTTATAAAATAATTGTTTACTCCTGAAGCATGTTAATGCAATGTACTACGAAATTTTTTACTGAAAATTTTTCTGACCGATATAGATTGTATCATACTATAATAGCAAATAAATTAATGCAATATTGAATAAAAATTAACTATTAATTATAATATTGTACATTTATAACTCTTAATACTCCAAAAGGATATATAGTAATTATTATCATTAATACAATGACGTAACGCTTTTGGATAGCCTAGAAATACGATAAAGCTGATTTTTACCTGAAAATATTAGTCAAATTCTCCATAATAAATAGAATGTTACACCTTTTTAGTGCATTCAATCTACTTTTTTATTCTTTAAAGATAGTACAAAATAAAGTACCGTTACTTGTGGAGTGTGGTTGGCATTATGAAACCGCGTACTTATTGTACTTAAAGTATTTTGTGGACAAAGGTATACTCTGTAAGTTATTCTCCGAAATCATGTACTAATACACACAACCAGAACGATCAGCCAGGGACCTCATTTAGTGCATTAAAATATGAACTTAACGGTAATATTAGCTAAGCTATGATAATGTAGTTACACGTGGAATATAGCATTTTTGTTGCGTTTAATTGAGCTTGATCAAAATGCGAAGACATAACAAACAATGTTAGCGTACGAGCATAATTTTTAAACTTAAAAAGTTATAACCTATAATTCTTGATACCGATATTCTTGAATTACTTCACAAATGTAAATATTAATGCCCTTAAAGTTTTATATTACAACTAAATATAGCCCGATCTTAACACTGTAATCCCTTGAGATTATTTACATTTTTGATAAAACGTGAGATCAAACACCTTCAAAAATAAATTAACAGATGTTACATTTCCTTTAATCTCCTATAAGCATTATATATATATACATAGGTTAACATAGGTTATATATAAATTAAGAAGTCCTTATTTACGAAATCTCACAATAATAAATATACAGAAATCTTAATTTTTATAGCGTGTCTTATGGTAAGCGAGGCAGAACATCTTTAAAGTGTAAGCAAGGGTAAGAATACTACACAGGATTTGTGTTAATATCATACATAGAGATACGTATATAAGAAAAACTATTAATGTTAAGATTTTCTTGTCTTTCCTTGGCATTGTGTAATTAATTTATTCAAAATAGAAAATTAACTATGCTCTAATCACTTATATGGGTAACAGATAATTTCATTGCCAGAGATAGTGCTACTCTCGCTCCTTTATAACATTATGAACCCTATTTTTAAAAATAATTTACTACATTTCAATTATAACGGCATCTACAAATTTTATGAATAGCTTGCTTATATCCTATACGAAAATCCTTACTTCGATATGCGTATAAGACTGGATTAATAGCAGAGTTACAGAATACTAACGCTGAAGATGTAAAGTAGACGCCATCAGGTACTATTACTTTAGATATTGGTATAATAATAAATGCTAATAAACTCCAAGGCGCAATACAGATTAGAAATGCAATAAATATGATAAACATGGTTGAAGTGACGTTAGCCTTATCCATAGCTGTAGGTGATTGAAAACCATCACAAATCATATCTCTCCGTTTCCTTGAAAGAAAGAGAAAAATAAACAAGTAGCAGTAAGTAATAACAATTAGAGGTATGGCGAAATCGATAACAGCATCATAGATGCCCCTAGCTATTCCACTTATGCTATTTCCATTCCAATCGGGAACGCAGCCTTTCTCAATGTCTACATAAACACTTTTACCCCATCCAAGAAACGACACAGCCGGTACTAAAATACATGTTGCCCAAATAATACCAATGCAATAGTATGCATGTCTTGACTGTAATTTTTTAGATTTTACAACCACAAGATAGCGTATTATAGCTATCCACATTAAATTGTGAATAGAGCCGATAAAGCCCATACCTCCAATTTGTACATGAATAGCACAACCAATTTCACCATAAAATTGTCTATCAGCTATGATATTGACTAAATAGAGTGGTAATTGAAATAATCCATTAATAATGTCGAGAATAGCTAAATTCATGATAAGATAGTTTGTTACAGTCTGGGTTGCATTACGTCCATATTGAGAAATAACAATAATAACTAAGCTATTGCCAATAACAGCGGCTATAGCGATAATAATAAAAATAGTAGATTTAATAACAATAACTTCCAATGGTGTATGATGAGTTTCGTTAGTTCTATTATCCATTTTCGATAACGAAGATCTTCACGATTCGATCAGTCTTAATAGTATAGGATCGTTGAATAAGTCAAACAGAACTAGAAAGAATGTAAGCCAATTTTTTACATTAGGTTGTAATATATACGCGTACGAGAGTTTTTATCAGATTACTACAAGAAAATATCTACTAATAGGTTTAAAAACGACAATCGTAACACAAATATCGCTGATTTCGATATACAATTCATTTGCATCAATCGAATTACCATGTGTAATCGTATACTGTAAGTGTATACTAAAGTTAAAATATTATAATATTTGAGATTTTAATCTATTTTGTATTGTGTCGAAAGGATATGAAAATGTCGATCAGATAATTTTGAACTAGTGTAAGTAGTAATATACAGTAGAATAACGAACGATATATATGATTAATCATAGCAATAAGTTTAGAACATTAAAACATAATAACAAGCTTGCTTACAATATTCCGCTATTTTTATAACTATCGAGACAAGTACAGCTTGATACCCAAGTACAGTCAATCCTAAAATTAAACATCGAAGAAAAGTCTTAAGCGAGAATCGATCTAGAGTAATATTTTAGTAAATTCTTACTCACGGTATGTCACATACCTAAAGCAATATTTTAGTAAATTCTTACTCACGGTAGATTAATAATGACACACAAAAGTAAGCTGTATGAGTTTTACCTTATATACGGTATTTCGAAGATTAATCTCGGCCTACATATAACCTATATAACAGGATGCGTATTCAATACATACCAGTAGACTAAAGAATACTTTCATGCTTAAACAAACCAATAAAATTGTACACATACGTACATAACACTAATAAATCAGACAAAGTTTAACATTAGTAAATGAACTTGTAAAAACTATTTGCTATGATTGTAATAAAATCATTTAAGTAAAAGTTCAAAATTTTCCTCTATTACTTTGTGTACGCGTTTAATAAGAAAAAAAATATAAGACCTTAGATAGATTTAGCCATCGTGACTTAAATGGCGATTTAGTTATAGCACTGGAGTCTGTTAAAGTATAATCTTCTCTCAAATTACATGTACGCATTAAACAAGCTATAATATCGGACTGTAGAATGATTATATTTAATTATTATTACCCAATTAATCATACCTATAATATCTTGTCAACGAAGCAATTGATCAGATAAACTCTAATTTGATATAGTCCTCTTTTAAATAGGAATACAGAATGACGGTGAAGCTGTGGTTCGAGAAGGGAATCGATTAAGAATAGTCATAATACGCATTCATCAAATTAATCATTGTTCAAATGGAAGACGGTTTTTAAGAATATTTTTGTGTTGGTTTTCCGTTTTGTTTAATATTAATGTAATAATTTAAAGACATGAAAACTAGCTGTTATTAGGCTTGATGGATCTCGACTTTAACAAATCAATTTTTCAATTAATTATTGACGGCCAACATATGTAAGTTATTCTTCTAGTTTTACTAAAATTAATTCTTTCAGTGTTTATATCTAAATGCTATTGCCATAGTAAATTCAATTTTATATCATTGCAGATCATCTTCGGTATCGTCATCATAGAGACGGTGGAATTCAAATTTAATGATTATTATTACGCTTCTATGCTTTAAATGATTTATTGGTCGATCTACCAATTAAATTAGCGTAGTTACTTTGCAGATAAACATTCGATATTGTATCATTTTAACCTAATTAGTTATAGACAAAATTCTCGATGAAAGTTAATAAGTATTTGATAGTAGCCAATAGAATTGAGTACTTTAAAATAATTTTATTTTTAGTTCATTTTATTACCATAAAGTATGGCGTACGTGCAAATAATAAACATCTTGATATCTATTCAAATAGATTACAAAATAGCCGTTTCTAAATATAAGGTAGCCAATGTAAATATATAGCGGCTCACCTACGGCAACATTATCTATAATATCGAAAAGAAATTATCTTTTCTATACGTAGAGCTAGTTACTAACAATTTACTTAAGAGGTGATACCATATCCACATACTCTGCTAAGTAAAATATTTTCGCTTAATACAATAATTATATCTCATCATCTAATTTTTTAAAGATGATATAAGCTTAGTTCTTGTTTTAGTTATAAGTTCCATCAGCAATCTTGAAATCAAGTCATACTCCCAACTGCTATTAGCAAATAGAAAAAGCCTTTGTCGATTATCAAATTATCTACATAGTTCAATAATCGTTTTTATTTTAGTTATCACTCCACTTCTATAAAATTCATTTGCAATAAGCCTTTTACACAAACAGGAAGATTTTAATTACTCGTATTTTCCTCTTCTATATTCTACTAAATATATTACGTCCATAAGAATTAACGGAAATTTGGATTTTAGTATACAGAGTAATTAGATGGCGCTACTTCCCAAATAAACTCCAACTGCGTTACTAACATATTTGTATCATAGAATTTGAAAGAGAAAGTTCTTAAAAGTAAGAATTCCGAGTATTGTACTAGTTCTTATTATATTAGATACATTGCAAAGATTTAACGGGTATTTTGATTTTAGTTTACAGAACAATTAGATAGCGTTGTTTCTCGAATTAGCTCCAACTGTCTTGCTGACATATTTTTAATGCAGATTTTTAAAGAAAAACAACTTTAAAAGCGTATATTCTGAGTATTACGCTTGTTCCTATTACATTATATATACTATACAAGATTTAAGGGACATTTCGATTTTAGTTTACAGAGCAATTAGACCATGTTATTTCACAAATACGAGTAAGTTCCAGCTGCCTTGCTGATATGTTTTTAGTGTAGACTTAAAAAACAAATTTCTATATTGACTGTAGTTTCGTGTAAACGAGATAAAAATGTAGAACAGTACCAGCTCAATCTGATTGATTTTATAATTAATTATAAGCCATTTAATATTTTATGATCACCGATTAAGTCAAAAAACTGTCAGTGGACAGACTACGGATAGCAAGACATAGCACCCATGTTATTTCCCATACCGTCCGCATTATTCTTATATATTTCGAGCAAAATTAAACAATAATCTCTTACCTATTGTGTCATTTATGGCCGTAGAATTTATTCTCCTAAATATTTACTAGATTTTCAATATGATATTTGGTCAGCAGAGATTTCTCTTACATGGATTAACCATAATAGAATAATTTTATCGTGAACTAAACTCTGTAGTATAGCTAGTAAATTTGAAAAATTCTTTAAATGATATGCAGCCTATTCTTTTCAACGATAAAACTAGAAGACTGTAATTAGCATAATAGTATTAAAGTCAAACATGCTCTTGATGGTCAGAATATTGTTGTGAGCTATTTGTGCTTAATATTCTATTAGCATATTTGGGATAAGTTTATACATATAGCTCCACTAAGAAATATTTCCTATTTTCACCTAAGAGCAAGCCAGATGTTAGTTGACGAGTGTTGAAATTCAAAAGATTAATTAATTGAATTCATTTGTAGAGTCACAATAAAGCATGTCTCCAAAAGTTCCCTGCTGATTGATGGGTAGACTAACTATTTCTATAATGGTACTTTATTTGGAGAATGATGTCTAGCATTAATAATAAAGTAAAGGTAGGAAGTATTGATAGAATGTGAGATGCCTTCAAGTTTTACAAATAGCATTTATTACATTCCCTCGATCTTCTATAGGCATGATAAATCAATCTATGAATATAAAGCCCTTATTTATAGACTTTCATAATTGAAAGAATATCGAAATTTTGACCTCACAACGAAAGTAAGCGAAACTGAATATCTTTAAGTGTTAATACGATTAAGATGCCATGGGATTCACGTTAAGTTTATACAGTTAATTTATTAATTCATGATAGAGAATTAATTGTGACTCTAATCACTCTTAGGGATAAGAGATAATTGCATTGCCAAAAATAGTTTTATGCTCATCCTATCGCAACATTATGAACCCTATTTTTAAATTTACTTAAAAACATTTTAATTATTACAGCATTTAAATATTTTATGAATAGCTAGCTTATATCCTATACGAAAATCCTTACTTCGATATGCGTATAAGACTGGATTAATAGCAGAGTTACATAGTACTAACGCTAACGATGTAAAGTAGACGCCATCAGATACTGCCACTTGAGCTACAGGCATGATAATAAATGCTAATAAACTCCAAGGCGCAATACAGATTAGAAATGCAATAAATATGATAAACATGGTTGAAGTGACGTTAGCCTTATCCATAGCTGTAGGTGATTGAAAACCATCACAAATCATATCTCTCCGTTTCCTTGAAAGAAAGAGAAAAATAAACAAGTAGCAGTAAGTAATAACAATTAAAGGTATGGCGAAATCGATAACGGCATCATAGATGCCCCTAGCTATTCCACTTATGCTATTTCCATTCCAATCGGGAACGCAGCCTTTCTCAATGTCTACATAAACACTTTTACCCCATCCAAGAAAGGACACAGCCGGTACTAAAATACATGTTGCCCAAATAATACCAATGCAATAGTATGCATGTCTTGACTGTAATTTTTTAGATTTTACAACCACAAGATAGCGTATTATAGCTATCCACATTAAATTGTGAATAGAGCCGATAAAGCCCATACCTCCAATTTGTACATGAATAGCACAACCAATTTCACCATAAAATTGTCTATCAGCTATGATATTGACTAAATAGAGTGGTAATTGAAATAATCCATTAATAATGTCGAGAATAGCTAAATTCATGATAAGATAATTTGTTACAGTCTGGGCTGCATTACGTCCATATTGAGAAATAACAATAATAACTAAGCTATTGCCAATAACAGCGGCTATAGCGATAATAATAAAAATAGTAGATTTAATAACAATAACTTCCAATGGTGTATGATGAGTTTCGTTAGTTCTATTATCCATTTTCGATAACGAAGATCTTCACGATTCGATCAGTCTTAATAGTATAGGATCGTTGAATAAGTCAAACAGAACTAGAAAGAATGTAAGCCAATTTTTTACATTAGGTTGTA